TTCATATTGTTACTTACAAACGAAGGCTGATGTCATATTTTGACGTTCGTTCAGACTATTCAAAAAATAATCGCATCGAATACAATTCGAACTTCAAAATCGTCAAAGTTATACATCTCAAACTTCCTGCACAATTACAAATCGAGTCAGTTCAACAAAATAATCTTCCCGCCTTTGAAGTACTACTGATTATTGTGCATATGATCATTAAAACAGTGCGGAGCATTGGAATACGCTGAAGTTTCGGCACATAACATAATATGGCTGACCATACAAGAATGGAATTCTCAATGTATTTCTTCATGTACAGGGTGGCATTGAAATAAGTGCAAATATTTCAAACACTGAGAAAGCTTGACCTGTACTATCGAATGGCACAAATGAAAAAAATTCGGATCAAAATAAAGTTCTACACTGTAGCAAATCTGACGTCACCTCTGGTCAAATTTCCACGCGGAGTTCAATCATTTAAATTGTTTCAAAGTGGCGTAGTTGATTTTTTTCCCGTAATTTGTTCAGTTTTTGGGATGACATTTCTCGTTAATAATAAGAATTAGAAAAAATCTTATATCGTGGGAATATTCCTTGGGCTCTATCATATTAATATGCTGAATATGTGCACTTATTTCAAAAACTCCTTGTATATACAGGTTGATTAACGGTGGATGGCACAATAGACGTTTCTGGAGAACGCAACGTAGGATTATTTTGAAAATTCGGTTCCTTGGATAATTAGTTCTGTTCTATGGACCTGAAATATTCTCAGCGCCACGACGTTGCCGCTTATATTGAAAAGTAGCAGCAACTTTAATTTTTTCAATGGGACACCCTGTATATCATTCCATTCTCAGATTCTCACTGAAGAGCTGATTTCATCGATCTATCACACTTGGGGTCTACCGGGAATGATAACAAAGATATAGGGTGTGAAAAATCGAGATTTTTCAACTTCAAGAATTTTTTGTGTCGAAACTATTCATAATTGGTCAAAACGGTGGCTGTTTGAAATCAGACACGCTGTATAAAGCGTTCTATTTAAAATTCTTCACCTAAGTCATTCATATGTATAAGTTATTCATATGGATTTGAGTTTTATTATCCATTAACCTATTCAAATGCAGTTACTTGGAAATCGCTGGAAAATTATTCTGTGGCAAGAGAAATGCAGAAAAGACTTCAGCCAATCGAGAGTACGGTAGTCCGAGCGTTGTCGTACTACTGAGCACAGAACACCCTGACTACACAGAAGCGTAAAGGCTGTGTCTCACGGTCCAACAATTTGATAAAACTACAGATCTGTGTCAAGTTGGATCAAACAATAAGGTTAGGATGTTTGTTTTCATGTTTCCTTCATTGATTATTATTTCATATCTTACTAATTAACTAGAAATACTATCATCAATATTATCAATATATGAAAAATGCCTGTCCTGGTAATTGGACTTGGGACCTTTTCGGATAATTATAGAGTTAGCGACGATGTTCAAGTCACCCCGTGATTGAGAAGAACGCTTAAGGACTGTCTTATCACAAGCGGCATCGACGACTCATCGGTATTTGTAATCATCGTGTGATCGAAGATTGAAGCAGGTTTAGTCACTAGCATCGTAGCATCAGAACGAATCACTTGTCGATGTTGTATTTTTCCAAACTTTATCTGAGAGCGCATGTGCGAAGTGTTACAACTGTCAACGTCAAATTCAAAAATTAAAAATAATTCTATATTCTATTCTAACGATCTATGCTATTGCAAAACCTCAGCAAGAAGGAAAACAATGACCGAATCGATTAACTGAATAATATGCTGAAAGTACATGCGCCTAGAACTACATTCATTTCGTTCAATTCAAATTTGCCGCTCCAAAGTGACAGAAGTGATACTTAGCAGAGATTCAAGGTCACGAATGAAGATCAAAGTACAGTGCCGGAGTTAGGGAGGGGACAATGGGACTATCAGCCCCCGGCGGTGAATTTCAAGAGGCGGTAGAGAAAAAGAGAAAAAGCAAGCAGCAATACAGTCGTCGCCGACGAGGCGACAAATATATTATATTGCTTCTTGCTTTTTATATGCCGCCTCTTCAGTCGCATTTTGAAGCAAACGCGCAATTAGCTACCGCTGGCAGTCGGCACCGCATCAAAAGGACTTGTTTGAAATACTGTTTTTGTGAAAATCATAACATACACTACTGTTTTTGGGAAAATGATAACATGCACTAATCTAGCGTTAGCTGTGTCTTGGACGCTACAATACAAAAGCGGCGGCGGTGATGATTAGGAAAAAAAAACGCATAGAGTAGGGGTAATTTCGTGATTCGTCTAATTCAATAACAAAATCCAGAGTTCAGTATTCAATAGGTTGTCGATGGTATTGTTGGTAATAGCACTAATAATAAAAAAATATTGAAATTAAAAAAAAAAAATGAGTAAAAAAGAAGGTGGTGCATTCTGGAAACGGCAGAAGGTCAATAAACAAACGCAGCTGGACTGAGTTGTCAAGAAATGCTCTAGAATACATTCATTTTTTCTAAATTCAAATCAGACAGAATCAGATCCCACAGAACCGTCTCCGGGAACTTCACGATCTCAAGACGGGAATGGTAAGTTTTATATATTTTTACATTCAATACGCGAAAAATAAGTTAGAATCTCAAAAATAGATGAACGAAATATGAACAGGATTAAGCGTTGTTTTAGGGATAATCACAACAAATTCCTTATTCATTGAACATTGGCAATTACTGAGAATTTTTTTACTATCCCTGATGATTAGTAGTACCAGTGGTGGAAGGTCATTCTCAACTTTAAAATGAGTGAAAAAGTACCTTAGAAATTCCATGGTAGAGGATACATTGAATATCTTGTCAATTTTAAGTATTAAGAGTGCCACTGACGATTTGATTCGTTGTACATAATGATTTCATGTTATTGTCATATGCTGTGAAAAAACAGTGAATGGATTATTTGAATTTTGAAACTCACAATTGACATTTTATTTTTGGCGGCGGCGCGGCGGCATCCTAAAAGTTAGCCCCCGGCGTAAGGGAGTATAAATCCGACACTGTCAAAGTACCGCCTGCCACTTACGCTTCTGTGTTGTTAGCGTTGTCTGAGACTGAAAGCTCGATACATGCCGCGATACATTTCCTGGGTGCTCGATACAAATAAGCCACCCGGCATAGTCCCCCCAAGGTGTCACTCACAAGCGTCTATAAACACCGGAGGCTCTCTGCATCCGATGATGTCCGATCATGGTCGGACGTCGCCGCTGATGCAGAGCACGCGCCAAATTCAAAAACATAATAATAATCCATGAGTATCAAGTGATCGAGTGTAATGTTTTGGAAAAATTATGCAAAGTATTTTTTTCTTTCCGAATGAGATGCTTATATTGCGAGAGCTAAACATTGCAAAGGCCTCACATGTTTTTTTTTATATCAGGACAAAATTGACACAATAACAACTTATTTACTTATTAATTTTTTTTTTTTTGGTGGATACATCAGATTTATTGCGATATTATCGGCGTCCATATCATCTGGATGGATTAATTTATTACTAAATAAGTCGTTTATTATAGGAACAGCTTTTTTGATTGTTCGGTATAAACGTCTCTGTTGAGTAATTTTTTTATTTTGATGCGTTTCAGATGGTAACTTGTCGGAAAATGCCATACTGGTTTTCTCCCTCCTCATCGCTATAAATGTGACCATACTATTAATGAGTTTAATAAGCTCTAGTTTGAATTTTTCTTTTTCGGAATTCTATTCATTGGTTTCTCTTTTTTCTTTACCAATTTTTAATGCTTCCAGAATCTTCTGCTGGTCAGAAAATCACAATCAAAGCTCTCGTTGATTATTGAATTTCTCTCATCTATAGGAAAGAATGAAAAGGTTGAATATAGAGGTACCTACCTATACTTAATGTTGAAATGTCTGCACATCTAAAAACGCCTACATGAGCATCAGGGCAATAGTCTTTTATATCGAAAATGATCACACTATGTAGCCACCAAGCAAAATACCTGAAAAAAACCTATTCATTCTTTAGGCTTGCAAGTAATTCGATGTAATGTTCATGTGCTACGCACATTTTGAAAACTTGCAAATTGTGGATACTTGGGCCTGTACGGGCCCCAATATTCTGACATATTTTTCGACTCAGAATAGATATAATGAGCTAACAATAATGCATACAAGGACATAAGGGTGTAATTGATAAAATACAGGGTGTATCTTAAATGATGACTTTAATTTCAGGTGGTGATTCCTTGTCATATTTCATGACAAAAAGTTACTATAAACGTGTGTCCTAACTTGCTCCGTTTCCGAGTAACGGGGTGTCCAAAGTTTAATGAAAAAGTAAAAAGTAACAGAGAAGCACTGACATTGATTGCATAACGATAACGTTTTGCTATTAATTTCCAATAATATCAAACTCAGCAACAACATCAGCGTACAATAGTTACTACAGTGAATATCACACACCACTGGAAACAAAATTCAAAATCTACTTCCATGAAGAGAAGCTATTACAAATCACAAACACACGAAGTTTAATCAAAATCGGCGAACAGTATTTTGAGTAATTGAAAAACCGATATTTAATTCAACTTTGGACATCCCGTTACTCGGAAACGGAGCAAATTAGGACACACGTTTATATGAACTTTTTGTCATGAAATATGACAAGGAATTACCACCTGAAATTAAACTCATCATTTAAGATACACCCTGTATAATGATAGTTCTAGCTACGACGTTGTAAAACGATTGATTACAAATAGGGCACCAAGTCATTCTGGATTTCTGGTAAAGAAACAAACAATTCGAAAAAATACAATGCCAAAATCCATTTATACACACAATAACCACAAATAATAAGAAGTAGCTGGGTGAAAATCAAACGCGCGCGAAAGGCAGCTGTGAATGATTCGAAGGTGATCGGACATCATCGGATTCAGAGAGCCTTCGGTGTTTGTAGACGCTTGTGGTGTCACTCACCTTGATCACATCGTTCTCCGACAACTTCATCTCGGGCGGCGTGCCCAACCCTGCCAGGGTCGCCTGCGAGAGCTGCTCGTGCGCCATCTTGGGCGGCGGCCCTACCTGCCCGCCTTGCCCGCCCGTCGACGCGTCAACTGCGGGAGGAGGCGGGGGCGGGGGCACGCACATCGGGGGCGGCGGACCCGTCATGGGAGGAGGCACGGTGGGCGGGGGGACGTTCGTGTGAGGCTGGAACGAGGGCGTTCGAGTTGGAAATCGATATGTCAAATATTTCAATAAATCGACTTCAGGCAGAGTCATAACTATTGGGACATCCGCGAAAGGCGTATTGTTTGGACAAAAATATGGCGATAGGAGCAAAGATGCCTTGATTAAATATTGTTCTGGAAAAAATTACAGGGCGTTAAAGTGGAATTCTATTTTCGTTTTTTTCTAGTGAAAATATCACTGTATATTTATTAATTATTATCGAAATCGGCTCAGAGGCTTAATTTCATACAGGAAATATTATTTCAAGTACTATTCAGGTGAATTATTCCTGATGATGAAATCGACTGGTAACTTTTTTCGACAAAACTTTTCAGTGATTTTTCTTATAAAATATTACTTAAACATCATTTCTATAATATTGGTATTACTCTTGTTCAACCACGATATTTATTTCATCCATTCTCTAGAAAAACGCAATTGAATAGTTGAAAGGATTTAAAAGGGTATGCTTCGGACTGTCAGATAATGGACCTTTCCAGTATCGTAAAATTACACTCTTTTCACTATAATGTTATAGTTTATGCAAAGTCAGTTGGAAAAACAAATCACAGCTAGCCGTCGGTCCCTTTGAAAGTTCAAAGAGTGCGGCAGCGCGGCCCGACATTCGTTTGATGATCTTTTCAACTGACTTTGCATAAACTTTATGAAGGAAAGTCCTAACGGCAGGGAATCACGCCGCTGTTGCCAGGTCTCTAGAAATCCTTGAATTGAGGTCTTCTACCTTGACCAAGAAAGAGGAAAATTCTCTCCTTTTCCAACTTTCTCTTCAGTGCTACCAACGTTGCCGCATTGAAATATAGAGAAATCTGATAGATCTTTCCTTGTCTAACACCTACTCTGAGCCACTGATCTATTTCCGATGTTATAATGATGTGATATGTCTATGTTCTATGTTATAAATGTCATGGACTGATAACCTTTCGCATGTTTCAAATGAAATTCGAATTATATCATACTTATTTTGACATCATTTGTTAATATCATTAAATTTGAATCTCTGCTGAATTCAAAAATAGTTCGACGGCACAAATTAGATGTTAGACTTCCCTCTCTCTCGTTCAAGATAGAAAAGAGCTCAATTGATTTTATGTGCAAGATGGTGCAAGGAATACTATGATACGATATTATTATGTAGTAGGTGGTTAGTTGATTGAGTTTTCACTGCATCACATCACATCATATTCAATTTACTCTGAACTTCAAAATATTCCATTAGTTTCAAGATTAGCTAGGATGAAATGTGATGCAGGCATCTATCAGAAAGACACTTTTCATATGGTTTGGTTTGTGTTATGATATGTTATCATTTTGTTGACTAATTGTTATAATCAACAAATTAAACATTGTTACAATATCTCGAGTGCTATCATTCCTGGAAAATTTAATTGCTAATGTGGCATTTTTGTTTACTAGAGAAAGAGATAAAACAACTGGCGCTAACACAATGTTGCCAAGTTAAAATACCGCATAACTTTACTCTTCTCATTTCTCACTATTATTGACAAGAAGGCAGTGATGCTTGTAATAAAACTAATAGAAGATAGAACCAAGTGAGCATTGTAGTATTGATTGATTCAAAATTTGTTCCTTTCCCTATGTTCGGTGGTCGGTAAAGTTAGGTACACTCGTCCTTAGTGAACATGTCGCGGATGGACGGTATGAGCGCCCTTATTGCAGCGGTGATTGAGAGAGCTGACACCGTCCATGTGCGACATGATTTCTGAAGACGACTGTACGTATATACATATAGGTGAGTACCTAGTACCAAAACTTGGAAGTAGGTACTTTATTGAAAGGGATTTGAAACTGAATTTCATGAATATCTGCACTGTAATTCAATACAAAATGGAATTTTACTTCCAATTTTGATTAATTTTGATTAATACACCAACAGAAATCAACCATCTAACTAATTATTATGCAATGAAATTTTTCAGTACCACCCTGTATATAACATATTTGAATTGGACCAAATCCTTAGAGCATGTACATTTTGTTCCAGACAATAATAGTTTTCCTATAGAGAAACCGTGTACAAGCATCGTTGCTCCACCTACTTGAGTATGGCACATGCGATATGAATCCTACGTTGCATTTTTTTTCTCCCTTCATTGAAATGCCCATGCAAACGGTTTGTCCATAGGAAAATTATTCTTGCCAGATGTGTATTTCTTACACCATGTTTCCGAAATCTTGACCATTATTAGGAATACTAGGATAATTTAATTGGTACCCAAAGATATAATTCGGTATTCGAAGTCGGCGAATTTAATTACTAAAAAAATACATTTGCAATGATTTCAAATAAAGAATGATTGCATCAAATAATATTTATACACGGAATGATTAATATAAAATAGGTATGTGACGTAAATTCGACTAGAGTAAACCCATTATTAATTAATGGTTCCATTAGGTGGAAGCACAATTCTTCAGCGATTCGCGATAGAAAATAAGCGTACGCCACCTATCGGAGTTCTTGAAAGCTATCAAAGCGGCATGTTTACTTGGGTTCCATTGGTTCACATTTGTTTTTTGTTTCTGCTTATTGGTCATATCATCAAAGCAAACCGCTCAGAAGTGTTCAAGTTATCGCCGTCAGGTGGGGCGACATGTTATTTTCTATGGCGAAAATTCGAAAATTATTCTAAAAACGGATTTACGTTAATTGACTTACTGGCAACATTGGAGGAGGAGCCGAAGGTGGTGGCCTTCCGATGGCTGTCCTATGTGGCGATGTGCTTCTACTTTGACTGGGTGAAGCTGCTTGACTGACTAGAGGTGAAATGGCAGGTGCAGGAAAAGGGGGCACCTAAAGCAAAAACTAAAAATAAATAACTAAACTCAATGTATATGTTTGGCGGTGAAGATTCCTTCAAATTCTGAAAACTGAAGTTTCTAATGTTGAACCATGCTTGACATTTGGTCAATGAGCATGTGTTGTGCTCTGTGTCATACACTGGTGTCCTGTGCTCAATTTTATTTTGTCTACTGCCCTATTAGAATACAGCTCAAATATCTGCAATTGATTTTGGCCAATGAAAACACGCATTTTCATTATGAAATGAACTTTCAGCCAATAAGTACACATACTTGGGGGGGGGCTATATTTCTACATGCTTGCTCCATTTTTTGACATTCTATTTCAAATGACATTTGATCACAATGCATCAAAAGTACAATCAATTCATTGACTGGAGATGGAAGAATAGGTTGTTGTTGTTTTCATTTTATTAGTACTGCTCATGTATATAGTTTGAAAATAAGTAAATAAATACAGTGGCTATTTGAAATTTAAGTGAACCCTTGGGAAAAGCAGAATTGGCTCCATAAACAAAATGAAATCAACAAAAAGCTGCAAGAATTTTAGAATTCTATCTTGAACAACTCCAAAGCTTTCATTTTTGAAATTCTCATAGTTTACCTCTGGGGCCCCATATGGGAAACCAGGCCTGTTCCACACAGGAGAAATAAAATCTAAAGGTGGTGGTGGAGGTAGGTGTTGAAGACCAGGTGGTTGGTGGAACACTGATGAAGAGTCACCACAAGGCGTTGGAGCAGTCTTCACTGGAATGGATGGAATTTCCAGAGACTGAAAGAGAATACTAGCATCTATAATACAGAACATTTGAAAAAAACTAATTTTTCCAGTCCAGTATTTCAATACGCGATTTAAATATCTGCTACCGAGTTCTTAATATTGTTTCTCTTCATTATAATTTGGATTTTCCACCTGTAGAAACACGAACCTGGGTATAATCAAGTGGGTCCATTTTTCTATCTCAGTTGCTCGAGTTGTTTGACATTCAATCACATCACGTTTAAGGTACTGCAATGTGTATGCAATGATCATGTATTGCTATTTATACATGATCCTTGCATAAAATACTGTTACAACCTCTATGTTTACACAGCATATATCCTTGAGACAATCCTAAAGCATAACTGTATGCAAGGCCGTCGCCAGAGAGTGGGGGGGGGCAAATTTTACGGCTTCCCTAGAGGTTAACGCTCACCAGTCAACCTTCTAATTACAGTCATACAAATATAAAAAATGAGATAGGGCTCTGAAAAAAAATATGGGAGGAGAAACCAGAATAAATCGAACTGAGTATTGTGGAAATCCTCAAGGAAACTGAATATTTCTTTCCTTAAGACTTTGAAGGACGCTTGTTGCTTTGCCATGTTCGACTTGTATCTACAGTTGAAAGGTCATTTAATAGCCTTAGGAGAATCAAAACCTGGTTGAGGAGCACTATTTCTGAGGCTCGACTCAATGGCCTTGCAATGATGAGTGTTCACAGGCAAGTCAGGCAACACAGTTTCAAAAACTTGAACGATTTCGTCAACAAAGTGACTGATGAATTTACAAAGAACCCAAGAAGATTATGTTTCAATCCATTTTCTATGGAGATATTGTATTAGGTTTTTAATTTTTTTTTGGAAAAACTCATCTCTTCAGTTCTTTTATGGTGCCCCCCTTAGCTTACGGTTGGCGACGCCCTTGTCAGTATGCCAAAATTGTACAGTAACACTATTATCAGAAATGTCTACTACTAAGTATGGATTATTTCCAGAATAACTTTAAAGGGATGAGTTCTGAAAGAAATATGACTTCAATTCGCATTATAATATCAGTTTTATAATGAAACAACATCTATGCCTGAAAAGAAATATCACTTATTTCTCTTTTCAAATTTTACTAAAAAGACCAATGAGATTGTGTATGATTCAAGTTTGATTTATCATTTCATAGAGAAATGTGACTGAAATTACATCATCGATCAGGAAACTATATTAGTCATTATTTTACACAATCTATCTATTTGTTCATTTCAGAAACACAGTCAGAGATGTTGCTTGGTATCAATAATGAAGAAAAAATGCCAGAAAACTGGATATTGCACCTATTTTTTCAATTATATTCGACGCTGCTGAAATACCGGGTACAGATCATTGAAACTTCTGCATTCATAAACGGTTTTTTTCAGAAATTTTGTACAGTTATATAAGCAACTATTTCAGATTTGATCTCATTACGTTCCAATATGGCGGACTTCCGGTTTTTCTGGAAATGCCAGCAACTTTATTTTTTCAATTAGAACACCCTGTATATATTCACATATTCCAGTTCAACAGGTCACAAAAAGTGCAATCTGTATGTCACATCTCATTTTTTCTAAAAAATTGAAATAAAAATTGTGATTTTCTCGAAAACTACTAGCCTTAAATATACTAATAGCACTATTGATATGAACTGGGCATACCTTTTCACATAAAACACTTTCGAGTAGAATATAAAAAAAAATTAAAAAATGGGATTGTTAACCACCTCAGAATGATGCCAACGAAATTTTAAATATTGATTCAACATCAGATGTACAAAAATTCATGATTTTTGGATAAAGAGTTTCGAAGGAAAAATCGTTTCAGGTTGCCCTATTTTGAGGGACAGGGAAGCCTTGAATAGGAAGCATTTCCATACAAATATTTATAGGAACTTTTTATAAGAAAATGTCTCAGGAAACACCTTCCAAAATTCTACCAATGTTTAGGAAACACACCAGCCTTATACAGTGTGTCCATTTAGTGCGTAATTCTTCGATATCTCGAAAGCCATAACCAATAGAGAAAAACTTTTGAGAAAAAACTTTTTCAGTTACTGAAGTTGCTCATTTCAAAATTATTTTCAACATTACTGGGTGTTTTATAAATGCAGGGCAACTCGAAGGAGAGTTTTTTTGAATGGAACACCCAGTATTGCTCATTCGGAATTAATTCCGTCGAGGTTCACCTTCACATCGCTGTGAAAAAAATTGAAATCGGTTGCGGCGTTGCCAAGTTATAATTGATAAATCTATTTTTACCATTATTGAAGACTCATGTTGAATTGGGCATGGTATATTCATTTATTCAGATTTTGAAAATATTTTTGGCATACGGTAGGAGCAAGGTCCAACGTATACCAATCCAGTAATTTTGCGACATGTTCTTCAACAGGGTGCTCAATTTCGCATTCAGAATTTTGCAAGATTCAGATGACATTCATCAGAATTTTTCAAATGGAACACCCTGTATTTTTATTCAAAAATTCATTTCGACATCTTTCGCCTTTTTATCGCTGGAGAACAAATCGGAATCGGTTGCGCCGTTGTCAAGTTATGGTTGATTTCCTTATTTTTACTACTATTTCGGGGTAATTTGTACGTCATAGTTCCTTCATTTATTTGTATTGTGGAAATATTGCGTTGCTACGGTATAATCAAACTTGTTCATTGGCCATTCATATATTTTTTTACAAAAGGAACATTTACAGGCTCTCCTAGTTTGAATTTTGTTCGAAATATTTGTGTAATGACCTGTCAAACATCGCTACAATCAAATATATCTTGGATTGATTCGACATTTTGCTGAATTTCCTCCCAAAAGCCGCGTAGTAGAGACATATTGTTTGTATCATTATGTTTACCTTCTTCAAGGTAAATGGAGATTTGGATTGTGGAAAAAACGACAATAAAAATGGCCCAAATTCCAAAAAAATTTCCTAATTTTCGCAATTCGCATCTCCATTGTTTGTATTGTAGAAGTTATTTCAAAGACAGGCGTTGCTTTTGGCATGTTTGTTTGTTTCACATATTATTTGAATCATAATAAGTAGCAAGATTACGGAATATTTCAAATTTGGACGATGCACATATCACAAAAATACCTGAATGATCTATGTAGAACCTCGAATGTCATGTGGCAAGCAATATTCCCACACTCAAATCAAATTAAGGAACCATCAGGACGAACAAATTACCCCGAAATAGTATAGTAAAAATAAGGAAATTACTCATAACTTGAAAACGCCGCTACCAATTTTGATTCTTTCTTCTGCGATGAAAAGGCGAATAATGTCGAAATAAATCCGTGATGAAAAATACAGGGTGTTCCATTTGAAAATTTCCTATGATCGTCGTCTGAATCTTACAATATTCAAAATGTAAATTTCAGCACCCTGTAGAGGATTATCTCGCAAGATTACTGGATTGGTATACGTGAGACCTTGCTACTACTGTATGCCAAAAATATTTTCGAAATTTCAATAAATAAATATACCATACCCAATTGAACATGACCCTTCAATAGTAGTAAAAATGGGTTTATCAATTATAACTTGGCAACGCCGCAACCAAATTGAATTTTTTTCACAGCGATGTAGAGCTGAACTTGAGCGGAATAAATTTCGAATGAACAATACTGGGTGTTCCATTTGAAAAAATTCGTCTTCGAGTTGCCCCGCTTTTATGAAACACCCAGTATCGTTGGATATATTTTCGAAATGAGTAACTTCAGTAACTGAAAAAGTTTTTTCCCCAAAGTTTTTCTCTTGTGATAATTGATTTCGAGATATCGAAGAATTACGCACTAAATGGACACACTGTATAGGGAGCATTCCACTACAAATATTTATGGGAACTTCTTATATAAAAATGCCTCAGGAAACACCTTCCAAAATTCTACCAATCTTTAGGAAACACACTCTGTATATTTATATATAAATATTGGGATTCTGAAGCCCGTGACCCCCCTGACTGAGCAAGTCCGTTTTTTTTTTGAGGGAAAAAAGTCCTGCGTTTTTTTTTTAGTTCTTCTCAGATAAACCCACTATAAAAAGAACATTTCTGTCTCTTGCCATTTTTTTCATGTTCTGCTTCGTTTTTTAGAAAAACGGACAATACGATACCTCTGCATATCTCTGAAACTAAGAAACCTTGTGTATGTTACACCCCCGTAGAAACAATTTTTTATTCTTGCTGGGTTATACACTCGGGGTATTTTCGAACAAGTAACTTAAAATATGGTGAGACGGTGCGATGTCTGCGTAATTTTCTAAAATTTCATGTGACTTTCAATACAGTTAATAATTTTGAAAAAATAGTTAGAGCAAAATTTTAAGATCATACCTATGCATTTTACAGAGGATTGTCGGGATATTGAATTGAATGTCTTTTTTGTTTTCATGAATAATAATGTGCAATACATTTTTGGATATCAAAACATTTTTATTTTTCCTTATGGAGTTCAGGGATATGCCGAGGTATGGTATTGCCCGTTTTTCTCTAAAACGAAGCAAAATATGGAAAAAACGCAAAAGACAGAAATGTTGTAATTTTAATGGGTTTATCTGAGTATTTAAAAACCCCGAAAAAAAAACAAAACAAAAAAAAAAGCTGACTTGCTTGCGTTATCAAGACATTAAAAAAAAAATTTTTTAAACTTGGACAACCTTGGGAATGAACCATTTTCGGACCCATGTTCATATGAATTTCTTTCATATTTTGTTGAGAGGAATCTTCCCTAGGCTTTTGTCACCACAACTTTGAAACACCATATATATTAGGTCACAGAGTTTTGTTTGTAATATGGTCACAATGTTTATCTCACTATAATATTTAACAATTTAAATCTGAGATTAAAAAACATCTTCAGGAAAGGGAAGGACAGGGGGAATTTAAATTAAATTATATATGAATATGAGACTCATACTTCCTTGTTTTTGTTTTCAGTGACTTGTTATAGGTATAATAGGTGTATAATTTTTTCATGTCTTTTTTGGGATATTAAATTTTAAGTATAACAAAATTGTAGACAATGTATCAGTAAGTAGAGTACTGCAGAGTGTCCCTTTATGAACTTGTACTAGTTTTTTGGGATTAATGAAAAAAAAAGATATTTCTTTGACTGAAAAATATCACATTTGAAGTTTGAATAGTTTGATACATCCTGACAACCTGAGTTGTGAATTTTCAAATTAGTGATTTGATGAAATCTAATTTAGTACTTGAAATGAAGTTTGACTTGTTTGCATTTAGGGTTGAAAGGTTCTATACTTTTGTTGGAACTCAAAAAATGTGTTTCCAGTTCTGCAGTTTTCTTTAAATCAAAATTATCTATTAGATATAAATTTGTTCTGAGAATAGCTGGCTTCAATACATTTTGAAAAAATGTTACTTATGATTAAATTGGCACAAGGGCACAAGTGTAGTTACTTAAAGCTTACTTGGAAAAACATCACTGCTAAAGACATTATGAATGATATTATGTTTTGAAATAATAAGTAGTTTTGTAGTATGGCTTGATCATGCTTAATTAATGTTGAAGATATGCTATTTCAACACTAACTGTTAATTTTTTAGGGAGTTTATGGCTTTCAGGATTTATCATTCAGAAATTGGTTTATGTGAGACTTTGTTGAATTAATTAGCTATTATTTCCTATAACTTTTTATTCTACTATTTATATGTATTATTATTATTATTATTATTATTCATGTTCTCCCACATAGTTTTTGTGTCCTTTTTGTGCCCTTCTATATTTACTTTTATAGTACATATTTTCCATTTTACATATCATTTCATTCAAATTCAGGTGTTTATGTAACTATTTTAATTATTTATTGCTAGGGACTAGGGTCTATAGTCAACAATTTGCTAAACATAACCTGGGACAACACATTGTGATAAAGAATAACTGAGATCTCAATTGTGGACAACATATTTGGGACTAAAAAATCATTAACCTGGACTTCAGGATTCCATATTACATTAATAAATAGACATCAAACACTCAACTAGCTATACATCAGTCTCCAAATTGAAGAATATGGAGTAAACTATAGATACAAAGGTGATGCATTGAATTTGAAACTGGACTAATAATTTTCTTTCATCAATCAGTTAATTCAACTGAACTGGATAATGAGATAAACTACCTACTTGATAATACTCACCATTTGGGTTGGATAGCCAAATCCAGGAGGATACCCAAGGGCACTGTGTTTAGCAGAAATTCGATTCTCCCTAATATCAATTAAACTCATGAGTATTCTACTAAAAAATTGTTTATGTTCAAAAGTAAATGCAGGGTGGTGTAACGCCAATGTGAACAATAATAGAAATTCACTATGTAACGTTTCATCCTTTCCTTTTTCTTTCACTAAATAGTCTTCTATATATTCTGTCCTTAACAACTTCCTGTATAACCAACTGGCCACACTATGATTCCTGGATGACAGCAAGGACAGATAAATCAACAATCTATGCCTCACATTTTCATCTAAAATACCCTGATTGAATGACACATCTTTTGAGAGCTTCTCCAGATCATTTGCTGTTATGGCAGGTCCTCTTAATTCTTGATAGGTATGTTTTCCAAGTTCTTCAATACATGATCCTATGAATCTTAGTTCAAATGGCAAACACATATTTAGTATCTCATACAACACATCTATCCGTTTATGACCATCCAAGTCCTTAAACCATAATAAGACCTCTTCTTTACACACCATTTCCAGACTACATTGATATTACAAGACCAACCTCTAGAAAATAGACATTTTAACTGACTATTTGACTAATGTACATAACCTATATTTTTCACTTACATTAACTGCATTCAAGATCAGCACCATGATTTTAGTTTGAAGAAGTTCTCCAGTTAAAACAAACTATGTGCAAATATTACACTATATCAATGAAATATAATAAAATGATGGAAAACTTGAGCTAAAATTCACAATGACAGAGTTGGACATAAGAATGCTTGATTCCTTGATATCAACTTTTCTAGATTCATGAATATAATGAATATATTTTATACGTATCATAAATATGCCTTTTCTTAATTTTTCTCCTATCTAGAATACATAAAATAGGTACTCCAATAATTAATACTTGTTAAAATCAAAGAAAATTTTCGACTGCGGGGATTTTACCAAAAAATAGCAAATAGCACCCAGGGCTGTTCCTGACCGAAAATATATAGTACTAGATCACATTTCGAAAAAAGTACTAGAAACTAGAATTGGGAATTTAGTACTGACTTTCAATTTTCTTCAAATTTGGCGCCCCCGACGTGCTTGCATAGTTTCATTCACAAATTCATCAAGTCGGCAAAAAAACAAATATAAGTGGAATAATTTCAACACATGAAAATATCGAAAAGAAAAATGGAATTGAATTGATCAAAGTAATTCAAATATAGAAAAATAAACTGGAACAATGAGGGCTAACATTATTTATTGCCAACCAAAACGCGCCACTGAAACATGAGGTCAGTGCTGGTAGAACTGATGAATGCACTTCATATTTTCGTTTCATTTGGCCGTAAAGTTCCACGACATTGACAGTGAAAAAACGTAAGTCGGCTCAAGTCTTCCATAACTTGAGGTTTTCTATTTTCGTTCAAATATTCTACTTTTTTTTTAATTTTCGACGAAACAGGCCAGTCTTTTTACAGCTATTCAACAAAATATTTGGATTTTTGACTTTGACACTGACCTCACGTTTTAGTAGCGTCAACTGATGGTGAGAGTGAAAATGTTGTTTAGTAGGTATATGGTTTTCCCTCATTCCTTTTCATCCACAGGTGAACAAGACAATGTGAACCCAAGGATCTCGAAACTCATTTAGTGCCAGATTTCATCAAAATGTACTTTGGTACTGAACATCTTCGAATAGCACCGAATCTAGTACTACATTACTGACTGAAACAGCCCTGAATCAAATCTACCAAAATCATAATATGGTAATGAATGGCGGTAAACTATTATATTCAAATTATTTTCGTGAATAGTTAGTTCCTTATCAACATATTATCGAACTTTTCCAAATTTTCGATATGTTTCACAAGCAGGAAGTGAACGAAAACAATGTAAGGAGAGTTTTAGATTGCCGACAGGTCGCGAGTCGCGACCACTTGGACCACGCACTGTCACCACAGGGTTTCTGATTTAAGTATAGTACCTTTAGTAAAGTCATAGATTAAGAGTGTCTTGAACTGTTTATACAGGGAGTCCCTGGAAAGTCTGCACAAAATCTAAACACATATTCCTGAGGTCAAAATATGCGGATTCAAAACAAACTTACCTCAACTTACCGAAATTGCTCTGTTTTTGAGATACAGAGTGGTCAAGTTGAAAAATAAAAATCGACTATATAAGCATGCACACTCCTACATGGAACACATATTATCTCGAAATCGGCCATCCTTTAGTCTGAGCAAAATCCACGACAGCACAGTGATTTATTTGCTTTATTCCTTCTTCCGGAAATACTTCCGTCATGTGATAAAGATTTGAAACCATAAAGACCGAAGGGAAGGGGATGATGTCCTATTTATTACTATTACGAATATCCAGACGTGCCGCGATTCAAACTGATCTAGTTTAAGTTAGTGGCTGAGCATCAAATATTTCCGAAAATATTTCGCCCCTCTCTAAAGCTAATATTCGTTGGACCTGTGTTTAACTCAACATTAGAATTATAGGATTAGAATACTTTGTAATCTGAACACCACATGAGTTTTACACTGGTCCATCGGATATTATCTTTCGACGGGGGCGAATAAATATTCTCGGAAATATTGACGCTCTCTGTCACCAACTTAGATCAGTGATAGTTATTTGGATATTCGCAAAGCGTTATCCCCTCGCATTTGCTTTTAGTTTCAACTCATAGGTCGCGTGCACGATGACCGACCCTGGAGGTAAAATATTGGAACACAACCTCACTCTTCTGTGAATTATTGAAACACAACCTCACTTTTTTATTTGTTTACAGGGGAATCAAAGGATTGAAATATTTTTTCACAATATTTTGGCATACGAATCGTGTTTTTTGCGCTATTCATTAATTCAAGCATGCCTTCGCATTGTGCTGTTGTACAACTATATTGACTATAGTAGGTACTTAATTTTAAATCATAATGTACCAAAGGACAGGATTCCTTCGTCTTCTGCTGCAGTTTTTGTGCATTGTTCAACAGCACAATGTGATGGCATGAGCGAATTAATGAATAACCGCGTATGCCAAAATAATTGTGAAAAACTATTTCAATCACTTGTAAACAAATAAGAAAAGTGAGGTTGTGTTTCAATGTTGTTCCTCCAGGGTCGGTCATCTGACAGTTCTTGCAAAGAATATAGGTTTTGCACGCAACCCATTAAATGTTAAATGTGATTGGTTGATGATATAAGCAGTCAACTCTTTTTTTATTCATTTCATCATTTCGGAGGGAATTTAGAATGAATTAATAAATGTCCTCATCTGGTGTTGAATTGGATTCACTACAATTCAATAATGATAAATAATTTCTTGATGCCCTTTCTGTTAATGCAGCAATTAATAATATTTTTAGTTATATAAACCATGTTGTCTCGGTCACATTCGTTTCTGAATCATATTTTTCTAACCAATATAGGACTCGAGCACCGAACTCTGCACTATTGCCCCCCCCCCCTGTAATAGGTACATGTTTTTTATAGTTTTGTTGACGCTGAAGCTATATCGAATTCTTTTTTGGGGCGTCACTGCGGTGAATTGAAACTAATGAAGAGCTATTGTTCATTTTTCAAATTTCTTAGTTTCATAAAAAAAAACAAGTAGATAATCTTTGCCGGTTTTGTGATGATTTGTTTGTTTGAATTTCGTTTAAATGAAGTTTCCTGGCAGTTCATGGACAATTTTGCAACAATTTTCTAAATTGAAAAAATAGACCCTGATGTGTAAAGAAATGCGAAATACCTATACCAAAGCTCCCGCCCTCTCACATTCAGGTAAAAATAAAGTTCAACATATTATTATTAGGTAGTTAGGTACTATATTTCTTCATCATTACAATATATAAAATTGTTTAAATATAAAATACATTTGTCTAGGTGAAGAATAATTAATCGCTCCCACTTTCTTCATCTGAATCAAGTTTTCCTCTCTGTTTATGCCGACTGCTTTCAATGTCTGATCCATCTTCATCTGATGAATAAATTGCACCACCTTAAAAAATGTATGAAATGGAATCAAATATTCTTAAACAGCTGCTACTGACGAACCTCAATTGAACATCTAGTAGCGATATTTGAACAGCTCAAGAATGGTACTTGTCAACCAAGAAAATCATGTATCATGATATTACTCATTCTGAGACAGTTTTCAGAGTGTTCTATTAAAGGGCGCGTGTATTCTTTGTCTTGACGAGTCATACATATATTAAGAAATTTTATGAAACCCTTGTATATATATACTAAAAAGATGAACCGTCCTTATGAGAGCAATGAATAAGCCATAAATTCCATTCACTAGGTAGTCTATACAGGGTATCCCGAAATTAGGTTGCCAAACTTCACCAGCGGCTTCTACGATCAAAATGTCTCCTAGGGAGCTACGGCCCTCTGAAAGGGGGCTCCTGAAGATGATAATTCTTGAGTATTTCCGAAACTTCATGTGAAAAAAAGCGGCAATTTGGTACTAGTTCTTGTACTCTCCAACAGTAAAAATAAAATCATTTCAAAATTTCACTCAGGAGTTTATAATACAGTCTATTGTCAAGAAGTATAAATGCCTATGAATTAACACCACTCAAACTCTCGTTCGTTTCAAGATCTTTTATCATTAATTAACTTTTCCAAATTAAAACGATCAGTACATTGTTGTTCGATCAGGCCAGCGGAGTTCATAGACATCATTTCCTTTATAATTTGCAAATAAATCGCTTACCGCGGCGATAATACCTAGGTAAGCGGTATCGAAAGGTAACGACCGTTTCCATTGTGGAAAATTGCGAACCTAGTATCGATTCCGAATATAAATAGTACCCGAACCGATGAGGCAATAATTCATTATCGACACAAGTCATTTTAGTGATCATCAATTGAAAATATTCGCCGTCTCCCCAACTTCAAGCATGCTGGTCAACCCCCTGCTAGACGTTATAATGTAAGTACTGTTTTTTTTTTCAAGTGTTGTTTTGCGTTGTTTTTTTTCCTTTGCTAACCTGCCATGTGGCAGCATTTATTCATGATCTCTTCATTTAATCAATAAATGTCAATTTTATATGAAAACTGTCCGGTCCCTTTATTTGGGGGTGAATAGGGTTGGATGGTGAAATGATCATAAACCTCTTGTCAAAAAGCCAAGCGAGTAGCTAATTCACGACCTATAGGAGGGTCAACATCTGAGTTGCAACACGTGGTGGAGGCGCAGTTTCCTTTCAATAATGCCAACCATCTGAGTTGCGACAATCTCGGATTATAAAAATCCACACCTCTTTACAGAAAAAAGGTACTCTTGTTCCGCAACAATCCGATGTATCATTATCGAGTAAAAGCGATTTAAAAATATTGATACCTCTCAGATATTAGATTTGAAAATTGGCAACGTAATGCATAAGATGTGTGTATCGATATTTTTAAATCGATTTCATTCGATAATGATACATCTGATCCATGCGGAACAAGAGCACATTTTCGTACAAAAAAGTTTGAGCAATATTCAATATAGTCTCACCCTGTATTATACACTCCTGAATGAAACTTTGGAATGATTTCATGTTCACAGCATTGGGCATGGAAATTTTAGTTCTTGTACCAAATCACGTGGCGTTTCGGAAATATTCAAGAAATATCATCTTCAGGAGCGCCCCTTCAGGGGGTCGTAGCTCTCTTAGGAGACATTTCTCGACTAATGTTCATTGAAACTTTTCTTCCTTCTTCCGGCGTAGAAGCCGCTGGTGAAGTTTGGCAGACCAATTTCGGGACACCTTGTATACTAGCGACAAGATGAACTACTTTTTGTTAAGTAGCTAAAGATTGACATCGGTAGAATCACTGGATGGTATTAGTTAGATAAGAGTTCGGACACAGAAATGACAACTGTTAGTGTTTTTGAATGTTTAGATTTATCAAGTTGAAAAATCTCGATTTTGAACACCCTATACCTCTGTAATCATTGCCGCTAGATGTCAAGTGTGATGCATTGATGAAATTAGGTCTTTGGGGAGAATCTAAAAATGCAATGTTCCATTCAAAATAACAAAGTTGTTGATACTTTTCGTTGGAAGCGGCAACGCCACAGAGCTGGAAATAATTTAGAACGATCTCCCCCTCGAAAATGTAGTTGACGTGTTTCAGATTTTTTTCATAATCCGGTTTTGGCGACCTACAGAGCCTCTGTTTCATTTTCAAAGGGCCACCCTGCATGTGAATTGTGGATCCTTTTGTAAGTGTAAATGATCAACAATGAAACCCAAATGTTTATCAAAATAATTTATATTATAGTACTACCCAGGGGCGGATCAAGGGGGAGGAGAATAGGGGTCATGCCGCCCCCCCCTCGCAAACCTCATGAATATATAAAAATGTATCTAAATAACACTTCAGGAGGTACCAATAAAAAATCCTCTTTCTCGCTAACCTTAATGAGCCGTGACTTTCTATGGTCCCTCTCAAATATTTCCTGGATCCGCCCCTGGTATCACCCACAAGTCACATCGGGCACAATATGGCCAACTGCAGAAATCCCTATTTGAAAAATTAGCACAAGTACAACGTATTTTGTATGTCTTCAATATTGACATAGTCTCTTGTCAGTGGAGAAGCATATTTTTTGTTTTTATTGTTATATTGTATTGAAAAATAATAATAATTAAGGAGCTTTATTAGACACCCAGAAGGCCACCGACCTAGGTCCTTCAGCCTGTGTTACACAGTGATTATACATTGAGTTTAAATTCATCATTATTGTATGTACACTCGTCTTCAGTGAACATGTCGCGGTTGGACGGTATGAGCGCTTTTATTCCAGCGATAATCAAGAGAACTGACACCGTCCATGTACGACATGTTCTCTGAAGACGACTGTACAAGATATATGGAGTTATTGAATTCGCTAGTGTAAAAAAAAGAAGAAGAGTCTATTGTGAGGCAAGAATTTTGAAGGAGGTATTGAATGGTACAAATATATTTTTTATAACATCGAAAACAACATTATATGCATTTTAAATTTTTTTGACATTGTAAATAATTTATCAAATTATTCTTTACTCTAATCTCACTTGTTTGTGGTGAAATTTTTTTTTATAACATACTCTCCAGAAATTCCAAAAGCATATGACATTTTTTACGAAAAAAAAAAAACACCTCCATCTATCTATGTCTGGAATCCACAACTCCCAAGTTTCAATATTTGTTACATGAAAAATATTTGCGCATTTGTTCATATTATGTAGCACTCATTATATTTTCATTTGTATGAACAGTCGAATGCAAAGCTCTTCTTGAATTTTGACATGTCTACCACATATCGTCTAGATCACACAAAACGGAATTATCATTGGTAATGGCTGCTACCCACAAATCTCTTGACGTATGTCAGTCAAAATAACGGGGTTTTTATAAATCGGGGAATTCGAGTGACTTTCCTTGGAATTTTTAACAAAAAGAGAGTATATCTACCTTTTGGTGTAACATCTGCAGTTTTTCCAGATTTGTACTTGTTTTTGATGGCATTCAAAGAAATAGCTCCTTCATCATCGCTGCCCTCTTCTTCTCTTAAGAAGCTGCTTCCATGTGATCTAGGACCACTATCAGACTTCTTCCTACTCGTTTTCTGTTTTACCGGTGTTTGCCTCAACTTTTCTTCCTCTTTCTAAAACACAATATAATGAATGACTCATATAGTCAATGAACTATGTAACCAATTTGTGAAAATTACTAAATGTATAGAATCTAGATATATAATTTGAATAAAATAGTAATTAGGGCATCGCCCTAGCTTCTTAGGTAAAGCACTAGCCGTTCGATATCTAGTAGAGAATAAGGTCCTGGTGTACAAGCAGATTATCAGACCTGTAATGACATACGTGCGTCCGGTGTACTGCAGCATCCCACCTACTCATATGAATAGGTTAAAGGTGCTGCAGAACAAAGTATACTCCGTATTATCACCATCGATGATAGATACCCCCGAGTGGCAGATCTCCACGAGAGATGTGGTAATTTGCCGAGAATTGGTGAGTACATCTTACAAATAGCGAATAATTTCTACAAATACCACATTGCTGGAAGTGACCTTACCCGGAATATCACAACACTCAGACAACACCATAACATACATAAAAAAGACGTGCTGATATATGTATCAACCGATGTGTTTAGGGAACCGGATGATCTATAGGCAGGATTCTCCCCGGATCCTCAGACAAGTCCGAGACACTGGAGAGAATCTAGACAACACTATCTCCCAAGCACGAAAATAAGAGCCACACAGAGGACACTAAACTCGGGCAGACGTGCCCATGTGGAAACACATACGCACAACTGCCCGAGACAAACAAGAAAGTTTTTTATTTTTTAAAATTTTTATTTTTCCTCCAAAACATGAAACCCTTTCCACTCTGATCGCGCATGAGCAGCTCCCCCACCTTATTTTGGGTACCCTCAGCGAGATTACCTATATAATATAAAGGACCTAGCCCTAGGAGATAGGTCACTGCAACGAACACCTCACATACCCTCTCACATACCTCGGCCAACACCAGCCACCTCTGCGCCACGCGGAGGGACGAACAGACACACTCTTAGATGTGCCACACTTTAATGCGGTCGATATCTGAAGTGAAGCAGTGTCGAGGGCGGTTAGTACTTGGATGGGTGCCCATTCGAGGAAACGCCGTGTAAGCCCGTACATCTGTAGCAGAATAGCATATCATAGCTACAGCTACCATATCAATGAGCACAAGGTATGGTACGGATATGCCGTCCTTCGGAGGGGACGTTAAGCCGGCGGTCCCGAGCCCATGGATGTTGGACTCGTTAAAGATCCCTACCTCTGGTTGGAACACCAGAGGATTCGGCAAAATTTCCGATGATTAGCCTCAGTAGCAGAAAAGGCCGACGTTAAAGATACAAGGAAGAAGAAGAAAATAGTAATTACGGATCTGGAAAGCTTGCAGATGGGACTGGTGAGCTTTGTGAGGTTTGTCAATCTTTGTACATTCATTGGCAGTAACGAATTTTTTCCAGGAAATCTCATTCATAATCATTATCAATATTATTGAATGTTGTATTATGCCTTTGTATTCCTCGAGAACGTCTAGAATAAGCACTGAATTTCTTTATATCATTTTCTTTAATAGCCAGCCTACCTACCTACCTAAATAGCAGGTTCTTGATACCTAAATGATCATCCTAGTGAGTAGTAGTATATTCATCATTTATCAATTCAGCTAGATAATTCGAAGATCATAATTTCTTACCTTCAGTCTGGTTGCTTTGTCTAGGTCAGGATCAACACCAACTTGAGACATGATTTTGATGCCAGAAGTTTTCGTTGACCGATCTGCCAAAGATAATGTCATTTTTCTGTGAGTGAAACTCTCTGTAGAATGCGGTCTGAAGCTAAGCTTAGTTCGGAAGACTGCTTGACCCTGCAGACCAGTTCCTTGTCTGATAAATAGATGGTTATGATCCCCCTGAAATATTTATTCGATACTTCGGTATTGATCCCTACATATCATTGAATTGAATTCAAATTATCCATTTATAACTATAGTATATTGTTTAACGAGCACGGAATAATAGTGATTTTCTATGAGAATGAATTTTGCAGCATGAGCCATCGGCGAATGCTGCAATCATTCGAGTAGGACATTAGCATTCCGTGCAAGTAATACACTATAATTTTTCTACGGCTGTAACAGATAACAGCGGCATTTTCGATTTCTTCGGGTTGTAGCCATTTTATTTCCTGTCAAGTAATGCTCATCTATTTGACAGAGCTGTCGTTGCTTGCGATTTGACAGTCCATGAGCAATGAGATTTTTTTGAAATAATAACACAATGAAGTCATTGTAATATCAGATACGGAAATAAAATTGATGACATAGAAAGTACCTCATTGATGTATCGAACCTGATCGAACACAGCCGTACAAGAATATGTATTTTTCCACCACTAGCTATAAAACATACCATTATTCAATCCTTTTCGAGGCGTAAAGTGTGTTTTTACTACCAAGGTAGTTTTTGTCATTTTATGAACCACTAGTCGATAAAGACATAGCCACCTGTATTGTAATCAACACGAATTCATTCATTTCTGAGATACGGGGAGAAATTGAAAAGTTGACGATTTCGTTTTTATTTTCCGAGTAATTTATGGTGAGGAATGTTGAAAAATTCAAAAGTTTATTCATAAAGTATGATGCAAACAATCAATATTCTTAATAGGCAAGGCATTCTACGGTATTGAAGAATTTTCTCTAAACGTTGATCTAACATAATTCAGTAATATTTGGCTGTGTAATTTCACATGTGATGAGTAAATGTTTTCTTGTGTAGTAGTCATTAATTGATTATTAAGAGTGTTAGTTTTTGTAAACATATTTCCTATGTATTAGCAATGTTTCTGTAGGTTTATTTTTTTGTGACAAGCTGTACAAAATGTGAATATGTTTTTTGTACACCATTTATACTTTAATCTGGTAATTAACTTTATTTGATTTGAAATTTATATGTATGGAGAATATTTTCTCGAATTAGTCACTATTATTTATATTTCCATGAAAAAACATATGGATCGTAAACGAACATTTCGACTTCTCGAAAAATGTCTCAAGTTCAATTTCGTCAATTTTTGGTTGACCTAGTATTCCTGTAGAAGTTACAACGATGCAACTTCGTATCTAAGTATTCAATGTGTTCCTCCATGGGTTGCGAGAACTGTCAGATGACCGACTCTGGAGGTGAAACTGAAACACAACCTCACTTTTCTCATTTGTATACAAATGATTGAAATAGTTTTTCACAATTATTTTGGTATAGAAATCGTGTTTTTCGGCTATTCATTAACTCGTGCATGCCATCACATTGTGCTGTTGTAGAATGCACAAAAAGTGCAGCGGGAGACGAAAAAATCCGGTTGGTACATTATGATTTAAAAGTAAACACCTACTATAGTCACTCACATATATTTTTCATTTTGAAATTTGGTAATTTCTCTGATTTCTCATAGGAATTCCTTCTGCAATAGGAGCTAATAGAAGTACTCGTAAAATGTCTAAAAGAATGCAAGAAGATTCGATTCATGCAGTCAAACGGGAAGACTAGTCTGACATGCTGACGATCGTGTGTGTTGTAGACATTTTCAATCTGTTAGCAGTATTAGCTTGTATTGCAGAAGTGGCAGAAGGAATGTTAATAAGAAGTGACAAAATTTCATGATGAAAACTATGTGAGATTACTATTTACCTGAAAAATCAAATTCCTTCGTCTCTCGCTGCATTTTTTGTGAATTGTACAACAGCACAACGAGAAGGCATGCTTGAATTAATGAATAGCGCAAAAAACACGATTAGTATGAACAAAATATTGTGAAAAACTATTTCAGTCCTTTGATTCCTCTGTAAACAAATGAAAAAAGTGAGGTTGTGTTTCAATGTTTTGCAGAAGTGAGGTTGTATTTCAATATTTCACCTCCAGGGTCGGTCATCGTGCACGCGACCTATTGAATGACTACTTCACCGGTCATATCAACTCCTTAGATTTTGATACAGGGTGGATCGAAAAATAAAAAATATTTAAAGTTGCCATTGTTTGTATGGACATATTTCAGTTATGCCTGAATCGGTAAAAATTATTAGTCGCCAACCTTGCTTAAATTTTATTCAGTTCAAGGGAGTTCTCAACTCACAGAGCAGAGGCAACATTGAAAACTCACTTCAACTTCTGTGTAAAGTCAATTCCGTGGATTTGGCGATAACAATGGCAGTTGTATGTAGTAAGTATAGCAAGGGTAGGGAACATTTTCACAACACACAACACAATTTTGTGGAAAATGGCGTGTATTAGAGGCTACTAGTGAATGAAGTAGCATTCATGAGTATGTGATTAAAAATAATTATAAATAAAAATTAATCAGCCTATGTCTAATAGGTACTATACTACGTTCCAAATAGGGAAAGAGTAGGTGGCGCTGGCTCTGAAGAAAGCTTTACACTGATGAAGTAAATAATGGCGCCTAATTCAAAATTATAGCCATCCTGATGAATGAATTCCACTTTCAGATCGTATTTATCCTCAGGATGTATTATAACATATAACAAATAAATGGAATGTGAAGATTTGATCATCGTTCCACAAAAACAACTTCATTCTTTATGTCACATCACATGTCATAATATCAGGCAGATGTAATATTGGCATGATATTAACCAATCAAAGTAAGAGTCAATGCTCCACTATGGCTGCCAATACTGTCTTCTAAGTGGGAATGGCCTATAGTTAGTAGGAAATGAAATGAAGCTAATAGTACATGAAATAGGATTCTGGAAAATAATATTAGATTGAAAATAATTATAAATAAAAATAAGTTTGCCCACTCAACTATTGCTAGTTTAGGAAATGGAATTCACCTGTAAGGGTTGTTTGTAGACGTCAAATATTTCAGAACCTAAATGTAAACTGTAAGAACCATCAGACCATCTAACAACCCTGGCATTTGATTCTTTTTTTATAGTTCCATCATCTTCCACAACTTCTCTCCATCTTATCGTATTTTCCACTTTTAGTTTCAGTCTGAAACAATGAAGATATTGTTGATTATTACTCAACACCACTTTTTTTTGCTGAATGTATGAAACGGTTTTTCATGAACTTCACGGAGAATAAAAAATTTGAATATAGAAAACTTCTCCATTGTGGTGTCTTAAACATACAGGATGTTATTGAAGTTGAGGCATTTATTTATATCACAAACCCTTGGAATTAAATCCACAAATATTCATGGTGCTGGACGATTTCTTGAAGATACCCTATCTACATAGAAGCAAGATGATTTTGCTGCATTTTGTTGGCTTGTTGACAAGTTCAATCTTGTTGTGAACATGTGACATTACAATTTTTGCTGAAAGACGGCCAACATCCTATGCATATCCATGTTTCTAGTTTTCAATCAATAATATCTTCAACATTTTACAGCTTCTACAGAGGTGATATTTTGTGAAATTACATTTTTGCTACATTCACTTGAAATAAATGCCTAAAATTTGAGTACACCCAGTTCCATCAATACTCAGCATGCAGAATTTCAATATTTGAAAATTGAAGAAGAAATTGAATGTTTGAAGGAAACATAAAGAGACAGCACTATAAGTGAAACTTCTACTCCATATAAAGGAACATACTATTCTGTATTTACCTTGCTCTACCTTCCTCATCAAGAGTTTCTTCCTCATCTATTTCATCTTCATAAGTTTCAGGATCAAAAGGTCTAGTTTCCACAGACAAGAAATTTGGCAATTTTACAAAGTGTATATCCTTTCCCAAATCACAAGTAATTTTCGGTACTTTTACGTCTATCCTAGTTTCAGGAATTGGTTCAGGTTCATTTTCTTTCTCTTCATCCTGCCAAAATATAAAGTCAGAACAATTTATACATGAAATGAGAAATATTCTTCTTACATCTTCTATTGTCGGGCGCTGTTCTGCTTCATCCTCGGACCTAGATCTTCTACCATCTTCTGACCTTGATCTCCTTCCATCCTCTCTGTCTGATTCAGCTCTGTCCTTTTCTTCTTCACTACTTATATCATCAGCATCCCCAAAGATGTCAACAGCATCAACTGAAACAAAAATTAATAATGCTTCTTCATTGCTGAAAAAAACATTCAGTATTGGATTCATGGTGGGAATCAAATGCAACTCACAGAAACAAACTGATTTATAGATAAGAGATTAATTTCACCTTTTTCTTTTTCAACACCACCTCCTTCTTCATTTTCACTATCAGAATCCAACACTCTAGACTTCTTTTTTACTTCTTTATCCTCAGAGCTGCCTCTTTTCCTCTTATCACCTTTTTCACTTCCTTCATCTTCATCAATTTGTAAGTTGGGGCTGTTTGAACCACTTCTGGCTTTTGACTTTGAACGTGATCTACTAGATCTGTACAGAAACAAAATTGATTTAACTATTCTCTGAGTAAGGCTATTACTACATTTAGGGAGAGGATACTCCCATGGACTTGTGGTCATAAGAATACTGCAAAATGGCTTGGTGTGCAGTTGTTGAAATAGGTAGGGTATTGGAATAATGCCAGCTTTACATTTTTGTAGGGTTCAAGAGGACTAAGATATTCATTTTCATTTCAAAGCCAGAAGACTATGGATAACAGGACATGCTTTGGAAATCATCAAATATCTGAAATGAGCTCTGATAAAATCACACATGTCACAGCCCATTGTGGTCACAGCCTGAATTGAATATTTCCACTCATTTTGTGACAACTGAGAAAATTGAACATGACACAACAGTCAGAGTTGATCAAAGTAGGATCAAAGCACATTTATGAATTATAGAGACTTGGCGGGTGGAAACAATCAAAGATTATTATTAATTGCCTATTTTATTGGTCACCTACTATGTGTAACTATTAAAGAGTTGCTTTATTCTGCACCTAATATTGAGTGATAGGTAATATTTACTTGTATTTACTCCATACAGGTAATTGATGCAGCCAATTCTGAATCATATAATCTCACACTTGCTTTTGACTCATTACCAGAATTACATAATCCCAGGTAATGATGAAGTTAATTCTTATACAAGGGGGATAATTCAAGAAAGATTTTTGCAACTAAATTCTTACCTTGATTTATGAGACACTGCACTTCCTGATCGTCTGGATACAGCTGAACCTGACCTAGATCTTCTAGAACCAGAACCAGATCTTTTAGATGCTGCTGAACCAGACCTAGATCTTTTAGATGCTGCTGAACCAGACCTAGATCTTTTTGATGCTGCTGAACCAGACCTAGATCTCTTAGATGCTGCTGAGCCAGACCTGGACCTCTTAGAAGCACCTGAACCAGATCTAGACCTTTGTGACTCTCCTGATGCAGACCTTTTGGACCCTGCAGAGCTTGATCTAGATCTATGAGACCCAACTTTGTTTGAACCAGCTGAACCTGATCTTTTAGATGCAGCAGAAGCTGGCCTTGAGTGCTTTGAACCTGCAGAATCTGATCTGGATCTTTGGGAACCTGATTGAGATCTTTGTGATCCTCTAGAGCCTGATCTGTGTGTTCCTGATCTATTTGAAGCTGGTGAGCCTGATCTCTTAGAATCAGCTGAACCTGATCTTTTAGATGCTGCTGAACCTGACCTCTTTGAAGCTGCAACATCTGAAGTTTTTGATTCTGCAGAGCCAGATCTTCTAGAGGCTGCAGAGCCAGATCTTCTTGAGGCAGCAGAGTCTGATCTTTTTGAGGCAACAGAGCCTGATCTTTTTGAGGCAACAGAACCTGACCTTTTTGAGGCAACAGAGCCTGACCTTTTAGAAGCTGCAGATCCAGATCTTCTGGAGGCATTAGATTCAGAGTGTTTGGAAACTGGTGAACCAGATCTAGATCTGACTGAGGCTGCAGAGCCTGACCTATGTGTCCCATGTGATTGAGATCTTCTTGAATGTTGAGAACCAGATTTATCTGAACCTCCAGAATCTGATTTATCAGAGGCAGCTGAGCCAGATCTTTGAGAAACTACTGAACCAGATCTATGTGACTTGGCTGGGCTATGTGATTTTTGTGAGCCTGAATTATTGGATGCTACACTCACAGATCTTGATTTGCTTCTGGACTGTCTACTTACAGATCTTTCATGGCTGGCATCTCCATGTTTGTAGTCTGGAGAATTTGATGTAGACCTGTCTAATCCATGTCCAGGTGTGGGTGCAGGTCCACGAGGAGGACTTACACTACGATTTGATTCATTATCAGAACCCGAATCCGAAGACATGGTTTCCCTAAAATTAATAATACACTATTATCAATAATAAATACTACAAGTTCTCAATGAAAACATAAACAAGGCAAAATTAAAATTCCAACATTAAACCAACTAATTCTTCTTCTTTTCTTTTTGAAATTCTACCAAATTGGAAAACGCTCGATGAAGAGAAATAGAGGTTAGGGATAAAAAAAAGAGTTTTCGGCATCTTCTCTTGTCAATTCTTGTTTCTGCCTTCACTGGTGTCATAATTCATCAAAGAATTTATAATTCAAAAAATTTCAGTACATGCAAATATTCAAGTTCTAAAATCTAGACGAGGGTATGTAAATAATAAAATCTCCCTACGATATTTTCTTCAAGCAGTTTCGAGAACATTTGACATTGAGATATAAACGGTCCAGAACGGTGTTGAAAAATGGATTTGGATTCTGATGATGAGAGTATTATTGAGGAAGACTTCTACTCATTTTTAAATATACCAAAAGAGGTACCTACTAGTAGTTTAGTGATAGTAGTGTAATAGGAACAACACTATCATATACATTACCCATTCTAGTATTTAACCTCACTTTTCTCATAAGTGAAGTAAAAACCCTTGTAAAAACCTAAAAACTCATTTCAGGCTAGTAAAGAAGAGATTAACAATGCATATAGACGTCTCAGTAGAATCTACCATCCTGATAAACACATGGACCCGTCATTGAAAGCTAAAGCTGAAGTAATGTTCAACAAAGTCAAAAGAGCTTATGAAGGTAGAACTTTTCAAAACAAAATGTATATGCATAAGTGAATGTATCAAACTGTGACATTTTGTAGTACTTTCGGATCCCCACCAAAGAGCAATTTATGATTCATTAGGAACTAAAGGTCTTGAAACAGAAGGTTGGGAGTTGGTGCAAAGGACTAAAACTCCAGCTGAAATAAGGGCAGAATATGAAAAACTAGCTGAAGAAAGAGCTGAAAGAAGGAAGAATCAAGCTACTAATCCTTCAGGAAATGTTACTATAGCTGTTAATGCAACTGACTTATTCAACCCATATTATGATGACCTAATAGATGATGAATATGAAAGGTAAACATTTTTAAACTGAACATTATAGTAGGGGAGCCCAAGCAGGGTGTTAGGGATTTACTGGAGTGCAAAAAATAACATAAGGGGGTTAACCTTGCACTTTTTGAAGTATTACCACCCTACCTGGGCTCTTTATATAGCATTGAATGTCCAGGGCAGCAGATCAGATTAGTAAAAAAAAATAGATCATTGTAAAAACTCCAGCACATCAAATTAGGACAAGGTAGGTTAATTACATGCAGATAAGTATTCATTAAATGGAGAGCCACAAAGGTGCAACAGAAAATGTCACCTGGACATTCTGTAGAGGGATTAATTTTTTTTCATTTTTGAAGGAAATTATTCACAGATCAGGAAAATAACAATATGCTGATTTGCACAAGCCAAAGTAGTAAAAATCGTCAATTAAGAGTGCCTGCAAGCAGCCCCTAGGAACTATGTTTTTTTCCCCACTCTGCCCTTCTCACTCTTTCTTCATATCTCACTGTCTCAATATACAGGGCATTTAAAAAAGACGCGGCAATATTATATTTTAGGGGGAGATTCTTCAGATCATTTTATGATAAAAAGTTCCCATAAATGTAGGTCCAGAAATACACTGTTTCCAAGATACAGGGGAAGTTCTTTTTCAAATACTGTTTTCTTTAAGAAAGTGTATAGGCTGCTGACCAGTCGGCAAACTATACTCTTTCTCTAGACTGCCGACCATTCAGTGGAATATATTCTGTCTTTCCAATATGGTTGTCAACCCAAAAAAAAGCACGGTATGCTGACTGGTCGGCAGTCAATACTTTTTTTCGGGATGCCGACCAGTTAGCAGACTATAATTTGTCTCAAAACTGCTGACCATTCAGTGGAATATATTCTTTCTGTATTACAAAAAGATCCAAGACGGTTAGTAGCTTAGTGGTTAGGCATTGGCTTGGCAGGTACATCTGAACAGGGGAATTGTACCTTACTTTGACAAGTCAAAGATCTGTATAAACAGCACGAAAACGGGGGTGATTAACTTCCATAAAAAAGTCAACAACTCTAAGCTGCACAGACCTTTGACCATCAAAGAGGTGGAGGTGAGAAATACGTTCTCTGTGAAATAATACCAAATATCTAATTCAAAAAACTCAAGGTGCAGTCAAGAAGATATACCCGCTGTTATCCAGGATCCCTCCACTTTCATTGGAGAATAAGGTCCTGGTGTACAAGCAAGTTATTAGACCTGTGACAACATATGTGTGCACTGTGTTCTGCAGCATCCCACCAACGCACATGAACAGATTGCAGGTGCTGTAGAACAAACTACTCCATATAATCACCAATGGTGATCGCTACTCGCTAGTGGCAGATCTTCATAAGAGATGTGGTAATTTGCCAAGAAATAGAGACTTCATAATTAAAACGGCCAACAAGTTTTTCAAATACCCCTTTGATGGAAGTGACCTTACCCGGAATATAACACAAACCAGACAGCACCACAACATACATAAAAAATACAGGCTGATAAATGCATCAACTGATGTTTTTGCAGATCCTGGAAATCTATAGTTGGGAATTTCCCGGGAGCGTCACAGCAAAAGCGTGGCTCCGGAGAAGATCTAGACTGCACAATTTCTCAAGGCATGAAAATAAATAGTGTCCCACCCACAGTGACGATCTGACACTGAATTCTGTCAGTGGCGCGCGTGCTCCCTCGCCGATGTCGAGTTTTTTTTTCTTTTAATATTTCATTTCCCTCCTTCCCCTTCAAACCACCCACCAGGGATAGCGATTGATCAGCACCCCCACCCTCTTGGGAGATAGGCCCCTGAGACTAACACTTCACAAACATACTCACATTCCCTGGCCAACACCAGCCACCTCTGAGCTCTAGCAATATGTCCTGCTTTTTTGAATGTGAAATGTAATTTTGTGTTGCAAAGTAATATGTGTGAAACAATAAAATACTTTGATACATTGGCTTGTCACTCCTGTGGTCCCCTGTTCAAATCCCATATGGAATGATTTATTTTTCATCAGATTTTTGTTCCACTAATGGGTTATTCTGTTTGGGTTGAGTATACATCACTTTCTTTTTATAATTAATTGTTGGCTAATCTAGTTTTGCCTTCCTCCATTGTTAGTTCACAAGATTTTTTTTAACCGGGTTTTTGTTCCACCAAAAGGTTATTGTGTTTGCGTAAGTATATCTCATTCTTTTAGAAGTTTTTCTGATATTTTCAGTCTACTGGTCGGTATTATAAAACGGTGAGTATAGTCTGCCGAACAGTCGGCAGCCTAAAAGAAGAATAGATTGCCGACTGGTAGAAGAAGTTATAAGAGGTGAATTATTTAATGTATGTATGTACCTCACAAATTTTGCTTGCATTCAAATTATTTTTCCATTCAGGCCCTCTTATACATTCCTTCCAAATGAGAATGGTAGATATCTCCTTTGGAAAATCGAATAAATGAAATCCATTCTCTTCAGAATTCCCACAATTTTGAATGAAAAACCGCGGGACGACTATGATGCTCTTATCACAATGCAAGGCTTGTAACTTGATAAATATAAACATTCAAAAACACTAACAGTCGTCATTTCTGTGTCCGAACTCTTATCTAAAGGCCTGTTTGTTTGTATTGCTGAACTTACTGAAGTTGATTTTTTCCCATGGTTGTCTCTGTTCATGGAATGATGTAAACAGAGAAAGTCATAGAAAAAAATCAAGTTCAGCAGGTAGATCAGGCACAAACGAACAGGTCTTAACTAATACCATCCAGTGACTCTAGATCATTCCACTCAAGTAGTCAGGTAGTGACATCCGTCAGCAGAGTGGTTTATTTGTAGTATCACTTTGTAACATTGTAGTCGTAAGGGTCTGCACGTGTTGACTGTGGATGGCGGCGTCATACATTGTATGTCGCGATCGCGATCCTTCCTTAGAGCTATGCCACTAGGTGGCTATAACATGACTAGGTCTTCATGTATTATCCGGCGTTTTTGGAACATTTATTATTCAATTCCGTTAACCCCCGTTAGAGACTGGGGTCCACTAAGCAGCTGGCCCGCTCTCATGCTCAGCTGGTAGTTTTCCACACCCACCTACATACACCGCCCTACTTCTTCTCTGATGCTCACAACCACATCATCATCTCTTTCTGCGTGTTCTGTGTAGGCTTTGTTACTAACTCCATGCGCCACTTTGAGAGCAGCACTGTTGATTGGAACGCAACAGCGAATCGTGCAGGACTATCCCCAGCCGATGCTCCGGAACTTTACAATATTTAATTCGTAAATAAAATATTGAAACAAGTTCCTTGCTCATGCTGGGAATTGAACCCACGACCTTGCGGTCGTGAGGCAGACGCTGTTCCGCTGCGCCAATCCCGGCTTCATAATCTAAGACGAAACTTTCCCACTTCATGCTCTAACTAGAATTCGCCACCCAAATAATATTCTTCGTAACCCACGATTTGTTATATTCCATGACAGGTTCGAAAGCTACAGGAGAGAAGGAAACATGTTGGAGCAAAAAATATATATATCATGTGAAAAATAGTTATAACTTTCACCAGGTGCAAATTGTGCACCCACTAAGTTCTTTGGGTGTAAAGAAATATAAAAATAAAATTACCACTATCTTTCAGTTAACATGCGAAAGCGGTCAACAATGGAATGAAAAATAACGGGTTATACTTAATTGCTGTAACCAGATATAATTATTGTTTTAGCGATTTTATATCCGGTATACCTAACATCGAGGTGTCTTCGATGCAGTTCTCCCAATCGGTGGATTTTCCTTTAACACAAAAAGACAATTGTACGTTATCGGGTCAGCTGCAAACGCAAAATGGAACGGGGCAGGGTGGCGTAAATTTGGGCTGGCGTCACATATTCTCGCACAAAAGCTGGGCCGAAATGGAGTTAACTGCAGGTATTTTCACATTCACTTCAGCCATAGGATATTCATAAAGGTTGTATTTGCAGGAAGTGGACCTGCAGTATCATTCAAAGGATTTAGGACGTTGACGAAAAGGTTTTTCTGGAATGGGGGTACGATTTTGCAGTTCACGCCTGAAGGAATACGACCAGGAATAATGTCAAGTAAGATTGAGATTTCAAATGGAGTTAATTCTCATTATAACAGCATTTTTCCCTTGAAGAGTAGAAATCGTTTATTTTGAGTCTTGCAGAAGCTTGACCCATTTGAGATTACCTTCTAATTTCCGATCGCCAGATAATGTCTCATTCTTCCCCGATTACCACAAAATAATCTCCCAACCTCTATTCCCTACTAGATCTCCGGTCGCCTTGACCAGGTCGTGCCGGCTACAGAGTTCCTAAATGTAGTTGACACTGCTGTTTTGACGTTTTTTGTATATTAGGCTACGTTCAGCGGCAGGTCGGACCATGGTCAATTCGTCTCAATTCGTTCAGACCGTAGTCAGACTATGGACCCGCCCGTGGTCCATGTAGTCTCATTTAAAAATCGGGCCAAGCACGGTCTTAATCGTTCAGTCCATTGTTTCCGTCAGTAAACGTCAGTTATATTTGACATGAATTTATGACATGCAAATGCATTTGAATTTGAACGAATCTCTTCGCGGGTGAGATAACATGATGGCCAGCAAGTTCAAGAGATATTGCTCTGTGCCGCAGTGTAAACAGTATAAAGATACAAGAAGTATATACACAGCTTTTCAACCAGATGCAGAATCATGCAGAATGTGACAGAACATATAAAAAAAATGGGGGGGTAGCCCATTCCCGAATGTACGTCTGTCTGTAGTGGAAGTGGATACTTCTAAGAAACAGATTAGGTATAAAGGTAATTTCTTTCAATTTTTCATCTAATCAGTATTTTATATAATGTTCTTTTCTTTCAGAGGAAAGCGATTCCAAATGTATATTTTTTGTGGAGCAGATATATATTACCCTCACAGAATTCACCGATTATACATTGCACCAAAATGTAAAACCTGTGATTTATATGAATCTGAATGAAAATAAGTGTGGCATTTTGGTACAGAGCATAAATGTGTCTTCAATCATTCTCCAATCTATACCAACTATAACTTATAATGAGTAACAGGAATGAATATGATGATGACACAGATGCTGAAAGGATATAGGTAGACCTTCCTTACCAGTTTTCATCATTATTGTTGTGAACATGCCAATGCAGTTTCCATATAATAGTCAAGCCAGTGCGATTTCGAATTTTCATACTTTCTCAGTAATAATAAATAATTCAACTACAACACCTAATTTTGTTTTATTCCAACATAATCTAGAATATGATTAACAATATGAATAATTTAAAACTCCATTTCATTCATTCTTTATATCATAGATTTTTGCAAATTCTTCATCAAAATCGATGCTGTTGTGGAAAGTAGTCTGTTGGAGAGGAATACAATATACCTACACAATGAATACATATATTATGTACTTTGTTCTTGAGATTCTTGATATCAATGAAATCTTCTCATATGTTGTTCTTCTTGCTCCCTTGTGGAAATGTATGTAAGGCATATAATGGAAAACAAATAACATCAATTAATAATGAAAGTTAGAAATTATATCAGACTCACGTTCAAGTTTCTTTTCATCAACAGCAATTAAAGTTTCGTAGGAAAATACAACAGTTTCGTCAATCCTTGTCTTCATTAGTGAAAGCTATTGTAGGCTCTACTTCATATATATTGCCTGCTCTGCAAGAACAAACACAATCATGCCCAATCGTTCGCTGGACGGCAACAATTTCAGAACAGCAGAAGTTTGCAGAACCTGCCCAATAATCTCAAGTTTCTGTTTCTGTACATTTCTAACTTGACACGAATAACGACAATTCCAGGATGGTAATCTGTTCACCATTCACCATCGGCCGATATCTATTATCAATATATTCGAGAATGTCCACCGAATTGATTTCCACAAGCACCATCGTTCAAAAATCACTCTAACTACGTAAATTTCAAAATGAAAATGGAAATGGAATTATCACATCATGACATCATGACAACTTTGACAGATACTATATACAACGTGACAAATACAAATACATGGACCGATGTCGTTCAGAACTCCTATGCTTGTTGTGGTCCGACTACGGTGGTGACCTGCCGCTGAACGTAGCCTTAGAGTACGGACACTATGACAAGCACTGACAATAAGACATAACCACAAATAAATTGATAGAAAAAGCGGGAACTGGCAGTACACGGACGTACATGACATAAATTTCAAAGGTTTGACAAATTGAGAGAATTGGGAGAAAGATGCAAGTTTGTGCAGTTTGCAACTGTGAGAACACGGGAAATCAATCCACTCTATTCGAATTTCCATCGGATAACGTAATTTTACAAAAATGGAAACAGAATATGATGCGGCCGGCATGGAATATAGGTTCAGGCCACAAAATTTGCGAGGTATTCAAATTGCTTGGTAGAATATAAAACATTTTTCAACGCATTTTTATCAGGTACACTTCAGAACAGAAGATTTGATGTTGAAGGATAGGATCGTATTTAGAGAAAAACTTGCAGATAATGAAATTCATTTCGAACATATTTTGAAAGAAAAAGACTTGAGAATCGAATTTTTAGAGCAGGGTAATTAAAAAAATCCAAGGTTCACGAGTGGCAGAGAGTGAGGAATTCAGGAAACAAATAGAAGAAAAAAATAGAGAGTTGGAAAATAAGTTGAAGCAAAAAGATTTAGATACAAAAGTCAGAGTCCGCAAAATTAAGAACTATTACCTAAACATTATTTCAGATTTGAAACAAAATCAGCAAATATGTTCAGAGAAATACAAGAAAAAATAACAAGCAAATATCCAGGCAATTTGGAGCAAAATTAATAGTTGCGATGAACAATACTATGAAAAACTTTTGCATTTGAAAATCCGAATGGAAGATTTGGATAACAAATTAAATAATATTAGTGAAAATGTTGCTTTATATGAGCATGATTCGTGTTCATTTATTAATTACTTATTACCTACCACTCTTGTACAAGTGAATTTGTTCCATACGAAATAAAAGTATGTTTCATTGGTTGGAATTTATCAGTTTTTACCCCATTCTGAACTCTTGTGATAAAAAAATATTCAACTGAGCGTATATATATACCTACCTACATATAAGAGACGGAATAGAATATGTATTTCGTTAGTATATATGTACATACCAACTTGATATCGACCTCCATTGAGGTCTCTCAGTCTTATCATTCAATATTTCGAGAAGAAATAATTTTCTAATCAATTTATCGTACCCTTTTACCCACTCGAGGAGACGCTATGCACTCTCATACAAAAATCAAAGACAGAGAAAGATATATGGATGTACTCTTCCCAGGACTTATGGAGGAAGGAAAATGCGAGGATCCTTAATCTAAGCGAAAAACATATTCTTGTCCTTGTCTGGCAAAACATATGATTTGCTGCAAAATCGTTTGTGGTTATGTTTGATTGTCACTGCTTGTCTAGTGTCCGTACTCTGATATGACTCTGATATACTAAAAACGTCAAAACAGCAGTGTCAAACACATTTAGGAACTCTAGAGTGACTTGATGAAAAGAGTGACGACAATAGTGGTACACTTTTTGATTTGTCAGACCTCTTATATGGAGGTACATCAATCTGTCTCGATTTCTCCATTCGGTTCTACGCATGCTATTCCACTTTGTCAATGCTTTGTCTTTGTTGTTTGCTCTTTGAACACAAAACATCCAGCAATCAAACATGAAACTCTATACGTCAGTACCTTGGATATTAACTATTAGAATTCGTCTTTCAAGAGTCGTAAGTCTCAGATTATTCAGATGATGAAATGAAAATATCAAATATTTGAATCTAACATCAGGCACTTCGAAAGCGCAAATTCATTACTGCATGGGCATACCCTTCAAAGTTTTAGCTATCCAATGACTTGACCACAAATGACATATCGGAAACGGCAGCCATTTCGGGGTCTATTGTGACGACAATAGACCCCGAAATGAATAGAGCCGGCTAGAGCAGGACCACTGCCTGCGGCTTTCGTCAGTACCTATGAAATGGCCGAATGGGTCTTAAACAGATAGGTCAAGCTTCTGCAAGACTCAGAATAAGCGTTTTCTACTCTTCAAGGAAAAAACTGAGGGTTAATTCACTGCCCAAATTCTGTGCACCGGAGCCATGCATTGCCTCGCATTGCCGTGCATTGCACACACATGTTCATCAAAACGCCTCGGCAAATTGCCCCTCGTATATGGACAATACAGGGTCACGAAAAATTCCGTTTTAGGTATAGAAATGCTAATGGAATAACTCGTCAAACCTAGAGTCCCTGTATATACCTTAGACAAGAGTCCGGACACAGCTATACTTCTGTCCTTTTCTTTTTTCAAAAAATGCATTGATGATTGAATAAAGGAATAAGACATATATATAGACCTCTGTCTTTTCAATTCCCCTAGTATCAATGATTGTCAGAAACAATTTTGAGGGTTAGATTATTTGTCAAACTGTTCATAGCCGTAGGTAGAAGTGAGAAATGGGGCTATTTTAACTAGAATAATTATCAGATTTTCAAATAATGAACAACAGGGTGTTAAAATTTCGAATCGATAATTTTCATAATCAATTCCTGAGATGGCTGTTGCAAATTTTCGTCATCAGATATTCCTTCACTTCATTAGATATAAGAGAAATAATTTGAGTGTTCTACGTGATATCACATATAGCCAAGAAAATATAGTTGTTTTCTGTTGGGATATAAAAAAATAAAAGATGTATAATTGTTCCGAAATGATTTTCTCCGATTCTCTCAATCTAATAACACGCGGAAATAAAAGTGACAAAATCTATCTATCGTTTCAAAACCAAAAGTTTGGGATGTTTCCATGCAATAGGCTTGCCCTGGAGTGATAGCCATTTCGTCAAAGCAAAGGCAGCAGTCTCTCTCAATGTCCGAGTAATTCTCTATTTGCATTTTCAAGTAATGGAGAGATTCTACCAATATTCCTGGATTGAAAGCAATGCTATTTTCCTCGATAGTGTTCTGATTGTAGGAAATGGAAATTTTAATTTCAACAGGTGTTCATATCCAGTGGTACCATAAGAGAATTTGATAGCGAGTGCTTTATTAATTGTGTCGATTTCCCACCTCTTCCTGCAGTCTACATTCACCTGTAAATTTTAAATTCGATCTGAATTAAAAACACCGTGGACTAATGACATAGCACATATTGCAATTTCTTTAAATCTTCTAGTTTTGATTTCAAACTTTCAATTTCTTTCCGCATCATCTCATTCTCATTTTCATTATCTGCGATCGTATCATTCAGTAATTCCCAATACGATGACGACGGAACTCTTTTTGAACATCTATATTTTATAAATTGACGGCACAGCAGACTCTTTCAATTTGAAATTCATCAGCTTTAAAGAATCTCTATCATAATGGGCCTAAAATTCAACTTTTTTGTACTGTTTTTACAAGTAAATTTGAATATTTACTTACCCCACATATTGCGGATTTCTTGAAATTAATTTTCCATTCTGGACGTTTCATTGCATTCTTCCATGACATTATTTTTGAAGGATCATTCGGAAAATTGAATAACTTGAATCCCTTTTCTAATGAATTATCGCAATAATGTACGCAGCAGGTCATTGAAATAATTCAAAATGCTAAATTTTGGTGGTCATAAAATTCCAAAGTGACAGTGACAGAAATTCGAAATAATTAAAAAAACCGGGCGGGACGACTATGGTGTTTCGTCACATTGTCAGGTGGGCAAACCAAATGAAACAAAATATTAAAAACCCCAACGGCTGACAGTTTTGTGTCCGGACTCTTGTCTAAGGTATATACAGGGACTCTAGTCAAACCCATAGAACTCAAAGACCTAGAAGGCTAATGCAAGCTGAGAAATTGTAGAAATCTCATACAACCAGTGTGTTCACGGCAATGATGATCATGCTCAAATTGTCGGCAACATTGTCAGATATATTTTTATTCCCAAATTTAATATTTATGCATTCGAATGATGTTCATATTCCTCAAAAAACTTTTTGTAACTGATGGTCAACAGCTTTACTAAAATTAAATATATAATATTCGTGACAAAATTCATAGCCTCACTGATATTAATTGAATGGCTAACAAGAGATCGATGAAATATTATGAACTTCTAATTTCTCACAAGTTCATTTGGCAACTGTGTGAGAATGTACCTCTGTCATTTTGTCTGACGTAGACTAAACACAGAGCCGGATTAGTTCCAGTTGTTCATTGTTTTGCTTTGCGTTTAACGTCACCCGTTTCCCTTAATTTATAATTAAGTAATCATTCAACCCTCTTAAGATTATACAACACACAAAAATGTATTCCTTCCTGTTGTTTTTTTTTGTCTTCTATTATCCATTTCAAGGATCGCTCCAATTTTGAAAACTCCCTGTTTACAATTTCTGTACACATGCGATAGTCCAAACTGAATAAAACTTCAACCACTGTGCCTATTCATCAGAATTGTTTTCAGTTTGTCCTGAGTGTATATTCTTTTCAGCATTAGCCATGCAGATTGACAAACATTCAGTTGGCTACTTATCCTATCATGGCGGTATCAGATCGCTATTTTCAACACAGCTCATTAGAGATACAGGTAAGGAAAACTACATATCTTTCGTCAATTTTCTTTCTTACCTGGATCCCGAAAGGGAATATGATATATTGTGAAAACATTGAGTTTAATTCATTTTAACATGAATTCATGTTTATACTTTTGATTTAACTTATATCTGGTTTTTGATTCATTGAACTTATTTTATTCCGTTTTTGGGATTTAGGAGTGGGGGGGAGTGAGCGGACTGTGAGAAAACATTTTTCCAACAAAACTCTTTTTATTCTGAAAGATTTTGTTAGTAATAGCCAAACAGGCACGTGTATCATTTTAATCAATAATAGTTCTCCACACTTGATATATATATATATATATATGTATATATATTAATTTCAATGTCGTATATTTGTGTATAAAAGACTGATCTTATGTTGTGACTTACTTTTTGTGCTTTGTATCCTATACCATTCTATAATAATAGCACAGAATACATTTCATTACTTCATATCGGTTCTTCAGTTATTTAAATCTGACATCTTTCCATATCCAACGATTTTCGGACGGCATCATTGCTCTATAGATATCTATGTTACTGAAGACTCTGACCAACAATACAGGGTAAGTTAATAGAGAGTTAAAGTGCTGCCAGAAACGTTAGAAACGAGTAGAGCAACAACGCATGCGCATTTCTCACTTATTCCGGGTTTGCGATCATAGTGGGTGAACGTTATACTACGTTCTTTCACGTATACCTTCAATATCAACGATTCAACGTACGTTACCCAACTATCACTGAAATATGCCGATTGGTTAAGAGTATCAAAGTCAGCATCTCGAAGTTCTACATGAAGGATTCTTGTCATTTTAACACGAATAAATATTCAGAACAAACGACAAAAAATCATCAATACGAACCGAAAACAAAATATGTTACGATGACACTGATGGCTACAACTCAATTCAAGAAAAATCCGGGAACGTTAAGTTTTTGTACTTAAGCATCTACGCGGAGGTCTACGTACAGTGAGTACTTAAACTCTCTATTGATGAACTATTGTTCTTGACAGCATCCAGCATCATAGTGCTTGAAGTACTTCGTGATTCTGTCCAACACATTATGATTGAAATTTCGACAAATGTATCCCTACTCTCAGAATCAGAATACTGAAATGTGATATGATTTGATATTGATTAGTTTTTATAATTTGAATGAACATTTATATATATTTTCAGAATATAACCGTTATAATTTCTCTATACAAGTGGGTTTGCCACATTCTCATGTCCTTCTACAGTATACAAGAAAAATGATGAACCAAGAACTGAAACTGAGAATTGCAGTGAAGTAAGATTGATATCGTGTGTTATTATGTTCCAGTATTTAAACGTTTGTTTATAGAGCAGGTACGTTTGGAGGTGTTATCGAATATGGCGCAGAAAAGAAAATATCGAAGCATAGCAATTTAGCATTTTCTGTAGTATGTGGTGTACCATCTGGTGTTAAACTTAAAATCAGGTATGTACCACATATCAGTTTGTGTGAGACTTTCTTTTCTGTATGATGATTTATTCCATCCTTGTGCCATTATTTCTGGCTACCTTCTCTCCTCACATTCTCTCCTATCACAATCCTCAAAAAAACGTCGTCTCCATTTTTCGACAATTCCCCTTTGTGATGACAATAACTCTTATAGTATATCAGAAAGTCTAGTTCCAATCACTAATTCCTACAATTTATCCCTTCGGTAATTTTGCACTTATCATGCGATGGGTTTCTCTCCAAAATTTTTTTTTTGTTACGTATTTTTGTCTGAAAAATACGAATTTGATAATGAAAATGTGAACAAACTATTATTTATCAAGATATTCCACTATAAAGTTACAAATTTCACCTTCTTTTCCGTCTGCCTTTTGGATCGCATTTTGAACAATTTGCCCTTCTTTATCATCAGACAATGTACTTCAATAATACATTTTTTTTATATGAAAGGCAACTAGACATATGATTTTCTTATGATTTATCAATATTTAGTTTGAAGAAGGAAGAATATCATTTAAAATAGTAGCGTGTGTAACCTCATTCAAAAGCAAGCTGTTGGCATTTGACATCTCGTATTTGGATTGATTATTGATTAAATGGCCGTCATCTGGTATGATTGTTTCCTAAATATGGAAAACCATATTTCGTGTTGAATTTTCTATTTGAAAATGTGTCATTGAAGTACATCATAAGTATACAAAGTGTCCAATGACAAAATGAGATGAGCAAGTAGCTGTAAATGCAACCAAGCCAGGGGAAAAAAGAAGGCAACATTTCGAACTTTGTCTTGAAATATCTCGATGAGTAGTGGTTTGTTCACATTCTCATTATCAAATTCGTGCTTTTCAGATAAAAATACGTAGGTGACAGAGGAATGTTTCTAGAAAAAAAAAAACATCGCATGATAAGTGCAAAATTACCCAATTCCACTTTTATCAAATTGTTCAACATAAATCGACCCCATTTCCCGTTCATCTCCGAATAGAACTGATCTTTATGATTCACTTGTTTGCTCTAATCTATTGAATTGTTCCCTGAATGAAAAATAATTCGAAATTTATTTTCCATTCTTCATCTCCTCCTTTTTCCATTCAAGGTTGACCAGGGCTTCCCAAACATACTCCTTTCCTATTCATCTTTGCGAGGAAATAATGCCAGCTCCAGTGTTTTATGCCACAGTTGTGCCTTTAGTAGTATATGTTGTTGTGAAAAAAGGCTTTGTAGAGCCTTTCTTGAAAGAAGAGAAGTCTAAGAAAGTGGAAAAACAAAAGCAAAACAATTACAATAAGCTTGTGGAGAAACGAAGGGAGGCTATGGCAGCTCAGGACCTGATGAACGCTACTTACAATAGAAATAGAGATGAGGAAAGTAACAAAAAGGGATTGGTGATTATCAAAGCCATCTACGGGAGGATAATGAGAGGTAACTAATTTGCCGTGTTGTGGGAAGATAATAATGGAAATTGCGTGTTTTTGTTGCATGACGTCACCTGGGATATCACCTGTCAATGTTGTCACTGATTAATTGATTTTCGAGGGAAATTAATAATTGAAACTGGAAATCATATAACCAGTTGGCGTCATTAGAGCGTGAGGTCTATGTCAAAGTCGGATAGCCTTGAGGCCGAGGACTAAAATTTTCTGAATATTGAGTGGTGCCTATGTAAACAAACAAGCGCGTTTTTTACCCTCAATGTGAAACATAACCAGCAATTTTTACATCAATAAAGAAGAATATATCGTAGGAAGAGGCCAAATGATACGAAAAGAAGTATACCCATCAGGTCTATCATCCTCTACCTCACGTTTCAGTAGCGCCATCTGGTGGAAAATTTAAATATGTTAGCCGTTATTCAATTGAACTATCATTCTCAAAGTAATTGAGTATCAAGGACTATTTTCAAACAGCCACATTGTAGGTTGATTCTGATTGCAGCAAACTACAAAACAATCTTTATAGAAGAAGGAGATTATTAGATAAACATTCACTATATAAATTTAAACTGTTGTCATGCATTCATTATGTTGAAAATTGTCAAAAGTAACGAAATATGGTTTTCAAAATTATAGTTGACTTCACGATCGTACAACTAGACTAGATCAGATATTGCAATGGATCGATAAAATTAATTTCAAAAAAGCTCATAAATATCCACTGCTGTACTTTTGACATCACATCTCATTATAACTGAATCAAAAATGACCAAAAAACCTATATATCAATAGTTCAACTAAAAAAAAGAGTAATTTAAATGAAACGTTTACTTTGCTTGATTAGGATTGATTAAATTCGAAAAAATCTTGCTAAATTTTGGCATGGAGATTATATTGAACATTCCCTTCATCTATTTTTTGAACATGAAGAAATTTGCTGTGATATATAGATGATTTTTTCTTCCCTCAAGTGTAGTGTCGTTTATTTTCTTCTGTGTTTCCTGTAGGACCTTTATTTGATTTTGTGCTGTCCTGTTTCAGTTATTAACTGTGTGTTTGTCTTGTCAGGTGTTTGTTGTTTTGTGTTATTTTATGTGCTTTCTCAATGATTTTATTGTTTCTGATTCTGTATTCATTATTTATCAAAATTTACATTGCAGATTTAATGCATAACTGTATAGATACTTTTATTTCGAAAAAGTATGGAACCCTATTTTATATTTTCTATCAAAATAATTCAATTTTAGACACGAATCAGCAGCATGGGGATGCAGAATTGTCGAGTGAGGTGCTCGATGTAACTATTCCAGTACAATGTCTAGTCAAAGATAGTAAACTAGTTATACATGATCGTACAAAGGTATATTATATTCTTTCATGCTGTTGGTCCACGTACTATCAACCCTCGATAACTTTAAAAAAATTATATTACGATGACACAAAATAGTTATTTATACATCAAGATAGTAAAGAATATCAGTATTACCCAGGAACCAAAATTATCTCCCGAGGCTTCGCCCGAGGGGTATATGAGATAAGGATTTTCAAGCTAATTTGATAGTGACGTCAATATGTCAACACATGCAGTGTTGCCAGTTGAAAGGAAATGACTAAATGACCAACCGCCCTTATATGGCGTTATAATGTTTTTTTTGCAACCGACTCAAAAGCCGTCAACCCTCATTTACGCCATTTAACATGTTCATTTATCATTCAACAGAGATGCGTGGGATCAATACCAGCAAAAATTTGGAATAATGAATACCAGCATAAATGACATATAGGTACATTTGATGAATCCACGTTTCAATATTTGTAGTTATGTCTTGAATTCATCTATTCTTGATAAAACTGATCATTATTCACATTTACTGAGTGGAAACAATATAAACTTCGAATTCCATTTTATGGTTGGGTATATATCTAATCATTTTGGATATTTTTCAATCACTATAAATTGGTGAAATTAAATAGAAATTTGATCATATATTCTTATTTTGCGGGAAAATAAATAGTGGTGCATCAACTTATTTGGAAATAATGGTATAGACAACAAAATTTGTTCTTACTTCAATATTCCCAATATGATTCATGAGGAAAACCCACAAAAACTTCAGTATTATCAGTATTACTGATAGACTCAAAACTAACCTTTGAAGTTCACATTGAAAAAATAGTGAAGAAAGCTCTGATAAACTTGGGATTCATTACAAGAATATCTAAGCCATTCACGAATCCAAAGACATTCATTATGTTATATAACTCCCTTGTGAGGAGTCATCTCGAATTTGCCTCGATAGTATGGAATCCTTGCTACCATAAATACATTCAACGAATAGAAAGAGTTCAGAAAATATTCATGAATTTATTGTTTCTTAAGTTCAAAAGACCCCTAATGTATTTATCATATGAAAGTCGATTAGAACATTTCAAACTCTCTAAACTCTCTTCTCGTAGAATCGTAAGTTATGTACTATTCCTTTTCAAAATCATAAACAACAAAATAGACAGTAATTATATAGTCAATAGGCTCTCGTTCAATGCTCTCACTCACGTCACTCGCGTACATAACTTATTTTACCTACCATCTCTCACAACCAACTATGCAACAAATTCACCTCTCTACATGACTCAGAATTCGTACAACTCATACTTCAGCCACATTGACCTATTCAGCAGCACCATCTATAAAGTCAGAAAGGAAGCTACAAATGTGTTTGCTATGATTCAGTCGAAATCAAAATATGAGCATGTATGTATACTTCACCTAGTTAAAAATTTTAAATATTAACATTATCATTACATAATTATGTTGGTTTTTATAAATATAAAGTATCACTATTGCCCCATTGAGAGCGCTACATACCTATATATAGGATTATTTTAATTTTCTTTTATTGTTTTGTTAAACTATTCTCTTGAAGTGTACACTCTATATAATGTAAATTGTATAACCCTATAATTGGAGTTTCAATACTCTGTTGGTTAACCTATGTATTAAATAAATAAATAAATAAATAAATTAGCCAGGAACAAGATTATATCCCGAGGCTTCTTGCTAATAATATTCTTTACTACCAAGGTGTATATTAAATTTTGTTCACCATTAGCAATGAATTCCAATCATGTTAGTTCTGTGAAACTGAAATATGAAAATATTGGTACGATGAAAGCATTTCTTTCCACTTCTTATTAAAATCTAGTAGCCATGACCATTACAGCATATGTATGACAAGTCATTATTGATAAACCCCAAGTAGCACACATATATTGGGACAATATCGGTGCAATATTACGAAAATATCGGCAAAATATTGTGAAAGTAATATTGGCGAGAAAAAAAATGTGAACATTCGGCGATATTGGTACAATATCAGTTTCCAAATGTGGGTAGAATATTCTCATATCAATATTGGTTGAATATTCGTAGAGTTATATCGGACCCAAAATGTAATATCAATATTGGTGAGAAATTAATGGTGAAAATTCGGCAATATTGGTGTAATATATGGAAATATCGGTGAATCATTGAAAATCATCATGAAGGTATGTTGTCTCAGAAATATTGGTAGAATATTCTCATACCAATATTGCTGGAATATTCGTGAAGTTATATTGGTCACAAAATGTGATATCAATATTGCTGATAAATGGACAGTGAACATTTGACAATACTGGTGCAATATTGGTTGGAAATATTGGTACATTATTGAAAATTATTATGTAGCTATGTTGTCTTCAAAATATTGGTAGAATATTTTCATACCAATATTTGCGAGTTATTCGCATCAGGAATAATCACAAAGGTCAGCCTAGCCGGAGTGCAATGGAAGGGCCTTGCATTGGGAAAGCCTCCTTGTTAATCACGGTTAACCCCTACTCCAGGTTATAATACTTTACAATCGTCTAGAGCTGATATTTATATTCTCTCGTCTGATCGGCAATGGGAGTACGTTACCAATCATTTATAGCGCCATCTATCGACATCGATTTGGGAGTGCGTAATATGGAATAAATATCGAAATTTCGATATCGATATGTATTCTCAAAACAATATGTGAACAATATTGCTCACATGATATAGTGAATCACATATCAGCCGATATAAGATGATATTATTTTCTGAATATTACTAGAAAACTATTCACCTGATATGCAATTGAACTTGGAATTACAATATTGTTTTTCTCTTCTGTCCGATATAAGATATATAATTATATTGAATTGCTGTTATTGATATTTATATTTGAATCATTGAAAACCCCTTCAGAATCGACATGGGGAGAATGTTCAAATTGCAATATTGGTTATGATTGTTGGAAACAATATGTATACGATATTTTCCGCATGATATCAATTGAAACAATATTCATCCAATTTGCCGTCGAATCCGATTACACAATATTGTATATCCGCTTCAGAATAGACATGGGGAGAATGTTTGAATTGCGATATTGGTTATAGTTGTTAGAAACAATATGTGTGCGATATCTTCCGCACGATATAGTTGGATTGATATCAGTCAATATTGGTAAATTCTATGTTCCAAATATTGTTGAAACAATATTCTACCAATATGCCGTCGAACTCGAACATACAATATTTCATAACCGCTTCAGAATTGACATGGGGAGAATGTTCAAATTGCTATATTGGTTATAATTGTTGGAAACAATATGTATACGATATCTTCCGCATGATATGGATAGAATGATATTAATCAAGATAGGTGAATATAATATTTCGAATATTGTTGAAACAATATTCAACCAATATGCCGTCGAACTCAAATATACAATATTGCACAACCGCTTCAGAATCAACATGGGGACAATATTCAAATTACGATATTGGTTATAAATGTAAGAAGCAAATTGTATACGATATTTTCCGCACGATATAGATAAAATGATATCAATCAAGATGGGTGAATATAATGTTTCAAATATTGTTAAAACAATATCCAACCGATATGCCGTTCAACTTGAACATACAATATTGCATAACCGCTTCAGAATCGACATGGACAGAATGTTCAAATTGCAATATTGGTTGTAAATGTCGGGAACAATATGTATACGATGTTGTTGTATCGACATTCGTAAAACAATATTATATAACATTCATAGATATGTTTTTCAACACATTGTTAACGAATTTTACAGCCTATATTGCTCCAATATTATAGCTGACAATCCATATTCAGCTCAGGTTGAACCAATATTCCACCAATATTATCATTCCAATATTGTTAGTCCAATATACTCTCATATTGGACCTATATTATTTTTCACATGTACGATATATCTATATCGGCCCAATATGAAATCGGGTTCCAGCCAATATGATGTGCTACCTGGGACACCTTCTAGATAGAGTGCCATTCTTGTGAATCTCGCATAAGAACAGTGAATTCGGGTTGATTATATCAGAGGTGGCTATGTCTTTATTGACTAGTGGTTCAGAAAATGACGAAAACTACCTTGGTAGTAAAAACACACTTTACACCTCAGAGTGAATAATGGTAGGTGTTATAGCTAGTGGTGGAAAAAAAAATATTACGTACTTCAATCCCCTACTTCCCAGAACAATCCACTCAATAATTTTAATTGGAAATAGGCGTCAAATCATCAGTGTCATACTTAATTTTCAAAGTAATTCAACTCCGACATCAGCGGTGCAAGCTTTTTGATTTAGACCAAGAAAATCTCGTGATATTCGAGTCCACATAATTATAGGGTGTTTCAGATTAAAATGTACATAATATGATAGCAGAGATAGAGGACACTTTGATGGTTCCAAATCACCCATTGCTGCGTCTTTTGTAACTGAGATAGAGAACTTTATCTTTATCTGGTCATAATTTTTCAACCAATTTATACAGGGTTTCTATAAATGATTGTAGCATCGTTGAAATGGTGCCGCTCTTTGCTTATGTCGTTTACTGGTTTTGAAGCGACCCAATGTTTTGAAGCTCGATCTCCATAAGTGGAAACCGGCAAATCAATAAAATATTTCAACGGTCACTACGATGCTACGATCATTTAGAGTTACCCTGTATAATCTATTCTTCATTGGTTAGAATAGTTCATCTATATCTCCCATAAAAACTTGATGGAAAACGAGATCTGAATCCAGGACCGTCTAGTTAGAAAAAACAGAAAACTTTTATTTTTTTATTTAATAGAACACCCCACCCCGTATTGCAAAATTTTGTAGATTTATTGACTTTCAAGCACTGGTAAAGTTTAAAATCATTTTTCTATGAGTTGTCGAGGTTGGATAGTATCATGACCACTCGGTATATACCAGTGCAGTGAAAATATAACACGGAATTTTTCAGAGTGAATTGCCAGGTTTCTTCGATCCAGCATTAGGGGAAGAAAAAATGTTACACATTATTTATAACTATCATGATCAACCCCATGAAGTGACGATAGCAGACAATGATTCTCTGAGGTTACCAAAAACTGGTAGGTGATAATCGTTGATGGAAATACTGATAATAATGTTAGTACTGTTTTGTAGCACATCGGACAAACATTACATAGTACTATGGAAAAGTGACATAGTGGGAAAATAGACAAGTTGAATAATTGAATTGGTAGAAAAAAAAACTGATTGGTACATGTTTGTCATTTGTTTGTACCAATTGTGTTCAAATTGTTTTATTAAAATGCATTTGTTTTGAAAAAACAACTCTTTATAAAACAATAAAATTGTTACTATTTATTTATATATTATTCATTACAGTATGATAAGAAAGAGTATTTATTAGTCATTATAAAATCAGCTAGTCACGTCCATAATTGATTTCATTTTGGGATTCATCACAATTTCCCTGAGGAAGTTAATTCCTTCATGCCTAGTTTCTTCATCCCCAGCCGGGGTCCAACTATAGTCTGCCTCTAATCGATAACTCCCAAGGAACTTGTGAGGGGTGTTTATCCACTCCTGAAAGACGTAATACTTGTTTCCATTTTTCAAAACAAGTCACTTGCCAATAGGGGACTTCGCTCCAAGTTGCCAACCTAAAAATCTCTACCACTGTAGAAGCAATATTATGGACGTTTGATTACTCAAATAAACTACTCAACACTAATTTCGTCGCACACCAAAATGTCGCTCCTGTTATAATGTGAATAAATTTTTTCAGTTTAGAACAATTTGAATTTGGTTCACACTGTTCGATAGCCCAGTCCTTCAGCTATAATCTGGTACTTCATTGAAACATAAGGGTATTCACATAAAATCTCTACATGGTGTTTTCCGACACTGTGCGAAATTTCGGAATATTCAAAAGGCTCTCAAATGGTGAAGAAAATGTTTCTCTCAACTTCGACAACAGAGGCATGAAGATGATCTCATTACCTCGAGATATTTCGCGAATCAACTTCCTATCTCTCTTATTTACAGAGTGATCTCAAAAAATCAACTTTCTGGTTTTGCAGCCATAACTTTTTTCCACGTCAACCGATTTTGAAATTCTTAGGCTCATTTTGAAGATAAAACTTCAGATGAAGAGATCTGAATATCAGAATTGACTCAAGATGGCTATCAAAGATCTAGAGTTTTCTTGAAAGTGACCCAAATCTGGAACGCCCTTCGACTCTTGGTTGGGAGGAGAATTGAATGAAAATCAACTTGTTCTCGGAAAAACAATTCATTCTGGATGCGTCCATATTTTCCTCGCTCTCAGTTGTCAAGAATTGTGCATGAGAAAACACAATTGAAACATGTTCTTGCAAAAACATTAGATCATTTCTCCTCTGTAATGCATGGCCCGCCGTAACCAACGTTACAAGAATCACAATGAGTGACTGACAAGTCAGGTTAGACGTCGTTTTCGAGTCATAAACAGATTTTGATAGTTTCGATGCCGCATCTAACGCCCGACCAGTTGGAACTGATTCCACAAATGAGGGAACAAGGGTTATCTTTCCTCCAAATCGCGGATCTGCTAAACACGACAGTCCGATCCATTCAAAGGGCTTATCTCCGACACGAATTGTTTGGTTATTACTAGAGTCACTGGATGTTATTAGTTTGATAAGAGTTCGGACACAGAAATGACAACGGTTAGGGTTTTTGAATACCCAAAATCAGTAAGTTCGAATCACGTTCGAACTTCGAATAATGATCAACTCTCATGAGACAAACCTATAATAAACTGGATGTAAGGGTTCCAAAGCTATCTGGTTTGGGGCTACTCTCGAATCATCCTAATGTTATTAGGTTTTTATATTCATTGTTGTTCATTTATATATTCGAATAGTCTTGTGATCTCAGCTACCCTTGACCTATCTGTGTCTAATTATTTGAATAAAGTTATGTTATTGAATTCCGACATTTGTTATATGTATCTCTATTAGTGGAAACGTTGAGCAGTTTCCATCCAAGGTGAGCCATGTAAGCTTTAAAAATATTTATTGAATGATTTATTTTCCCAATTGTAATTTTTTACTATAAAAATGCTTATTATTACCAGTTATTATATATAGGCATGTTAGTGTTTTTATTTATTATATCAACTGTGATTTCTTTGTTTCCATACAGTTATGGTCTCATCCACTCGGATTATTTTCCATTTCAGGATAAGGTTGAAACTTCATTATTCTATTCCTACGAAGTCATGCTTGGATCGATTTCAGCACTCAAATGAAATGTATTCCTTCTTCCTACTGCAACGATCGAACTTATTTACCAAAGAATGATGAATGAAATAATCTTAAATATGTAATGAAAATGTGACAAGTAATAAAATTGACGACGATATGACATATTTCAGAATGAAAACAGGTGCATCAACATAATTTTCAACTTATCAGATATGGAGTTAACAAAAATTGATTTTTCTTCTGAATAACTCTATTAGTGAGCTGAGTAGACTCCGTCAATCAGATTTCATCAAAATAAAGCAATTTGAGTAATAAAAGTTCCATAATTTCGCTTCTACATTGGTAGAGGTTTTTAGGCTGGCAACTTGGAGTGAAGTCCCCCATTAAAGGTAATTTGAGTAGCTTGAAGCGGATTGCGGTAGTTTGGTTGGCGGTCAACACAAGTTTCCAAAACACTCCAATCACAATTTTGTTTGAATAACTCAGAAGCTCACTAAATGTTTAACTTTACATCATAATGAATAATCATTTCATGTAGGCGACCCTCAACCACACTAGCATTGCCACGTGGAAGCACAAAAGTATTTTATGATTGGAATATTCTACGTATTATCTTTGATTATTTACAGTAACAAAATGATCCATCCTCATGTAAAATGTTGAAGCCAAGTTTGGCCTTAGTTCTTGGCTGGTTCGTAGGCGGCGCTTGCAAAACTCAGCAGAATATGGCCGATTTGTCTATAACTATTTACTCTCGGAATCTGTTTGATTCCATCTATCTCCAAGTTGCTGAACTATCTAGGAACATCCTTTCTGAAGCAGGAAATTTACCAACTTTGATATTCTAAAGGCTTTCAAATAAAGCTAATTCAATCCGGCCCTGATGGCCGACATTTCTTCTTACATAAAAAGATCTGAAAATAAACCTCGCTACTCAACAAAAAGTAGTTCACCTTGTCGCTGATAGATACCGCCACCTACTGAAAAGAATTCCTGGCTTCATTGCTCTCATAAGGATAATTCATCTTGTTACTTTAAATAATCAAGGGTATTATGCAGTATAATGGACACAAACGTATAAAACACAATGAGTAGTAGTAGTATCTTATTGGGATATCTCAGCTGACGTGTGGAGCAGAAAGCTGATCTTGATGATGTTGAGGATAGTGTGAAATACCATAAGCACAATAAGGCGACCTTCACCACACTTTCTTACTGTGAGAAAGATTGAAGTAGCCCGAATGTAAGAACACTTGTTATTAAGGAGCCGTTCCAGAAAAGAAGAATGAAAGATATTAGACTCTGGAAACAACAGGTCTTGCATTCTGGTAAAGAATATATTGCCTGGATACTATCTGACATATTTTGTAGGGATCTTGCAGCTGAAAGGGTAATCTACATAGATGATTGATCAGCGAGGAATAATTGCACCTCCAGATCATTTTTGAGACAGACGCGAACGCGCACCATACAATGTGGATCTATGAGATCAACAGACAAGGTGAGATGATGACTTTATTGAGATTATTCAGAATACAGGAAGTAATGAATCTTCAAATTTTATCAAACACGCCTATGTAACTTGGAAACGGAGATGAGTAACGAAATTGATTTGAGAATTTCCTTGAACAGTTCGTTTTTTTTTGTCTTATATCATTCGTTGATCCAATTTTGAACACACACTGTAAACTTTTCGGAAATTTCTAATGCATATGTTTAAGTATCATTTAATGAAATCCAAGAATGTGTAATATTACCATACCTCTGGCGACAGCATTCCAAAATATTTTTGGCCTGATGGTCGTTCATACAAGTGGTAAACATTTCCAGGCTTCTTCACAAAATTGCAGGCTGCACCATTCAATTCATGGTTTAAATTTGTTTCCCTTATAACATCGGTCATAAGTTCTTGTAGATTTTTCATCTAAGAGTAAACTTCTTGATATTCTCGAATTGTAACGTATTAAAATATATTTACCTGTCTTCCAATTATTTCTAATTTATTCCTTGCATTGGATGCCACATGGCTGTCTGCCTGAAATACACCAATATTTATTCCTAAAATTAACTAATTTTCCACAATTGATATTGAGCTGTGAGTTATCTATTGATTTGAGACTTGATTCACTTAATTGACATGTATTATGACAGATAACAATTTAACATAAATAATTATCTTATTCAACAGATTGTAGTATTTATGAATTTTGGTTCTTGTAAAGTTTTGCTTCAAATGTTCTAAGGTTGCTAGACCCGAATCCTTTGGATTATTATGCTCATAGTGTTCCATTCAAATTAGGCAAGACTCAGTCCAGCGAGTAAAAGACAGTGAATGATTTGGAAGAATCCAAATTTCTTCCACTAATAATTCTCAGATGTCAAAAATGTATTGATGCTGCTGGATATAACTTTGAACAACTGCTGAAATTATCATTCATTTTTTATATCAGCTGAATATTACAATACTAATTATTGCATAATTTTGTTTTTAAGTGTGGAAATGGCCAAGACAAATTGTGTTGGTAATTAGTTTATCACTATCAGGAATGAAAAAACCTAATACCCAACTACCCAAGTAGAAACAAATGAGGAACAGAGAGTGAGGAATACAAATGAAGAGTTTTTATTAGCTATAATTCACCATTGGCGCTGCAATGGAAAATTTTGAATGGTTCCCTATCAGACGGTTGAAAGAAATAGCACCTAGCAGCACCTAGGTTTCATTTCAGGTCAGTGATGATTATCATACAAAAAAATGTATTTCACCAGGATGTAATCTCAAAAACATGACTGACCTCATTCAAACTATGATGTCCACTTGAATAGTTGCATGAATTCTCTCAGTCAATATCATGAGGACAAAAACAAAATAATTTTTTCAAGGGGGAGGACATGCTCTAGAATTATGTACACCTATTGCCAGTTTCCCCATTAAATGCTAGTGTATTGCCCTAACGCCAATATATTTCTGATATTGTGTGCTGAAAATTAGTATCAATACCTCACAACTGGAATACCTTATAGTTATTTTATGCCTGTTAACATTTATTATTCTAAACACATGTATTCAATTTGATAATACCATAATATTTAGCTAAAATGTCAGCTAAAATATCCCAAACACAAATGTTTTGTAGCAATATTTTTGTTCAGAGAAATAAATAGGTATATGAATTCCCTTCAAATACTAGTTTGAAATATATTTTTATAATTGCACACTGCCAATCATGCCTATCTTTTAATTATATTGAGGTTGGTCATCAAAGCTGGTAGGTATGTATACTAGTTCTATACTAGTATGTCTCTTCATTTTCATGCAGAATTTACACTTATGTGGATATTTTTTTCCATTTTAATCACTTTATTTCACTGTTATGTCATACAGTGCAGTTTATTCCCCACTATTGCTGAATATTTTATATCTATCTATTGCCTCATAATTCCAACTCAATGACGCCTAATTCTGCATTTCCTCTTCAATGCTGACTATTGCTATTTGGCGGGGATCATTTTTTAATACTGCTGATAATGCCTATAATAATGCCTCAAGTATTGCCATTCATTTCTGAACATTTTGTACACCTATTGCCGCCGTGTTCTCCCCCTGGAATATTTTAACATATATGTTCAACTAAATACTTGCATTAGTTAAGTGGCTTTCTAGTTCCATCATCTCAATGTGTGTCTTTTTGGAAACTTTTCTCGGGTTAACCAGTGCTAAACCACTAGGCTCGGGGTTCAGTTCAACCAAAGACACTGCAAAAACAAATTTGTTATATCAAAAACTATCGAATATAACATTTATTATACCGCTCCTTTGTATATTAGGATTTTCTTCCAGAATATCCCGAGCTCGCTTCATATTTGAATAAAATAATATCAATAAAAAGTTAAAAAGTCAAAACATGGACCAAAATATAACATAACCATACTTCTGCTTCTTCTGTTTTATTTGTTGTTTGGATTAAGATAGCACTAGCCTCTACAGACAGAGTGCAACAAATGATCATCGCGTTGGGGGAACGTTACAACGCGGGTACAGATCACCCAACGAACGCGCGGGACAAAGGTTGCGGCGAAATAATAATAATTATTATTATTATCGCTCACGGCCAATCCCAAATAAAAAAATCATATCTTATAATAATATAGTGATTCACTATTAGTAGGAGAGCTAGCAGACATGATATATGCAACGATTTTATCAAAATTTTCATTCATAGGAACTGATTCTTCAATAGTCATTGGGCGTCATTCGTGATTTTATAGGCCGAAAATTCGTATAATGGAGAGGACGTATTTGATTGGCCAAAATCTGTATCATAATGGAAATCCGTATTGAAATGAACAATATTAAGAAATCGGTAGCAGATATTTAATTCCCGTAATACGGAAGTAGAAAATTGGTACATTTTGTGCTGTTTCCTCAGCCATTTTCCACTAATGAAGAAAACGAACGAGTCTGTCGCGAATTTCGTCGCTGATTTTTGACTATATATATATTATTGTGTGACTGATACAATGAAGATCAACTTGTCTGATAAATTCTGTACATAATCGGTAGGACTCATGTAGAACTGGTAACTATTTCTGGTCAAGCAAAATATTCTTCAAAATCAAAAATATGATTGTACATACACGTTAAGATATGCATTTTTTTCACGGCTATAACACAATATTGCTTTTGTTTTACTGTGTTCGATACATCAATGAGATACTTTGTATGTCATCAATTTTATTTCCGTATCACAATGACTTCATTGTGTTATCATTCAAAAACAGCTCATTGCCCATGGAATGTCGAATTTCAAGTAATGACAGCTCTGTCTAATATCTTATTTGACAGATAATCAGATGGCTACAAGACGAAGAAATCGAAAATGCCGCTGTTATCTATTATAGCCGTAGAAAAATTATAGTGTATTACTTGCACGGAATGCAAATTCTCTACTCGAATGATCGCAACATTCGCCGATTGCTCATGCTGCAAACTTCAATCTCGTAGGAAATCACTTATCATTCCGTGCTCGTTAAACAATATATTATTGTGTAACTCTGTGTTACACAAAATGGCTCGTTTCAAAACTGGGGTCATAGATATCTGAACATTTTTACCAGGATTGCAGAAATAAAGAGTTATTCGCCCTGTAAGTGACAATACCTACTTTGGACAATCTTTGGACACTGACTGATTATCAGATACTGTCAGATAGAACTTTTCTTGAGATACTCTATATTATCTAATCGCAATGATGGATATAAACTGTATTTGTCCTGCATACAAATGCAATATCATGGAATTTCTTCCTTATTTTCTAGACGTTGATGAATATCATGAAGATATCAAGGTATGAATATCAAAAGTTATAATCATTCGACTAGTCTTGAGTGAATTCAAATATTCCAATTTGCACTCAATATTTGTCCGAATTCTTGGAATATAGAGTTATATAATTGTTCAATGAACTAGTTGCAGCTTTATTATATCGCGGAAAAAGGGGGTATTTGTAGTAGATTCACGTGCACCTAGGTCCATAAAAACCTCGGTCTATCTAAAAGGCAAGTTCCACCCGAAATGTTTAGGTAGGGGCATTTACAATGCACGAGTTTTATCATTGGAGAATGTATTCAGCGCGAAAAATAGTTGGTACTTGTTAGCTCCACATTTTAACTGCGGTTTCTCCAGCGTTAAACATCAGTTTTCGTCGCATTATTGAAATAACTCAGAAATCACGATAAAATCTAGTTTTTCCCATGCGAATTCGGTTAAAAAAGTGCAAACAAATTTTATAAAGCATTACATGTTTTTCTTTATTTTCAACTTTGATTCTATCTCTATAAATAATAAGAACCGAAATACCTATGTAGCCGTGAAAATGGTATGATTTTGCAGGGGATAATATCATTTTTAGTGCCAATTTGTCCGGAAAGTTCGTAAATGATTGGGCTAATTGAGTAAGCCAAAATAATTTTAGTACTACTAACTATCGCACTTTATGACAGAGGTGATCAGAATTCTGAATCTTGAACCACCCTGTATCTGTTCCGATTAAATATCAGTAAATAGTGAATGAAAACTTGAGATAGGGACATGTGAGCCGTTTTGACCGACAATGGTTTCGACACAAAAAAATTGTTAAGTTGAAAAATCTCGATTTTGAACACCCTAATATCTCTGTAATCATTTTCGATAGACCCCAAGTGTGATATGTCGATGAAATCAGCTCTTCAGGGAGATAATTGCTACCACCTTCTAGTAGATGCGACAACACTGCATTGTCGAAAATATTTTAAATAAAGAAAGCGTATTTGATTTATAAGCATGCACATTTTCATGGATTTCCCCTGACTGATTCTTGATATAAATATAGTTTTAAGCTGTATTTAAAAATGCTTAGTCATATATTGGCCAGGTACTCAATTCATTTCACTGTCCACAACTATAAATTGTGAGGAGACGAACTGAGAGAAAAAAAACTGTTGCCCTAATTTATTTTCAGATCGCCCCTTCAAGGTTGCTTCATGAGTTGCAAATGTCTACTGAGGAACGGTTAGAGAGATTGTGTCGGCCGACAAGAAGAAAGAAATCGGCTACACAAACTAATTCATTCAGTGCTATCCCGGATATAGTGATTTTTCAGAATTTTCAAGCTGGGCACATCTATAAAGCGAAGTTAACACTACAAAACTTGCAGCCAGTAAGTATAATATAAATGAATCGGTTATTATTAGAAGGAACTAAGCTACAAATCGGCCGATTTATATATTTTCGCAAGCTTGATGCCAAGGCTTATCGTTTGGTGTTGAAAAGAACCAAGAATGAGGAATGTATAGAGTCCGACCACGTTAACTTTGGGACAGCATGTGACGCAACGCATATGCATATTCAATGCATACGCGACCACGTGCTGTCCCAAAGTTATCGTGGTCGGACTCTATTAAATATATCGAGTGGGTCGGAATCAGTATATTTTCAAAAGGTACCTTGTTCATGTTCTTGATACCTTTTTATAATTTCCACCTCTGAATGCAAGCTACCTTGTCCATGTACTTGGTTCCTTTTAATAATTCCACATCTGAATGCTGACAAGCTGACAGTTGATCTATATGGTATCATTCTCCACCAATAAAACTTATCACCATTGTCGATCTAGATGACAACCTAGTTAGGTAGTTAGTAGGCAGGATATCTCCTCACACTAGGTCGCCTACTAGGTTTTCATTTAGATCCACAATGTCATCACATTATTACACAATGAATATAATCCTGACCGAGGAATGAAATAATGATGATTATGGAAAAAATAGTCATGATCATGCTTTATGATTGATTATCACCCCTAGGGGTGAGAAAAATATAGATAAATCGACAAATATATTGATACGTCGAATAACGATATCTAATTATCAAAATATCGATATTTCAAATTTATCGATAAATTTCAACTTATCGATTATCGATAACTGAAATATCCTTCTGAAATCCAATATTGCGCAGCCCTTTTACAGGGTGTATCTAAATAACACAGAAAAAATTCAAGGGGTGATTGCTTGTGATATTTTAAGAAATGTCACAAGGAAACAAACAAACCTTGAATTTTTTCGATGTTATTTAGATCCAAAATGTATAGGAAGAGAAGGTAGATAATTGGAATTTTTCGAACTTACAGGTTTCTAGACATTTGACAATAATCCAGAATTGTTCTCCCTACTTTGAGGTCATATATTCTGATGATAGTTCTTCAGTGAAGGTTGCCCCTGGTATGACGTTTTCAATAAACGTTGTTTTCAAACCTGTCGAATTTCGTGACCATGTTTTTGGTGTGCAGTTCAGGACTGAGGGTGAAACATTCTCTGTTCCAGTGCATGGTGAGCAGATTTAAAAACAGGGTAATCTATATAAGGATGCGGAGGATTATATTTAGAGAGCTGTCCCCACCAAATTATTTTGAATTAAAGCGGAATTTGAAAAAATTAGAATAAAAATAGTTTTGGTAGCCCCACATCGCATTACATCCCTCTTTATCAGACTTAGGGCTGACAACTAAGCTGTGATGGGGATGATAGAAGTGACTCTGAGGGTCCAGTAACTTTCGAAAATATATCTTATTATTGTTGTAGATCACATTAATATCACGACACAGCACAACAAAAGTGAAATGAATCCAAACAAAATGTTCGAATGTTGAACATTTTGTGTGAATCATCTGAAAGTTGTGTAGATAAATTTGGAGTTTCATTTATGAAGTGATACGTTTATTAATCCTCCCTTTCTGTAGAAGATTCACATATTTCTTGATTTATATGGGTATATACAGAATTTCAATGTAGGTAAATTATTATGTGAACTTTCCGTAATTGAAGACATGTTAGCCTGAACAAAAATGATTCTGTTACTCCAGAACGTTATCATCTGTACAATACACTACTGTGTTAGCGAAATATGCAAGATTATGGAATATTATAGATTCCAATTAAGTAACAGCAGAATCAATTTACCATTGAAATACTGTAATATTTATGCTATTTCAGGACTAGGACAAAGACCTTTCCTATCGCTTCCCGACCATGTATCGCTCAGCCCCACAGCAATAAGAGTTCCTTCTCACAAGTCCATAGTTCTGCATAACTTTGGGCAGTCTCAAACCTGCTTTGTAGCCAGTTGCCAAGAACCTTGCAAAGTGTTTCCGGTCAGAGGTTCTCTGAAACCTAACCAGATCATCGAACTGAAAATCACTTGTACGCCCACTAATTCTAAATCAGTTTCAATAGATCTACTTTTCAATTACGAAGATATAAAACTGATAATTCCTATGACTTGTACTGTTGTGAAGGCCGATGTCTACCTAGATACAAGCTCGGTGATTTTCGACGAAACTTATATGGGATTACAAAGTCACAGGTAAGTCAAACATTTTCGCTTGAGTAGGAACTGGAAACTTATCATTGATGTGATAAAACTTTCCCTTTGCTTTTTATCGACTTGCATGCTAGATATAACGGTAGACAATGCTCACTTCCCTTAATGTTGTCAATAACTTACGATGTATTACATGAAATTATGTTATTTGTAATGAAGATATTTGTTGGCTCCAAAAATACATTATGAACAACATCATAAGCAAACACAGTATTAAAATATGGTTTCATTTTCATGTTACGAATTTTCCTCTTGTGTAGGATATAAAATGTGTTATCCAAATTTATCAGAGTACAGACGGTACCTTAGGTATATCGAACTGAAAATTGAGATTCAAATATCTCTCATCATGGTCTATATTTCGATTATTTGGTAGGAAATTGAGCGCGTATAACTGTAGTCAATTCACGGTGGAATTCAAATGGAAAACATGCAAAAGCAACGCTATGGAGGAACTAGAGAAATCAAAACTTGTGAACGCTATGAGCGATCTAGCTGGGTTGGAGAAGAAGAAAAATGTCAAACTAGAGTACATGAATATCATAGATGCCGAAGGTCACTCGGCCATTATCGATCAGGAACTGGCACGACAGATCAAGGACATGGAAAATCAGTTTTTGTTTGGAAATACTATCTTCAGTGTATTGCCTGTGGTGAGAATATTTTCGAATTGAACTGTATCACATTATATAATCTCTTGAAGACCTATATTACACATTTTATAACCTCTTGAAGAACTCAGTAAGTGCCTAGGTAATTGATTTAATATTTCCATTACTTCATTAATTTATTTATTTAATTTATGGAAATCAGAAATACATAATGGTATCGTGGCATCGCAATCTCAGTCTACTTTTTGCAGTATTGCTATTCTTGGTAACTTGTGAAGTGGTATTTCAAATTCTTTATGAAAGTATTATATTCTCTGGTTTGCTTATATACATGACGATTATCAATTGTGTGTTCTGAAATATGGTACAGGCACTGAGAGGAGCTTCTACAAGGAGTCAGTAATTATTGATATTTTGAAGTCGATTATCGGGAGTAAATACATAATATAACTTTTTTATCGATGTATACATGTTAAATTGTTCGGAAAGTTTTATTATCATAGCAAATAATAACTTCAGTACTTTTTCGTTATTCCATCTTTCCGACATGATGGCTTACAGGTGATACCTGAATAATTATCTGAATTTTCGAAAAGTTTGTGGAAGGAATTTTTTCAAATATTTTATCGAGGGCGATAAAATGAAAAATAATGAGTTTCCTCGAAATGGTTTTGGATTCAAGAGAATTCATACTGGATATCACAACATATTGCATTTTGATATGTTCAACCACCATAAACTCAACTTCAACAGAGTTTCAGATTGCCATTTCTTGAACGCTATTACTGTACAATGTGTTCTACAGTCTCAAATATAGTGAACGTAGAAATGAATTAAAATACTACGAAAAAAATGCAGATAATGATTGAAAATTTCGAACGCGAATATCTTCGTAATTGTTCGAAATAATCCTATTAAACACAGTTTCGTTGAAATTATGATGATCCCTAACCACTTAAAAAATAAAATACAGGGTATCCCATTTGAAACTCAAAAGTTGGAGTCATTTCCCGTCGAACCGGAAGTGGTGGAAGAGTATTTCTTAATTGCAAAACTGACCAATTCTCGAATCCTACACTCATGCCAAATTTGAATCTCATACCTTCGGATCCCTGGAAACCATGGCTTGTCTAAAAAATTTGATGTTAATCGGTAAGTTTGAAAATGTACAACACATCGATGAACGATAGCGTTGAGCAGGAGAAGCTAATCTGAAACTCTGTTGAATTTGTGTTCATCTTGGTTGAACATATCAGAATGCAACATATCGTAACAAATTCCATATATCAAAACATCCTGTATGAATCCTCCTGAATGAAAAACCGTTTCGAGAAAACTCATTAAAAAAAATCCCTGCCTGTAAGTCTTCACGTCGGAAAAGTGGTTTAACAAAAAAGTACTGATGTTGTACTGATTGAAATGAGCTATAAGAATCTTAAAAGAAATTGAAAATTGGTTGATCCAATTCCATGTTATGAAGGTTCGAAAATGATAGAAATGTTTGCTTGTCTCACTTTACAATGGTATAGATGACTTTTCTTGTTTCACTGACTCATTTACTTCAATGTTAAAGCAACTTGTGAACTAATACAAATTATCTTGAAAAATGTCTTCCTTATCTAAATATATTATTGTTTGCTGCTTTAGCAGACAATGCTATTACCTACCTGTGATTCACCTTCAATCTGTATAATGCAAACTGTATCTTACAGGAAGGAAAAATGCTACCGAATCAATGCTTAGAGTTTACGATTATTTTTTCACCTCAAAAGAGTGATTATTACACAGACTTCGCATATTTTGATGTGACAGGGAGAGAGGACAGAATAGTCCTCTGTTTATCTGGAGGTGGAAGAGGCCCACAAGTTGTTTTTAACGCCAAGACCTTGAATGCTAATGATATTTTTCTCGATGGGACACATGAATATCAGATCGTAGCAAAGAATGACGGTATGTACAACTGGGTGAAAATGATGACCTTGATGTAAATGCAACCATATGAGTGAAATTTTGAGGGGTAATTGTTAATTGAGTTCCATTTTTAGTGTTTTTTGGCGTTGTTTCTTGTGAAAATGTCAACATGTTATACATGGCTGTGAAGGGAATTTTCAGCTCTATTCCATGGTATAAAAAACAAATATGGCGCTCATAAGAAGAACAAAAGTTGCATTGTGTATCTCTGAAAAATAATGAAGATAGAATATTTCTGACAATCCCAACTTCTTTGTCATGAAAAGTTATCTGCTTACACAACATTCCAATATTTTTCCTTTAATGATAACCAAGAAGAAGAGGTTAAAATTACGTAACTTTTGTCTAACCTAATGAACATTCTATCTCTTACCGTTTTAAAACTGTCCCTATTAAATCGTTGGGACCCTGACAAATAACGGACATGTTCGATAATAATTCTTCTGTAATATTTCCTTTCCTTGAGATAAAAAATTGAATTGCTTGCTTGAATGTTGCTCCAAAATATTCAAGAGTTGTCGAACGTGTATTTTTTTTTTCAGTAAAACACCTGTTGTAATCTTCCATTGTGTTTCAGGAAACATTCCAGCTGTTGTTTCTTTCGTGGAAAAGGATACAGAGTTTGGTGGAGTTATCAAATGTATGCCGAAACGACAATATCTATACAGTAGAGATATTTGCAAGTCATTTGTTATCAGCTTTTGTTCCAAGTTCCAGGGCCAGTTCGTGGAAAAAATTCAATTCATGATAGATGAATCAAAAGAACTTATAGATGTGCTATTTGTGTAAGTTTTCTCGGAACACTGAATAGTATTACTGAATAACATTCGCGCAGACCTTATCAAACTTACCGTGTTCGCACAATTAGATTTCAAAAGGGTTAAGTGCTTTAAAAACTCTTGTCGTTGAATTGATGATACGATAAGTTGCTGGGCCAGCATAGCCTCGTGGTTGAAGCGTCAGTATTCTATCCACGTTAGATTGCCGGTAGGTGGATACGATTCCCACCACAACCGCAGAAAGGGTTGCTTGTAAGGGGATAAGAACAATTTTAGATGGGAAAGAACAATATATAATATTTCTCTATCCAATGCATTTGAAGTCTGTCTTCAATTATTGGTGTAGGTTAGTTTTTAGTCTGCAAACAACTAAAAACTAATTATAGAGCTACTTCACGTCCGCTGAACCAGGCAATGAAGTTAGAAGTTATCTGCTCAGACGGGCATTTGAATCGTGCAATTTACTTCAAAGTATGAGGGTAGTTATACTCGAATCAGGACACACTGTATATAAAATTGTACTCAAACCCATTAATATCTGCATAAAAAAACGCAAAACACAACTTTTCACATATTCAAACTGATTTTAAATTGAAATAAGAAATAGGAGTTGACACTAATGAAAGTTGATTTGTACCGGGTGTACCACTAAAAAAGGATGCCGGCTGTATCTCGGAAACTATTTGGCGCACAGGTTTCGAAAAAGAATATGAATGATTAAAGTGGCCAAGAGAAATCTCTGGAAATTATTTTCAAGTTTCCAGGACAGCCCCTAGAGGGCGTAATTGAATTGGCCAGTTTAATAAACGGGTTTTTATGTAAATTTGATATATCAAGTTATATCAGAAACACTTTTTCCATGTTCTCGAGTTGATTTCCAATCATTTCGATAAACAAAATTGCGCTAGCTCTTTAAATAAAAGAGGGTGGGAAGGATGAATAGTACTTTGAAAAAACTCTCATTACTACAGTTTGGTGTAACGGAATTCAACGATCTTGGTCTCATTATGAAGGGTTTTTTTGTTTCATCCAGATGAATCACGAATCAAGTCGATTTAAATCCTGTGGTGGCCACTAGATGACATCGTTTGAAAAATCATTCTACTCTAATATGAAAGAAGAGCAAACGAGAAGAAAAATGGTGAAAACCGCTAATTGATACCTCGTGAGGAACCGGTGAAATATTCGAAATAATATTATGAAAATATTCTCCACAGGAATCTAACTTAAATAATCGTAATCAGAAATATCCTGTATCTATGAAATTATGATTTCAATAATTCATTTATTTTGGTTTCACAAACTGCTGTTATATCTCACAATAGTGAAGGAGACTCTTAGTAATGACATAGCTAATTGAAATGTAAATAGTGAGTATAGGCTCAGGTATGAGAAAAGGCAAGTTGGCTTCGAATGAAAGAAACGTCAAAATATAATTGGAGTTCCATTGGAAGTTTTCAATGTTCATTGTGGATTGCTTGTTTGTCAAAATGCCGATAACGAATGAGGAGGCATTTGACATGCTAAAAGTTTAAATTTTAATATTATTCCAAGTATTTCTCCGGTTCTTCAAGAGGTATCAACTCGCGGTTTTCACCATTTTCCTTCTCGTTTACTTAACTTTCATATCATAGCAGGAAAAATAAATAGTTCCATTTGAAATTCTCGAAAAAAAAATGGCAAATCGGCTTATTTTTCTAACGATGCCATCTAGCGCCACCAGGGATTTAAATCGACTTGATTCGTGATTTATCGGGAAGATCTGAGAAAACCATCCATAATGAGACCGAGATCGCTTAATTGCGTTACACCACACTGTAGTAATGAGAGTTTTTCCAGTGTACTATTCATCCTTCCCTCCCTCTTTCATTTAAAGAGCTGGCGCAATTTTTTTGGTCGAAATGATTGGAAATCAACTCGAGAACATGGAAAAAGTGTTTTTGATATGTCTTGATATATCGAATTTTCATTAAAACCCGTTTTTAAGTTGGCCAATGCAATTATGCCCTCTAGCGGCTGTCCTGGAAACTTGAAAATAATTTCCAGAGATTTTTCTTGGCCACTTTTATCATAAATATTTTTTTCCGAAACCTGTACGGCAAATAGTTTCCGAGATACAGCCGGAGTCCTTTCTTAGTGGTACACCCGGTACATAAATATTACAATATTATTCATTATCTGTAATTATTATAACCTATTGTATTTGATTACATATTTATATTTTTGTTCTAGGGGAAATGTCATATGTCCACTCCTGAAACCAGATATTCAAGATATTGACTTTGGAGAAGTATCTTTCGGTAATATGAGAAATAAATTGCTTGAAATCATATATGTATATGTATACTTACAAAATCAACAGGATCTCAACCAAGCAAGGAGTTAGTTTTGACGAACGATTCCCAAGTTCCGATAGATTTCAGATTGTACATACCCGGTAATAAACAACAAAATGGCAAAGAAGAATTTGATGAATTCGAATTTTCTCCTCGAGAGGGAGTGGTTGAAGCATTCTCTAGCAGCGTTATAAAGGTGAGATTTTTCTCCATGAAACTGTGCCATTAGTGCTCCTTCTTGCAGAAATATATATGCAGAGACCTTTCAGAATTGGTAATTTATTTATCTGCGCATTGAACAATATGTTTTCACATTTTCTTATATATGGTACGTTTTCTTGTATTTAGTACTCAAAAGCAAAGCACATAATGTTCAATTTGTTCTACTAGATAGATCAATTATTCGCAGATACATCCAGCTTTGAGAACTGTTTCACGCGAAATCAGAAGAAATGACTCTGTATTGTATATGTTCGTTTATTATATTACCATTATATAATTGAAATCGTTGCTGGATGAATCATTTTTTTCTTGTACTCGAGAAAGAAACGGGAATTCAGATTAGTCGTTGAAAGTTTTCGAACCAGTTAACGTGTATAGCGCAATTAATATACAGTGAGCATACCCAAAATGGTAGTTTGAATTTGTATGCCCTACTAATAAGTATATGAATCGACTACAATATCTACATTCCAGATACCTACTCTGTGAACTTATACATCATAAATTCACTCCACTCAATTTGCAATATTTGTTTTCCTACTGAATAGGAACGAAATGCAAACTAAAGTAACCTCAAATTGGGTCATATTTATTTCATTCATGTATTTGTAGTAGTGAAACATACTTCATAGAACGATTATCTGCTGAGCAGTTCCCTCGAATCACAATAGTATACAAATTAATCAAAAGTGAAGTTTTATTTGCTTAAATCACTACACACAAGCAAATTATCCATTTCAAAACAATGTACTTTCATATAATTCCAGCCACTTTGGCGCTGCGATCTTAAATTGAGTCGCCTATACAAGCTCCAAAAATTACCTCAATTTTACCTATTATGATTATGAACTGTCAGAGATTTATAATATTTACCGCAGCTTATGAATAAAGTGACAAGTTATTCTGTCAAACGAATAAATCTATTGATAGTTCAGCTAATTTTACTCTAATGAAGTTGAAAGTTGGTTTCTGTATTAAAAATGTTATTTAAGATCACTAGTTCAATAAAAATGTCTCAAAATTGAAGCTGAATATTTAAGAAAATAATAATGAACCATCTGTCAAATTTGATGCGCACTCGTGAGATGCAGGTCATTTCATTCATTCTTCCCGCCTATTTTAGATTTAAAAACAGATATACAAAATCTTGCCGTGCAGGGTGTTGTTTTTTAAATAAGATAAGCTGTCTGTTTTTTTCTAAAAACGGATCTGGATTCCGATCTCGGTTCCTATTTATTTAGTTTTCATAAGTAATATGAGTGAAATATAAGTGAAAAGATTATACAAAATGGTTAAAAAATTATGACCAAAATGAAGATAACGACCTGTATCTCGGTTATAAATGACAATAAACACATAAATGGGGGTGATTTGGATCCATCAAAGTGCCCTCTATCTATAGGTATCGTATGTACATTCGAATCTGAAACACCTTTTATTCCTGACAAAATGAAAATTGCTAAAGTATTGCCAATATACAAAACTGGTAAGAGAGACGATATGAATAATTACAGGCCAATATCTGTCCTCCCTATCCTTTCTAAAATTATAGAAAAAATCATGAATAATCGTCTTATTGACTTCCTTGAAAATAACAATCTATTGTACAGTGGTCAATATGGATTCCGTAGGTCAAAGGATACAGAGATAGCTGTAATGGATGTAATTTCGGATATACAGTCACGGATTGATGAAAATTATAAATGTGGCTTCTTGTCCTTGGACCTATGTAAGGCATTTGACACAGTAGATCATACAATTTTACTAAATAAATTATATTCAATCGGCGTCAGAGGAAGAATTCATGATTGGTTCACACATTATTTGACAAATAGAAAGCAGTATGTTGAAGTGAATGATCTTTCTGGCTCACTAAAGAATATTACATGTGGAGTACCGCAAGGATCAGTTCTGGGACCAATTTTATTTTTAATTTATATCAATTCAATATCAACTCTGAAATTGAAAGGAAAGCTAAAATTATTTGCGGATGATACAACATTGATTTATATATCCAAAGAATTAAATGATATTGAACGGGATATTACAAGTGATTTGGAAAACATATCATCTTGGATGCAAATTCATAAGTTGACTCTTAATTATAACAAATCTTCATATATGTATATTTCTAAAAGATCAGTTAATATTTCGAATAATGCTATAACTTTCAACAATAGATTAATTAAATATACAGACGTGACAAAATTTTTAGGTCTCTATATCGACGAAAAATTATTATGGACTAAACATATAGACTATTTGAGAAATAAAATAAATCCGATTGTTTGGCTTATAAATGGCTGATAAGTGTCTTATAGAATTAGACTGAATTAAATAATGACTCATAAACGAAAAACTGTATTGCAGATGAAAATATTACAATACGTCTTTTTATAACATTTATTCCTGTCTCTCTTGTCACTAAACTCCTTGATCCCAAAGCAAAAACAAAATACAGGGTGATAATATCTGTAACATTCTCCCCCCCGTATAATTTGAATTATACAGTATTCTTTTCTTCGGTAATTAGAGGTATAATCTTAGTGACGGGACGTTTGTAAACCTTCGAATTGATTTTCACGTCTACTACTCGTATTCTACCGTCTCGTCCAGGATATGTTTCAACTATCAACCCCATAGGCCAACTATTTCGTGGTGTGTTATCCTCCATCAATATTACGATATCATTGATAGCTAAATCTGGTGTCTTTTGATTATGCCACTTTGTTCGCTTGCAGAGTGTTGGCAAATACTCCCTGACCCATCTCTTCCATAGCATATTCGTCAAGTATTGGGCTATCCTCCATTGCTTCCTTGAACATAAATCATCTTCCTCAAATTGTCCCTGAATGTTAGGATTTGAATTGGTTCCTATAAGAAAATGGTTTGGAGTCAATGGTTCCATGTCTACAGGGTCGATGGGAATATGAGTGAGAGGTCTGTTGTTGACAATATACTCAGCCTCTATTAATAAAGTCCATAGTACTTCTTCTCGTGGAGCCCTCTCTTTCAAAATCGTGTAAAATGCTGTTTTAATCGATCGTATTAATCTCTCCCAGCTACCCCCCATGTGCGGCGATGCTGGTGGTATAAAATGCCATGTAATGTTTTTGTTGGTTAGTGCATCGTTCAATTTGTTTTTATCTACATCCTCTAAAGATTTTTTCAGTTCCTTTTCGGCTCCCCGCAGATTAGTGCCATTATCTGAGTATAAGTGAGTAGGTGAGCCTCTTCTTCCTGCCATTCGCTGAATTGCCATGATAGCTGAACTAGTATTCAGTGTCTGAGCAACTTCAATATGTACTGCCCTTGTTGTGAGACACGTGAATAAAACTCCGTATCTCTTCTCCTTATGTCTTCCAACTGTAACTTCCAACGGCCCAAAAAAGTCCATGCCTGTATGAGTGAAAGGCCGATGAAAAGCTGCTAATCTTGCTTCGGGCAAATCTCCCATCAAAGGAATTTGTGGTTTCATGCTTCTTTTCTTCTTACAAATAATGCATGACATCAAAACTCTCTTGACTAGTGGCCGAACATTTAAAATCCAATATTTTTGTTTGATCTCGTTGAGGACATAATCGAGTCCAAGGTGGCAACAAGTATCATGTATATGTTGAACTAATAATCCGCAAAAACGATGGTCAGGATGCAATATAACTGGATTTTTCATATTTTCTGTCACTTGTGCTGAACATATTCTAGTTCTCATTCTCAATACATTATTTCCATCTAGAAAAGGAGTTAATTGATACAATTTGCTATTTTTTCCTACGAATTCATGTTTTGTCAAACTCTTTATTTCTTCTGAAAAATACATCTTCTGGATTTCTTTCCACCACAACTCTTCTGCTTGATTCAGATGTCTAGGTTTCAATCCAATGTCAGTTATTTGTGAACTTACTAAGGTCCTCTTGGATCTGCTCCTTTCTATAAAATATATTATCTGCCCTGTAACACGTACTAATCTCTGCCATGAAGAAAACCTTTCAATACAAGGAAGTGCGTCATTTGCTACACCTGGGTTCTTCAAAGTTATTGTAAGAGTGAAGTCTTCTACTTCCAGTTTTCCCAGAAGGTCCAATTCCTTTTCTTCCTGGTTGTCTTCCCATAGCCATTCTGATTCAGGACATTTCAAAAAATCTGGCCCCTTTAACCATCTACTTTCTGCATTGACTTTTGGTTCTACTGTCCACTTTGTGCCTTCATCAGCTACATTATTTTTTGTGTTTATCCATTTCCACCATGTTGTATCTGTACGTTCTCTAATTTTCCTCACTCTATTCGATACAAACTGTTTGAGTCTTAGTGAGTTATTCTTCAACCAGTATAAAACGGTTTTAGAGTCGTTCCAGAGGTACACCCTTGAAAATTTCATAGAATGATTTTCATTGATGAATCTGAATAACTCGCTTGCCAATAACGCTGCTAGTAGTTCGAGCCTTGGAATTGAAAGTTCTTTCAGTGGAGCAACTCTGGTTTTTGCCATGATGAAAGCTGTATCTACAACTTCGTCATTCTGTATCCTCATATATGCTACAGCAGCATATGCTTTATCACTCGCGTCACAAAAAATATGAAGCTGTACTGAGGAATTTGCAGATAACAGCTTAGAATAACATCTATCTATCTGCAAGTGTTCTATTTTCAGAATAACTCTTTTGAACTTGTTCCACTTATTTTCAAATTCTTGAGGTAACTTTTCATCCCAGTGAAGTTTAATTTTCCATAATTCTTGTAAAACAATTTTTCCAAAAATGACAACATTGGCTACAAATCCAAATGGATCAAATATGGACATTATGAATTGTAATAGCTCCCTTTTTGTAGGCACTAAGTTGTCTTCCATAATTTCACGTCTCACTTTATGAAATTTCAGTTCAAAGAAAAACTTGTCTTCATTAGAATTCCAGTGAAGTCCAAGCACACGTTCATAAGAAACGTCCGATTCTAAATTTAAGTTTTTGTTATTCCTAGAAAGCAGGTCTGTAGGAATTGTTTCCAAAACTGATTGTGAGTTGCAATTCCAGTTACAGATAGTAAAATTACCTTTAGAGTGGATGTGGATAACTTCTTGAATCAGCTGTATTGCATCTTCTTCATTTTCGCAACTGTCCAAATAGTCATCCATGTAATGATTATTTATGATGGCATTTGCTGCTTTTGGAAAAGTGTTCATGAATTCTCCTGCATTCTTATTTTTAATAAACTGAGCTGAACTAGGAGAACAAATTGCCCCAAATAGCATCACTTTCATTTCATACGTGTCTGGGTCTTCATCTGGGTCTTCTCTCCAAAAAAATCTTTGAGCTGATACATCTTCACTTCTTATATTTATTCTTAAAAACATTTCCTTTATATCTGCGCAGAAGGCAATATTCTTCTCTCTAAACTTCCATAGAACTTTCGGAATAGAATTATACAAATCTGGTCCAGCTAATAGATTGTCATTTAAACTAACACCAAAAGACTTAGCAGCGGCATCAAAAACAACCCTAATCTTACCGGGTTTGTTAGGATTTGTGACCGCAAAATGAGGTAAGTACCAATTTTTTTCATTATTTTCCTCAATCTCATCTATTGGCAATTTTCTAGCATAGTCTTTGGCGATATAATCATGTATCTTACTCTTGTAGGCTTCTGCATATACTGCATCCTTCTTCATCCGTCTTTCAACACATTCTAGTCTTCTCAATGCAGATTCTTGACTTGGTGGTAAAACTGCTGCTTCCTTCTTCCATAAAAGTCCAGTTTCCCATTCAGTATCACTAATTCTTTTAGTAGTTTTGTCTAATAATGATTGAGCATAAGCTTCTTCAGATGATATCTCTGTTTCGTCACTCAATCCAGCATCCTCTATTTCAAATGACTTCTTCACTAAATTATACAGGTTATCTTCGTGATTATCAAGATTATAAATAAAGCAACTATAAAAATTTTTATTTTCAACTTGACAAGATGATATCTGCCCATGAATTATCCATCCCAACCAGGTTTTTGTTAATACAGGATCATTCCATCTCTTCTGAATATAGCTGCGCGGAATTGTTAATGGCCAATTGTCTTGTCCAATCAATAAAGTAGGTGTAGCATTCATCATAGATTTTAGCGGGACATTTCTTATGTAGGGCCATTTTTCAGAGAGTTTTTCAATGTCAACTGTTTGTGACGGCAGAGAAAGATCTTTAACTGTTCGAACTTGATGCATGATAAAACTTTTACATCCTGTGGAAACGCCCGCTATATTTACTGAGACTACTTGTGATTCATCCATATAGTTGGAAAGGTTATTTGTCCACTGTAGGTGTAATGGCTTCATAGGTCCATTTAATTCCAACCTCACAGCAATATCTGCATCTAGTAAGGTTACTGTAGATGCTTCATCCAGAAGTGCATGAGTCTCTACTTGATTTCCACTAGGCCCTGTTAAAACAACCGGAACAATTCTCAATAAAACCTCCTTATTGGTCCACTGTGTAGCATTAAATTTCATATCTTGATTTTGGCCTCTTGTACCATGACTTGTAGTAGCTAATTCTCCTTTTACTGATTTTTCCTCCATAGGTTTTTCCTTCTCTTGTACTTCAAAATCGGTTGGATTACTTGTGTGCAATAAGGAATGATGAAATTTCTTACACCCTTTTTCTCCACATTCACGTTTCTGTTTGCAATATTGTATCTGGTGATTTTGCCTCAGACATGCAAAACAGATTTTGTTTGTTTTCACCCAATTCCATCGATCATCCACAGAAATATCGGAAAAAAATTTGCATTTTGTGATCGAATGCTTAAACTTCTTATTTTTGCAGTAAATGCAGTCCTTGAAGGTATTATCAGAAGTTACTAAGCTTGTTTGTCTGAAATTTGCTGCCTTATCACCATAAAATTTCGATCTTGACACAAAACTTGCTCCATTCGCAATTTCTTCCAACCATAGCGAGAATGATTTCAAATCAGCAACATTTTGGGTATTCCTATGCATGCCCCATTGTAGTTTAAGGTTTGGAGGTAACTTATTGACAAGCTCACTAAGAAGTTGACTATTCATTAAATGTCCCATGGAATCTAAGCTTTCAATTGTGGCCACTAAATTTAAAATTTTGTTAGTGTAATCAATCAAAGATTCAAAATTATATTCTTTTATGTAAGGCATATGCTTAATTTTTTCTATAATTTCTTCAATAATATGTTCTGGCCTTCCAAATCTTCTTTCCAATATGCTCAAAACTTTCTCCAGCTGTTCAGGAAAATGCAATAAATACTGGACACTTTCTCTTGCTTTCCCTTTCAATGATTTTTGTAATCTGCACATATTTTCTCGTTTGGAAAACCCACATGTTTCTGTAGTTTCCTGAAAATACATTATGAAGCTTGGCCACTCCATAGGATCTCCACTAAAAAAAGGTAATTCTTTAGAAGCCGATGACTGTCGGAATAAGATTTTCTGCACATCCAAAGAATTGTTTCCAGAACTTGCTGATTTTTCTACTATCTGCTCTTCATTCAAATTTGATGGAATATCATCTATCCATTTCTGAATATCTGCTGATGTTTGTGAATAATGAGACTTGCCTTCTTCATTCATTTCAGAAATTGAACATTCACTATTAATCTTCAGAAGACTCAATTTCTTTTGTATGATCTCCTGTTCTAACTTCAGTTTGTCTTGTTCTAGTTGTAGATTTTTTTCAAGTAATTCTAGTTCAATTCTTGCTTTTTCTTTCTTACTACTTCTGCTCGATTTAGACACGCAATCTATGCACTTTGACTGACTTGATTTCTTCAAAATTGATGCTGCTATAGATTTTTCCTCTAAACCTTTAGAGTTTCCTGATCTTTCGAATCCTCTGAAATCACTCACAGACGGCGATTTCTTAGATGTATTATCCATCTTTCTGTATATTTCCTTCTGACACAATTACAGAAATTAATGTCAAAATAATTATTTTGGATTTTTCGGTTATTCCCTGCTGTTCCCTGGTTTCGGCACCAATGTTTGGCTTATAAATGGCTGATAAGTGTCTTATAGAATTAGACTGAATTAAATAATGACTCATAAACGAAAAACTGTATTGCAGATGAAAATATTACAATACGTCTTTTTATAACATTTATTCCTGTCTCTCTTGTCACTAAACTCCTTGATCCCAAAGCAAAAACAAAATACAGGGTGATAATATCTGTAACACCGATCATAGGCATTTTATTCAAAATCCGAAATATTATTCCCATGAAATACTTGAAATGTATTTACTTTTGCCTCATTTATTCAAATTTGCAATATTTAATTTCTATTTGGGGGAGTACAAATATATCACGTTTGAAACCACTAATGAAATTACAAAACAAATCAATTAAGTGCATTTTTCATCTACATTTTCTAGAACCAACGATAAATTTATACAAACCAAGACATTTTCTGAACCTGATTTCGTTATATAAACTTAAAATATGTTGCTTTATTCATTTTGCCAGGAATAAGTTGAAAATATCAAATTTAGCTTTCAATGAAGTCAATACAGTCCATAATTATGGGACTAGACAATTGAATTACTTGATTGCAAATACATTCAAGTCAAACATTGGCAAACAATCTGTTTTTCACAATGGAATAATTTTATACAATTCATTACCGAATGAGTTAAAAAATATACATGATGCAAGAAGGTTCAAAATCAATCTTAAAAAATACTTGCTCAGGACAATTTGAAAGAAAGATATGTGGCATGATTTGATTACTTAGGAATGAAATATAACTTTAATCTTATAAGACACAATATTAATTCGTTTCCACTGAGTGGAATTCATTATAGTTAACCCTTTATTATTATTTTTTTATATGTATTTATGTATCCCTATCATAAACAGAAATGTTTCTTGGGGTAATAAAGACAATCAATCAATCAATCAATTTGCTATTAGATGGCCCTGATTGCTGAAAGCTAGTTCGTCCTTCTGCTTCATTTAAAGTCTGCTTTGTAACAAGTATTGAAGAAGTCTTTTTGCATCGATTGTCGCCTGACCAAGTGCAATTGAGAAGACTTGGCAAGCTAAGTTTTCTCGTCGAATAATTACCTATCCTGTGAAAATGGATAATATTGATTTGTGAAAAAAAAAAACTTACTTCACTTTCAGGTGACGTTGACCACTCAAGCTCTGCGAGATATAGATGAAACTTTGATGGTGTCTATGTGGGGTTCTCAAAGATATTCTATCCAATTACCCCTGAGATACAACTGCGTGTGTCCCACCATCAAATGCACCCCTGAAGAAGTATTTATCAGTTTCTGCTTCCTAAACTACGAATACAAGCGAACTATAATTCTGAAGAACTGCTCAAGTGTTAGTGGTGTTTTAACGTACACTCCGCTCGAGGTAGGCAAATATTGATACGTAGCAACAAGATTCTTTAGTTATGCAGTTGAAAAATAATCACATGAAGTTTCAACAGTAGTAATCAATTGAGGTCTGTCCTATCTTGAACGAGAGCGAGGAAAGTTATCTCCTCTTCCATCTTTCTCTTCAATTATACCAACGTAGTCGCATTGAAATATAGAGAGGATCGATAAATCTGACCTTGTCTAACATCTAGTTTGTGCCACTGAACCATTTTTTAACTCTGCAGATAGTCAAATTCAACGATATTAACAAATGGATTGCGTTTTTCATTCCAACATTTTATAATGCGCATGAATCGAAGAAACCGTCAAACTGTTGCAAAATTCCGCTGGAATGTTGATGGACATCCATCAAACTGTTGTAATAAAATGCGCACTTTTAATTGCTTTTAACTCGCATTTCGAGAATCCAGCAGTTTGGAGGAGATTGACATGACAGTTGACACATTTTAGTGTTGTTTTTTGTTTTGATTTGAGAGAAAACAATTGATATTGAGGATTTTTGAGATTCTTGAGAGATTTTAGAAGAAAGAGTCAGTGTTAATCAATAAAGTCGAATTAGCCTTTTTTGATTCTCAAGATACATGATGACTGACACACAACAAAATCCGTGTTTCCATCAATGTGTTGTATAAACCATTGTTCAATCCTTCCAGCATAAATTCCAACAGAACAATTGGTGACGTAACGACAAAAAACGCATCTATCAGTGCGCACTTTCTTCGATGGAATGAAAAACACGCCCATGTCAAAATAAGTATGATATAATTCGAAATTTCATTCAAAAAATTCGAATGGTTATCAGTCAATGTCGCATGTCACATCATTATAACATCGAAAATAGTTCAGTGGCGCAAAGTAGACGACAGACAAGGAAATATTTTTCGGATCTCTCTATATTTCAATGCGGCCACGTTGGTAGCACTGAAGAGAAAGATGGGAGAGGAGAGAACGTTCCTTTCTCTCGTTCAAGAAAGAAAATACCTCAATCGAGCTCAATCTGGACTCAATAAACTGCTCTTTTTTTTCAGAATCCTAGCAATATAACTTGCATTTTGAATAAGACAGAATTCTTCGTTTTCCCCAACGAGGAAATTGAAATCGAACTTACAATACAGACTGATAAATTGGGCACTCACGAGTTTCCACTAATGTGAGTAATATAAAGCTAGATTAGTAAGGAAGTAAGTAGGTGTAGGGTGTTTTCTTCGTAAAGTGATAATTTCTTGACCAGTTTTTCTGAATTAAGATGCTTTTGAAGTAATATTTGAGATATAGGTGTCTGATGAATTTGTAATTATCTGAGAGTAAATGTATCAGTAGTACCACAGTTATTTAATTGACGTTTTCATATGAATGGCGAGTCTATGTAATTAGGAACATTTAAGAGACTATACATTATCTCTTTCTAGTTGTAGTTAATCCTGAAATGAAATATCCATAGGAAATGGAATTTTGATTTTTTATTAAACGTTCATATTTTCAATTTGAAGTCTATGGCGCGAAATTTATTCACATTCAGTGGTTCAAATTGGATTTGTGGCGCAAAACCATGACGACTTACAACAACTGAGATAATAAAACTTGTGCAAACAATTTATGTTGTTTAGTGTATTCAGTCTCTAGCATTATTTCATGAAGTATACATAATACTTTATTACTATTTACAAATCATTATTTACATGAGGAAAATTGAGAATCTGACTCAGCACTGAATGATTACAATTCAACACAATTTAAGAATTTTAGTATTTACTATTAGGAAACACATCGTATGTTTACTGATTATCACATTTCCAGATTCACCATGGCAGGCAGCAGTCCAGAATCCATTTGTACAGTGATATGTAATGGTCAAGGGCCAGTTGTATCATACGAACCTGACGAGTTACAATTTGAAAGTATCATTCTCCTACATGAAGTATCAAAAATGTTAACTTTGATCAATGATTCGCCTATTATAGCAAACATAACTGTATCCACAGTAAGTATTGATTGTTCAAAATGGTTCTAAGTTGAAGATTTCTATGAATGGATTCTATGGATGGATGGTGAAACGCATGTCTTTATTTTTTTGAGTATAATATATGGAATGAATACGAAATTTTCGAAGATTAATATTTGTCAATGAAGTATAGATGTAAAATAGGGCCAAGACATAAAAAATACGGTTCATTTTACATTAAGATCAATTGCAGCAGGTGAGCTAGTTATATACTCAATATCATTATAGTAACATTTGGCGAATAGTTAATTTTTAATGTACCGATTGAATTTCTGACCTGTAAGATTTTTCACTGTTTGTGGTATGATATTATACAAATTTCGTTTTCGGAGAGTTAGATGCAGATTTATGTAGTCTATATCTTGAGGATCTGATGAGTTTTGCACTGCCAGTACTGTAATCACGGAAATGAGCATTTCTATCGAATTTATCTTTATTTTCATGGATTTCAAGAAGGCAATGGTAAATATATAAAGAAGGAAAGAGCATTATTCCTAAATTATTGAGTATAGGACGGACGATATGTGTCTACATAATCTGCATTAGCAATTATCCTAACTGCTTTTTTTTAAGCTTGAAAACTCTATCAGAAGATGAGGAGTTTCCCCACAAAACATTACCATACCTAAGATGCGAATTGAAGAATGCGTAATATGCTGTCAAGAGAATCTTAGAACTTACTATAGATCTCAACTGTCGAAGCAGAAATAATATATGCTTTGAGAGTTTGGAGCATAAGTCATCAATATGATTGTGCCAGTTCAGGTTATCATCTATTGTGATTCCTAGTAGATTTACTTTATCACCTTTTTTAATTTCACTGTTGGATGAGAAAATCAAATTCTGAGTTTTAATCTCTGTTAAGTTTCAAAAGATTTCCAGTGAACCACTTTTCTGCCTGGTTTTCTACATATTTCATGGATGTAATTAGGTTTTGACAGTTTTTGTCAGAGCATATTAGTGTACTGTCATCTGCATAAACGACACATTTATTTGGTAACATATGACAGAAAAAAATCATTGATGTGAATGATGAAAAGGAGAGGCCCCAGAACAGAGCCTTGGGGTACTCCAGATTTCATCACCTCAAATCCAGATGCGTCGTTGGTGTTAAGGCAAACGTAATGCTTTCGATTATGAAGGTAAGACTGGAAGAGAGAAAGTGCAATTCCTCTGATACTGTAATCACAAAGCTTTTTCAAGATAATATCGTGATAGACGCAGTCAAAGGCTTTGGTCAGGTCGCAGAGTGACTGCAGTTAGCTGCCCCTTCTCCAAACCCTCTACTACCTCCCTCACAACTCTTGTTACTGCTTGAATGGTCGAGCATGATTTTAGAAATCCATATTGATCTTTATTCAATAGATCCTTGCTTTCAAAGTATATCTGTAATCTAGTTTGTATTATTATTTCAAATATTTTACCAAATATAGGTATGATAGATATTGGGCGACAATTCTCCAATTTATAAATATCAATATAGACATTTGTTGAGCATATGTGATTTGATACAGGTATTTTCCATGTTTAAAAATAAGTGTGGTTGAATTATAGTGATGATTCAACTCACACGCCTACAATAATTACACTGTATTGGTACAGGGTGATTCACCATAAATGTCCCCTCCCTCTAGCTCAGTTATTTCTAAACCGATTTCGAAATCTGAAGTATCATCTTGAATGATTTTCGATGAAGTTTATTTCCGCTACATCAGAAAATACAGGGTGCTCGGAACAAACGATCTACAGGGTACTATTTGATTTTTTTACATGGAACACTCTATTTTTCATTGTATTTTTAGATTCTCCCTGAAGATCTGATTTGTTCAATGTATCACACTTGGGGTCTAGCGGGAATGATTACAGAGATATAGGGTGTTCAAAATCGAGATTTTTGAACTTCAGGATTTTTTTGAGACGAAACTATTCATAATCGGTCAAAACGGCTTTCATTTCCGTATCTTAACTTTTGATTTACTTTCTACTGACAATAATTGGAACAGATACAGGTTAATCAGAATTCTGAATCTTGAACAACCCTGTAAATGTTTCAATTAAATGTCAGGGAATCAAAAGTTGAGATGGAAACATAGAAGCCGTTTTGACCAATAATGGATAGTTTCGACACAAAAATATCCTAAACTTGAAAAATCTCGATTTTGAAAACCCTATATCTCTGTAATCGTTCCCGCTAGACCCCAAGTCTGATATATTGATGAAATCAGCTGTTCAGGAAGAATCTAAAAATACAATGAAATACAGGGTGTTCCATTGGAAAAAATCAAGTAGTACTCTGTAGATCATTTGTTCCGAGCACCCTGTATTTTCTGATGCAACGGGAAAAAAATTCTGAAAAATCATTTCAGATTATTGTTAAAATTTTCAAATCGGTTCAAAAATAAGTGAGCTAGATGAGGGGACATTTATGGTGAATCACGCATGTACTAGTAGCTATAGTACATGTACTTTGTCACCTATAAGATCTCCAGCCGAGCTATCTAATAGTCAATAGGCCGAGCAGTTACCCCCAAACCATAGGTACTTCTCTAAGTGTCATATTTCGGCATATATCGCGGCCAAAAATAGATTTTCGGGATCATTGGCCATTTTCCCGCCCTTCCGGTCACTTCCTGGTGGACATTTTTTTTCAGAAATTAATGTACCCATAAATACCTACGGGTTGGGAAAAAAAGTTCGGGATCTATCAGATGTCAAGGTTCCGGGAATGTCCGGCCCTTATTTACTGAACTTCTAACAGTACTTCTTTTTCAGTCCCCAACGTCACCTTTCGCGAGTGACGTAGCCCATTTGGAAATAGCCCCTGAAGATAGACGAGAATTGACAGTGAGAGGCTATCTAACTGACACTGGCAGATACAAAGAGAGCCTGAACATAGAAATAGAAAACGGAGAAATAGTTGCTATTCCGATACTCGGCGAAGGAGTAGGAAGTTCTATTCTCTGCGAACCCATAATCGACCCGGAGTACGATGCGGGTATCTTGCTCACTCATCAAATTTTCAAACTGAAGGTTAAATTCACCAATTTGGGAAAGAAACGTTACAAAATATCGTGGACACGTCGGCAGGGTTTGAAAAATCTGAAGGAACTGGATGATGAAGATGTTTACGCGTGAGTTTTGGTTTTGATACCTACATGAAGTTCTTTTGTGATAAAAGGAATTGCCGAAATTAGGGAAGCTACAACCGCAAAACGATTATTGAACCATTATGATGAACAAAATAGTTATTCATGTACCAAGGACGAAAAACTGTCTATTATAGTCGAGTATGCAAATTGGTAGCCGAGGTTAGCAATCAGGCGAGACAATATAAAGTTTTTCTTCTTCTATCCACATCACGGTCCTATTCACACGTGAAATCTATCAGATTTCGTGAATAATTAATTTCACAAAAGCAAATGACAGTTGTTAACTCACTTTCAGCGCGGATCAGGTTTGCCAGTTCGATTTTTATCTCATCAATAAATACCTTGTCATAAATTCAGATTCATTTTATGCCATACGAATTCCAAGAAAGGATAATAATGATAATAAACCTATGACGTCAAAACATTTTGTACGTTTAGTAAACAGAAAATAAGTAACCTATTTCCAACAAAATAGTAACAAACAAAACAAAAATTCTCATAAAAAAATAATCACCTTTCTAATTTTTAATTTTGAAAGAAATACCAAAAAATACAATTACATAGGTATGTACAGGGTGATTCGCCATAAATGTCCCCCACTCTAGCTCACTTATTTTTGAACCGTTTTAAAAATTTGAAAGATAATCTGAAATGATTTTTCTGAAATTTTTTTCCCGTTGCATCAGAAAATACAGGGTGCTCGGAACAAACGATCTACAGAGTACTAATTGATTTTTTTAAATGAAACACCCTGTATTTTATTGTATTTTTAGATTCTTCCTGAAGAGCTGATTTCATCAATGCATCACACTTGGGGTTTAGCGGGAATGATTACAGAGATATAGGGTGTTCAAAATCGAGATTTTTCAACTTTGGGATTTTTTGTGCCGAAACTATTCATTATTGGTCAAAACGGCTTCTATGTTCCCATCCCAACTTTCGATTTACTATTTAGTGAAATTTAATTGGAACATTTACAGGGTGGTTCAAGATTCAGAATTCTGGTCACCCTGTATCTGTTCCAATTATTAAATGTCAGTAGATAGTAAATAAAAAGTTAAAATACGGCATTGAAAACCGCGTGACCGATAATGAATAGTTTCGTCACAAAAAAAAATCCTAAAGTTAAAAATCTCGATTTTGAACACCCTATATCTCTGTAATCAGTCCCGCTAGACCCCAAGTGTGATACATTGATCAAATCAGCTCTTCAGGGAGAATCTAAAAATACAATGAAAAATAGGGTGTTCCATTTAAAAAAATCGAGTAGCACCCTGTAGATCGTTTGTTCCGAGCACCCTGTATTTTCTGATCTAGCGGAAAAAAACTTTATCGAAAATCATTCAAGATGATATTTCAAATTTTAAAATCGGTTCAAAAATAACTGAGCTAAAGGGGGGGGACATTTATGGTGAATCACCCTGTACTTATAAGATTTGAGTATATAAAAAACAGGAACGAACAGCATGAATGAACAACATAAATACAAAACAAATAAAAAAATTGTGAGCAAGAAACTGTTGTAACAGAGGTACATAAAAAATTTAATTTGATCTGAATCAGATGAAGTATTGTCCTTTTTTGGTTTATACATATCATTAATACCTATATGTAGATTTATTACTTATTTTGTGAAATTGATTTAAACAGAGCCTGCTGAAATACCTATCATGCAATTCATAAGTGTATGTGATTTACTGAAGATCAATAATGGTATAGGTAATTATAATAATAAATAAGTGTCGAGATATTTTTCAGTAGGTTATGAAATACTCCAGTATATCAGTAGGACAATATGCAAATCAAGAGATCTACTGAAAATTCAGAAGAACTGGCAACCATGTAGCGGACGAAAAGTTAGTGTCTGCAGACGAAAAATACTTGTGGGGGTGGACGAAAAAAAAATGGTTGTGAAGTTTGAATGAAGCGATGAAACTGCTAATGTTGACCAATAAATTAAAGTTGAGAGAGATCATTCTGAAGAAAACAATATTTCATTTGAGATACTCTCTTGGAATTTTCAATAACTTCATTAGGTTTTGAGGAACCATGTGTTGAAATTGTGAAATCCATATAGTCATGACTGAAATTGAAAATTTATATTATTTGTCAGGATCGGGAAAAAATAATCCATGTGAATGATTGAAGATTTTATATCAACTAATCTTGATCTTGAATGAACCTTTAATTTTCCTGATGTTTCAAATGTCACCACATGTTATGAGATTCACTATCCAACTATTGTTTTGCAGGTCAGTATTTCGAATAGAACCAGTTCGTTTCGAATTGGGTCGGAATGAGTCGCAACAAATTGAAATTATCGGATCCTCCAAGAAACCGCAAGGCGTTCAGGAAGACTTTTACTGTTTCGCACTTATAGACAAATCAACAAAATTGACGAACATCATGTCATGTTTGATGAAAGCTGAATTTGTGGAGCCGAATGTGCAATTTTCTGACTGGACTCTTAATTTTCTTTGTGCAACTGAGGATTACCCTACCTTCTTTAGAAAACCACAGCCATCCAGTTTGACTCCTATGGTTGATTATGAGGAATTCTACCGGCCCCCAGTTGACACAAGTTAGTATGATATGAATGGCTGCTCCGAAAATTGATTCACATTCGTTATCCAAAATAATAAAATACATTACGATTCCATCAGCTTATAAACTTTTTGGAGAAATGGTTATCTATTGTATTCCACTGACTGTCATTTCCGAGCATTCACATCATGCCACATATTATTTCAATCAAATTGTCCGGGCCAGGTATTTGAGATTTTTTTAAGTTCATTACTTATTACTTATTCGTTAATGAGTTGTTTAAAATAATCAATCTATAGTCTACCAATGGCTGCCATATCATTATTTTATGAAAAAAAATCTAGATGTAATTAAACAGGAACAGGGGAAAGTCCAAACATTGTTATTCCAAAAGAAAACCTAGTAGGAGAGGTATAATATTTTTTGTTCATTGGGAAAAATAAATGTAAAAACCGCCCTAACTTCAGATGCATTCCTGTCAAGATTCACTTTTTTGTCAAGTTGGAAACAAACATGTTTCATGTTCAAACGTTTTAAGAATAAACAGTTTAATTAAAGCAGGATACCTAACGAAAAAAATACTGTTAATGCAATGATAAAATAGCTCGATTCTTGTATGCTATTTTAACTAGAGTAGGAATTAGAAACTCATCAGTGCTGTGATGAAACATTACTGCTAGCACTTTATTAAAATTATCGCATGCAAGCAAAGAATAGAAAAATTTGAATCAAATTACAATGCTACATTATTTACAATTCAAATGACATGTTCGATACAAATTGCATTAGAAAACAATAAGAGGACCATCATGTACCCTTTAAGCATTTGGAACTATTTCAAAGATAACTAAGCCCTTTTGACATCCACTTGTATCAAATGACAATGCTACATTATTCACAATTAAAATGACATGTATGTAATTAATGTTTTCAAATATTTTATTATTCATCAGTTTATTATAATTGTATAGTTTTAGGTATTATTGTTAACTATACTTCCTTATACCAGAACTTGATTCTGACTGGAAGTAACATTTTCAATAAATAAATAAATAAATAAATAATGTAGGGATTGAAACCGTAAGGATAATACTATGCAACTTGATTCATTTAATGCTCTTTTTTGTTACAGCTGGATTAGTTATTACTAACGATACCGAATTACCGCTCAAACTAGTCATGAAGACTACGAGTGATTACTATATTAATAATGATGGGGAAATGATGACTGAAATGGGCTATGAACTGAATGCTGGAGACAACTATAATGCTCAAATCGAATTCAGGCCAAAATCACAGTCAAAAAGATACAGCAAGAAAAATGGGAGGTTCACTGTCGATTTCTCCCAACATCCAAAGGAAGTACGTAATTTAGTTCTATTCGAATATCTTTAATTTGCTAAACATTTAGATGCCGTGAGAAATCGAAATTTGAGTCTATTTGGAATGAATTTCTTGAATCAGTATCATTTGCAAAATATTGGTAACCCTCAGCAGCTTAACGAAAATGTTGAAGTTCTAAGATTTTGTCATCAGACGGTGTAAGGTGATGACGTTCTTTGTGAATCTCATGTCAAAAAGCTGCTTTAATTCAAATATAATATAATATAATAATAATTTGAGTAATGATGAGACACGCATCTGAAAATACTAAATAGGGACTGATCATTTCGAGAATTACTTCAACATCATTCCCGTGGTTTGTTTATTTTTATTTTATGCGAAAAAGTCCATTATCAGTAACTATTTCTCATAGCCTAAACGTGTTTATATCTTAGAAGAAGATGACCCGCACAACCAACATCTCTAATTACTGACCTTATTTTTTAAGGACCCTGATATCCAACGTATCATGCCTATTTTTTTTGCATTATTGTTGTCCTATCAACATATAAAGAACTGTAAAGTAGGTATATTGAACGGACTCTTGTTTTTTTTTCAGGATAACATCACTCTGATTGGAGAAGTAATGTATCCAACCATCAATCTGGTACCAGATAAGTATCATTTTGAGTGTCTGCCGCTAGATTCCTATACATGCACGACCATACTCATCCAAAATGTTACCTTCATGCCACTCGAATACAGTTGGGAACTTTTAGAGGATGGCTTTGAAATAGAAAATTTGGAAGTTTTGGCGGTGAATATAATATCTTTCACTTTTTCCTTTTCATTATGTTCTATGATTATTATATTTTAGGATTATGATAATACATGTATAAGAAGCTCGATGAAGTCCATAGAGAGTGACGATATAAATAAACTGGAAGAAATTACATCTGTTGCTGCTGCAAGTCAGCCTAAGTTTAATATGAGTCATATTAAGAAATCAGCGTCGAAAGTTCATAGTAGCCATCTGCACAATAAAAAAGTAGTTTCAATGGCGAATATACCTTCGAAGCTGATTGCGAAAAATCGAGGCCTAACAGAACATAGCCAAAAAGATTTAACCAAGAGAGAATCCAGCGTAGCCTCGGAAAAACTGTTGAAAACAGTTCTACTAGACGATGAGCAAACTGGATCTGCTGAAGAGATCCACATTGACTGGGATTACAAAACATATGATATGGAAGCAACAAAGTTTATCAAAAATATCGCCATCAATCATCTGGTGCAAGAAGACACAGAGTTTTTCTGCGACATTGAAAACGAGGCATCGTCCGCATACAGTATAGGAAATATTGTGACCATTGAACCTTCGAACGGGGTGTTAGCACCTTTCGAATATGGAGCAGTTACAATTGGATTTTTCCCACCTCCGAATGTCAAAGTGAAATGTACTGCCATTTGTAAAGTTGAAGGAGGAGAGGATGAGCCGTTTCTGATTACAGGGATGTCCTCCAGAATATCCTATAAGTTTGACAAACAAGTGATTGAATTCGGACGAAGGGTTTGTAAAATTAATATATTTGAAAGCGAACGATACGTATTACTTTCAATGACTTTTTCTACACCTGTGGCAAGAACAATTTTTCTCGCTCGAAGGAGGAGTTAACGTGATACGAAGCGTATGGCAACGTCGCTTTCTCACCGTTGAAATACCCATGCACACAGTTCGTCTATAGAAACATTCTTGTCAGACGTGTATACAGTGCTTTCGTTAAGTTCTGAATGAATTCATTTCAAGCCAAACTACCTATTTCTGAGATCTCTAGATTTTCATTTTCAATTCGAGACATTTATAAGGAATAATTAAATATACAGAGTGATTCACGTTCGAATTATAACGACCGCGACAATTTCAAATTAGATTTGTTTTTCTTTCTTGTATCCCTTCATAAACATATATGTTTCTCGGGATCAATACCTATTCTATATAACTAAAAACTTCAATTTCAGTTATTTTCTGAAATATTGGAAAGTACTCTTCTGCTGACAAATAATGGATATTCGAAGTTCCATTTCAAGAAAATCTGTGACGAACAATTCGAATATCTGAATGTTCCTCCAGGATGGTTATGTGTGAACCCATCTGAAGGCTGTCTTCTAGCTGGGGAAAGCGTCACTCTCTTGATCAAATATTTTCCTGGAAAAACTGGAGAATTTCAGGAAACAATCGTTTTTGAGGTAATCACAATGAATAATAGTGATGATGGATAGGTTCGATGAATTTTATCACCTTGGACCATAGTGGAAGGAGGAGATGGTGTGCTCAACAGGAAGCTTAAACTCGTCTTGTTCTGCGCATGACGTCAGCTGGGATATAACTGTCATTGTTATTATTTGTTTTCGTGATTGATGTCTCGAACTTCAGATATTATATAAGTACTAAAATTGAATGAAATAATTTCGAAATGCCTACATGTTTCGTTTCTGGTTATGGAAATTCCAACTAACATACAGGAAGCACAGATATTGAATTTTTCTGCTTTTCCAAGAATGGAGACCCAATGAAACGATGAGAGCTTGCTGCCGACAGAATATAAACTCAAATTATGGTACCTACCTTTTATTCCTTATATCGTCATTCCAAAGTATTCACCTATCATATTATCATCACATTCATATTACGTATGTACGTATTTCTTCAATACATTTCCATGCAAAATGTTCCCAAACAAGTGCAAAAGTACGGTTCTTGAATTACACACCTCTAAAAAATCACAAATATTTGAAACAAGATGCCATTCCTACAGAACATCTTCCGAATATCAAGTCAGAAATAATTGAAAATGAATTCAATTGATGTTGTCGATGTCGGAGCTGAAGCAACGTCAACGTCGTTAACTGCTGAATTTTAATCTGTCAGAATCGACACAGTAGTGGATCATTCAGATGGGATTGGCAATGCATGATAATTCTTATGTATTTGCTATTTGCGAATTTGCGATTGCGAATTACCTCAAGATCACAATTTACAGAATCAATGAAATAGTAAAATCGAAGGAATAGGTACCTGTTTATATAAATTGAATTATTTCTAAACAGATCGAGAAACTTATAGAAATTTCAATGAACATGATTGAATTCATCGCGCACGCCCATGGCAATGGTATCTGTCTGTGACTAGCAGCTGATATTGGTATCCCAGATGACGTCACATAATATGCGCGTAGGCACACCATCTTCTCCTTCCACTATGCCTTGGACTCATTAATAATTTATTATCACATTAATTCGTACCAAATGAAAACATAGTAGGCGGGGAATGATATTGTTTGTTCACTGATGTCTGCCTGTCAACATGTCAATAGCAATAGCAATATATGTTGAATTTCTGTCAGAGATTATTTGCATTTTTTTTTTTACTTGTTATATCTTATTATAATTTCATAATTGTATGTATAACACTATGTATATTGTTTATGTATCCCTATTATAAACAACTATGTTTCTTGGGGTAATAAAGACAATCAATCAATATGTTTTCAACTGTGTGAATTTCAAACGACTGTCGACACGCCGCGTATGGAGCTGAAATAATTGACTGTAGGAAAATGTATACCTACATAAAAAAATATTTTATATAAAAAGCAGAAAATCCATGACCAAGAACCAAATAAAGTCTTACTTTCCTGCTTCTACATATATCCCCATTTCAGAAGTCTTCCTGTCTCAGTTGACTAACTACCTATGTAGGTGTTATTTTTAGAGAGATGACAGAGTTATCAACAATATAAAGGTAAATGAGCAGTTCCGTCCTTTCTATTCTCAACTTGCATGCGAATGCAAAACAGTCTAGAATAAGAATAACAAATGAATGTTATAGTTCAAAAATATAGCTCACTGGCTTATTGAAAATCATAGTCCAAGAGGGCGATTTTTGAATATTTTGTTTTCTATTGAACAGACAATATTATACATTAATATTATAGGAGACAATGGTTCAACTCAAATAATATATCTGTTTTCGTTTTTCAGATTGGCTATCTAGAACCTTACGAAGTTCAAGTACATGGTTATGCTTCTTTTCCACAACTGAGTTTAACACTTCCTAGAGAAATTGTTGCGAATAATTGGAATGACTTGTCATACCGAGCGATATCGAGTATAACAGAGGAATATCTCTTATCTTTCAGCGATGTGAAGAATGAAAACATAACAAAATATGTACATAAGCGTGGTTGTCCTGAGAATATGAATGAAGCAGCTTACAAGTCATTGCTCAGAGATGACTGGGTTATTATTTCCGATAATGTAAGTTATAGGTATACTCCATTCAATAGTTATAGATCCGGTGAAGTCCTGGAAAAATCTCTTCTTATCCAGTATGAAATTGATGAGACACAAAGTCACTTGGAAAAAGAATATCAGTGCCCACCTTATGCATTTTGAATCAATGAAACATTACTTGCTTATGAGTGTCAATCAAATCTGAAAACTTCAAGAATACACATACAAATACAGTTCTCAACACATGTGTTCCACTCAATTGACATGATTTTACCATTCTTTGACATCCAGTATTTTCACTATTTTTTAAGGAATCAATCGATTGATTGCGTTAAGGTTTTCGGCATCGAATGTTGTGTTTCATAAATTCCGAACATAGTCAAGTTAATTCGAGATAATCAGCACCTTATACGCCAAATGCTCAGGGTGTAAAGTTGAACCAATACACTATGATCTATTCGCGACATTCACGAAGTGGGCGACATCTAGTTTACATAATACTAACTTCAAACTGGGGGAAAACAAACTGTTGTCTATGGATAAAGTGCATAGACTACCTTGCATTCAGCTTGCTGTAGCTGTAGTCAAACTTGTCAATAACAAAAAGTGTTGGCACTGTTGGTAGTGATGATGGTTGAGTTGGTTTAGTGAGCAGTGAACGGGTGAAGAATTAGAGATAGTTCAAACAATTCAAACTAATTATGACGAGCAAATCAATTGACATATAAAAGAACAGCTACAACATGTTTACAATACCCAGATTGTCCTGCTTTGCATGAACAAATACAAATCCATTGTTCTACAGGAGTTCCTCTGGACCTCAACTTCAATTTTACTTCATGTGGGGAAAATTTCATCGCCGAAGTTTGTAGACAAGGTGCAAAAATGTGCCTTTTGTTGAAGTCTTCTGTCTCACACAAAATCACGTGATAAGCACGGAGGACTGCTTCTCCTTCCACTACTGGTCGGCTTTTTCCATCTAAATAGAGCAAAATATCTGCCAAAACAACATCTACAACAGGCATTATCAGCGTTTATATTGACAATTAATGTCAAGAAACTCGAAATCTTATCACTTATCAGTACACAGTACACAAGCTAATGGCACTAATGGGATTGAGTGAGGATTGAGTTTGTTTTCCCCCAGTTTTGACGTGGCTTTGACATGGAACGATGAAAACCGAGCGCCACCTGATAACATTGATTCCCGCGAACTTGTGCAATGCTGTGTGGCCTCAGAAATAATTTTTTTTATTATTTTAATCAACCATATGTTCAAAAACGTCTGTTGTATCCTGCTCGGAGAGAGCAATGTATAGAGACATAGTTATCACTGATATGCAGCAAAGATATCATCTGTCTTTAAGCTTTATGTCTGAAAAAAGTTTGTAATTTCATGTGGTCATTCATCTATACTGCTATATTTTGGATTGGGGCATCTCTGTGATGAAACGTGGGACATTTGAAATGAAACATTGTTGAATTACTGCATATCAATCCACATATATATGCTATATAAGATATAAAATATTGAAACATATATCTGATGAAACATGGAACGTTTGAAATGCGATAGTGATAACGCTGCCACATAATGTTTGAAATGCGATAGTGATAACGCTGCCACATGATGTTTTCGTCAACTGACTGAGGACATCGTTAGGTAACTTCATTTTGATATCGCTGATGCTATTTCGTTTTCAGGATGTTTACCCAACTGAAACTGAAATTGATCTGTCCAGAGAAAGAACATTGCTGAACGAGTACCTTCGAAGCAAAAGTTTCATTTCAACACAATCTGTTACTCGTAAAGTAGATACCATCTCTGAATTCATAGTGTCCCCCTACCTCCTAGATTTTGGCTACGTGATAATGAACAAACCGGTCTGTTATACAGTGCTCATCCTCAATTGTGGACCGGTGGACACAGAAGTGAGACTGGAAGAAATAAACAGGAGCCGACTAGATAATAACGAACTGAAAATTGAATTTCGTACAAAGAGAATGGGTGTTGGAGATATGACCGAGCTGTATGTCATATTTTCTCCAACGAGAAAAAGATGCGGGCCACACGAGAGGTGTATTGAGGAGTGCATTTTTTTAACCGTTAAAAACGGTGGGAAAATACCGATTTTGATACGAGCCACTGCCACCATACCTACGATGAATATTGGCTACTCATGTATCGAATTTGGGACTGTCAAAATCGGAAGTGCTTTGAGGAAATCAATTATAATTCAGAATGAGTGAGTAAGATCAAATAATTCATGTTATAATGATAAACTGTCAAAATCGGAAGTGCTTTGAGAAAATCAATTATAATTCAGAATGAGTGAGTAAGATGAAATAATTCATGTTATAATGATAATTCGAATCCATTCTACAAGAAATAATGGGAAAGTGTAGAAAACTCCATATTTGATAGTCGATCGAAGAATAACTAGTTTAATTTTAGGGATTAAATGATTATTGAGAAGAAGTTAGGCAGCAGATTCAATCCATAAAACTAAAATATCATTTGAATGATACAAGCATATACTGATTCCATATGTGGGAGATAAAATAACGATGTTCTTTGAACATTATAGGGATTCCCTTTCCTCCAATCGATACAAAAAAAAAAAAAAAAAAATTGAAATCATTGAAATTCTCCCATTCACACATAGCCATATTTGCAGGCTTCTGTTATAGCAGTGTGCAATATTTGTGCTTTTTTTTAGGTTCGATTTGAAATTTCAACTTGTAATCAATTGCTAATCATGATGATATCGTTGCGCCATGTTGGTCTCTCTCTCCCTCCCTTTTTTTCTCACTAGAGAGGTACCACCACCATCTACTAGAGTTACTGGGTAGTATTATTAGTAAGATAAGAGTTCGGACACAACTGAACTTGTGTCTTTTTCTATTTTCTATATCACAATGGCTTGAGTGAATAAAAGAATAAGACATATATTCTGCTCTTCGTCTTTTCAATTTCCCTAGTAGCGCCTGATTGTCAGAACGATAGGTCAGATTTTCTGTGGAATCAATGATAGCCGTAAATGGAAAATAGAAATAGGGTATAAACACTCACTTCAATTTATGGCGACACACTTTTCGCAGAACAACAGTTATAAAAATGAAAATAATAATAATAATAATAATAATCGTTTATTGTCTACCAATGAACAAAATAACAAATTCCATGTTTGAACAATTTTGTTAGTACAAAAAAAAGGTATAGGTGGCAAACAAAAGGTGAAGTGATAGGTCAGTGGACCGATTCTTCCACACTCCCCTAGAAACAAAAACAAAAATACTAATAATATAAGTTATGTCTCTCAAGTAAATGTATATCGAGGCGATATTATTTTCAGAAGATAAACTCTATCCTAATGATATATTATTAATCAACTATTATTGATTCACTTTTTTTCTTCGTTTTTTCGTATCACTGTTATGAAAGGATTTTTTTCTTAAATTTCTTTTTAAATGAATTCAATGATATGGAGAAATTCGGTATATCCAAAGAAAGGCTCACAGTCGCAATCTGATAGGAAAAAGATGACTTATAAATTTCTTTATTATGCGAAGGTATGTTGATACCATGCTTCCTTCTCAGGTTTAAACTGTGAATATCAGTTCTATACTTGATTTTTCTGAAGAGATACTCTGGCTGTTTAGTTTTCAGTAATTTATAGAAAAGGCAATACGAATGAAGTCTACGACGATTGTACATACTCAACCAACCCATTTCCTTGAGTTTATGAGATATACGATCTCTTTTTATTATTCCATGGATTAAACGAAGACATGAATTTTGGATTTTCTGTATGCGATATGCTTCTGATTTGCGTAAAAAAGGCCCATATACTGTATCACAATGATTAAAATGAGACAAAACCAAAGAATCGCATAACATTTACTTTGTAAGTGTAAAAGAATGCATACGTAACAACATTTTAACATGGCAAAATAGCAGATGTCCATTGCCTTTGGTCCCACATGTGTATTTGATGGCAAAAGCTTCATTTATTTTTTGATTTTCCATCTTTTCCTGCAGTCACTTTTCACTAAATTTTGAATTTGGTCTGTATTGAAAACGCCATTATCAAAGATATATCACGTAGTTATTTACATGATTCCTCAATTTCATTCTCAAATTTTCACTTTCATTTTGCAATCAATTCATCTTTCTCCATGATAATTTTGTCCCAGTCGCTGGGAATTGAACCCACGACCGCCAAGCGGATGCAGATTAGAATACTGACACTCTATCCGCACTGCTACCTGGCTACGGATTTCGAAATATTTTGTTAGAAAATGGATAATGGGCCTAAAATATATAGAAAAGAGATCTGCTGTTATAAGAAGGAATTTTAATGTTGTTTGTCTTCAAATTAATTTTCCATCCAGGCCGTTTCATATACATTCCTTCCATAAGAGAATGGTTTATATTATCTTCAGAATTCCCATATTTCACTATACAGCAAGACATTTTCATTTATGCTTTCTTCACAATAGTTTTAAGGAAATATATTATTTCAATTCTGACATTCATAGAATGTATTGTCAATAAATTCAAATAATTTTGAATGAAAATGCGTGGGACGAGTATGGTGCTCTTGTCACAATGCAAGATGTGTAACTTAATAAATCTTAACATTCAAAAACACAAACAGTTGTCATTTCTGTGTCCGAACTTTTATCTAACTGATACCATCCAGTGATTCTACCATGTACTAGTTCAAATATTATTATCTTTGGTTGAAGCCAGTTGAGTACAATCTAGAGATGTATTCATAAAAAAGTATGGCCAGATATTATGATGAAGAAAATGCAATGGTTCTGCAATGCAATCTATGATCTTCTATTATTAGGTTTTTGTTTCCATGAAAGAGCTTATTTTCAGAATTTGAAAGTTCTCAGAAACCTTAGGAAATTTCAACTTTTTCTCGAGAATTGACTAATTGTTTTCAAAATTTTAACAAAAGAATACATTCTAGGGTTCGCACACAACTACGTTATTTCGAAGGTTTATAGAGTGTAAATTAACTACATTTTATCACACAAAAAATATTTATTATTTATTTTTTTATATTAATATTCCTTATGGATGTTTCAGCGGCAATTTATTATCCAAATGGACTACTGAAGTTCGCTCTCTGAACAATCAGATCGATAATGCTTATCACATCATACCGAATAAAGGAGAGCTATTGCCTGGCAAGAAAGACTTACTCAATATCTATTGGGTGCCGACCAAGAAAGGAGCCAACGATTCGGAGTTGACGATAAGAATCGAGAGGAACAACGTGAATACGTCAGTCGAGTTGTATGGACATGCAATAGAGCCCACTCTCGCATTCAGCGAATTGAAGTTAGATTTCGATGCTAGTTTGCCCTATTCCGAGAAAATCGAGAAGTATTTGATCATTCAGAATGCATCTACTTTTCCAGTAGAATACTGCTTCTCTGATTTTGATCGGTAAGTGGTTTGATTGATTGTCTTTATTACCCCCAAGAAGTATATCTGTTTATAATAGCGATACATATTACATAATAAAAAGGTTAACTAATGAATTTCACTCAGTGAAAACAGATTCATACTTTCATCAAATAACCTCAAAAAGACGTTACACATACGTCATATATGTATTATAATTATTTTACAACATGTGAGCGATAATTTATGAAGGCACATACACATATTCATAGAAATTTCGATTTGTTAGATATATCGAATATATTCACTAAATATATCAATTATCTGGTAATAATTCCACAGAACTATCCCCACCATTCGCCATTTCACTCATTCATCTTTGTTCCATGTTTAGGATTGTTATTTTTAGTCTGTGGTTTCTAAATATTATTACGTTATTATTCGGGTGCAGAAGCGAACACGACACTATTTATTTTCGAACTGATTTATTTGAACTAAAGAAACACTAATTCATATCGAACTTATAACTGCTATTTATGTAAAACTATTTATATCACGCGGTATATAACTGTCTCTCTGACACTCGCTGCTCGACTAACTGACGGCAGTTGTTCGGCCGTTTATGGCTATATTCCGAATTCAACTGACAGTACTGAATCTGCTGATTTTCCATGCCGAAATCAAAAAAATCACTGGAAGTGACAGATGCTTGTCAGCAGACATACTATTCATTCCAAATATTTCGACTCAACATTCTGCTGGAATTGCTGAGTATCAAAAGGTAGTGTGGCTTCAGTGAACTGTCATATTTTAGAGGGGGAAGGAATGTAACATTCATTTCCGTTATTAATGAAATGATTCTCAATATCAGAAAATACCTGGAGTATGAAGTAGTAGAGCAGGTAAGGAAAGGAGCAGCATTGGCTAAATAAACTAAATGAACCTGGAATGTCTCCTTCTCAATTCTCAATCTGGTGCATCATGAGAAATTTATGGCAACAAAATGTCCAAGTATTCTTCAAGAATCGATTTCTCTTCCATGTTAAATATTAAATTTCCAAAATTTATAACAAGTAGGAGGCTAAACATCTAGTTCAGATAAACGAGAAACTACTACTGATGAAAACCACGAAAACGTGTCCCGAATTATAGTAGTGAATTTTTGATTTTATATTTCGGAACACAGATTTTCAGCAGAGTCAGTGGATCAACTTACAGCACTGACCAGTTGAATTCGGAATATAGCCTCAATATGAGATCCCTTGGAAGGCTTTGGTTCGAGAACGTTTTGGAATGGTCTTCCGTCTCCATCTTTTTGTTCTAGAAGCTTCTTAGAACAAAACCTCTCTCTCTCTAATTGTTCCATCGATTGTTTCCAGAACATTCCAGAATCTTCTGTCACGATATTTGTCACTGCGGCATATATTGAGTGTTCGGAAATATGCTGGTGTATGTAGGAATCATTGGGAGGTTGGAGAATAATCTGGGATGCGTTTTACAGGATGATTGTTGTACTCCTGCCTTCCTGCTGATGTTTTTAGAGCCCCTTTAAGGGGAATATCATTACAATATTTTCTGAAAAACCAGGATTCAACCTTCATGGCTTTCGGATATTTAGACTTCACCAGTTCACTTCACGCCCTTTAGTGACGCTATTAATTATCGGCAAATGGGCAAGTGGACTCTTAGTGAATAATTATTGGCAGTCAATTACTTCACTGTATCGTTAGAGACCTGAATTAATTTTTGCAACAATTCGATTAACGTTTTTGATGTAAATATGTGTCTATGTGTTATTATACGTTGTTGAATTTCAGAGCTTCTTCGATACTTCGGGTATATGAGTACGTCAGTTCTTATGCTGTTTTATTATTGTTCACATAATCTTCTATTCCCACTCATGAAGTAAGGTCGCCAACTATAATCAGGTTATTAAAAATTTGTCAGAGCTCTGTCGTTGAATAAAACTATGTCCAAATTAAATATTTCATTTGACCTAACAGAAAGAAGCCATGATATTATAGTTATTAATTTGTGACTTTTTCGAGCTACCAGCTTGTTGAAATATTTCTCATACTCCATAACAAAACAAATACATATGGCAACTGTGCTTTGGTTTTTGCTCCTACTTACGAAATCGTAACGTTAGCTTCTACCGTGGCAGATTGATGATTTATATACCTTAAAATCGACCGAAAAAATATAGAATAGAAAGGTAATATTTCTAAATATTTAAGAAAAATAAAAGAAAATAGTTCACTCGCCTCGTATGGTGGAACAGTAAGTTTCCTAAAAATATGATTGTCCCTTATAATAGGCATTTCTGGTCGTTCTTACCCCAACTTGATGACGTGAAAATTGTATGAATGGCAGAGTGTATTTATTGTATCTGCGTTTCCGGTATAAGTAGCCGCTTCCCATATCTTATGCTGAACATTTTTTCTTTCAGGGATTATGATGAAGAGAAGCATTATATCGCGTTATATTTGCTGTACCACAATTATGACAGTGTCTTGATACCAGAAAGACTACCAGGGTGTAGATTACCCGATATGTTCCAATCAAATTATTACTTTTTGATGAACCAAATTAAAGAAAAATTGTTATCTACTGAAAAGTTCAACGAAATCGAGGGTTCTTTCGATTTGAATGCCAGATATGACAAAGAAGAAATTTTTCGATTGATTTTAGGTAAAATTGCAGCAATATGAGACTCTCTCTTCCAAAAAGTGCATTTTGTATTCCAAATTGAATGACACGTAATTTTCAATGACAATATATAGTGGGTGCCATCCAAAAATAAACAGTGGGGGGTAGCTGCTAGAGAACTGTCAAATGTAATAGATTTTTTTTATGTCATTAGGAACTGAAATACATACCATCAACCTTTGCGCCCAAAGGTGCCTGAGCAAAGGTCTGAGGGGTGCCAACATATATATCTGCTCAGACAGCCAAGCCGCATTAAAAGCCCTAAAATCATTCGTTTTCACATCAAAGATTACATGGGACTGCTTTGAAACACTCATGCATTTGGGAAAGGGCAACAAAGTCACACTTATCTGGGTTCCAGGCATGAAGGAATCAAAGGAAATGAGGCAGCTGATCGCCTTGCAAAAAAAGGTGCAGCATCTGCACTTTTTGGTCCTGAGCCTTTTTGTGGGATAAGCAAATGTCACCTAAAGGGAGAACTCGTGAAATGGGAAGAAATTGAAATGTCCTCCTACTGGAGAGCAACTCCAGGTCAACGACAAGCGAAAAGGTTCATCAACCATTCGCAGAACCGAGCCAAAGAGCTACTCAGCCTCAGCAAACCAGAGCTAAAGCTTATCACAGGCTTTCTCACAGGACACGGCCCTCTGAGGTACCACCTCAAAAAGATGGGTCTGGCGGAGACTGACACTTGCCGCTTTTGTAACAATGCGACCGAAACCGCGGAACACATACGTTGCTCATGTGAAGTATTAGTCCGCCAAAGGCTGAACCACCTAGAACAGGTCTATCTCACCCCTGCTGAAGTGGAAAAGTCACCCGTCAGGAGAATCGTAGGCTTCATCAGAAGTCTAGGGTTAGAGGACCAATACTAGATAAGGGTAATCACAATAGATCTTCTAGGTCGCAGTGATCGAGAGGTCTCTCAGCCTATACGACCCATCTACAATCTACAATCTACATGTCATTAGGAAGGCACTTCAATGCCAATCAATGCACTTTTTAAATTTTTCAATCATCTTGTCAAATAAGCGAGATATTGCTCGATAATCATACTACACTATTCTACCACTGAAATCTTCTGAAGATTTATTTTTATTTATTTTATTTATTCCTTTTTGAAATAACATACATTTCAGCATACTATATTAATAGTAATATTTTTTTTTAATGAAAACATAATCAGTAAAGTTGAAAACGTGACCACGAACATGTAATTTTTTTTTAGAGCATATTGAGACGATACCTGGTTGTTTTGATGACTCCAACACAGATGTATGCCCTCTGGATGATGAGATTAACTCTAGGATGGCTATTATCAACCCAGAAATACACAACGTCGATGATTCAGATGAAAGGAGTGGCGTTTTCATTATATTCCATGGAGGACCACATACAAGTTTGTAATGTTTTTATTGCACTTTCAGGTCAATAGTTACATACAGAAATATAATACGAGTTATTCTCGAAGATGAGGCATTTATTTTAACAGGATTTGGATACTAGTTAAGTAATTTCACAAATATTAACTTTTGAGTGATGTCCAAGTAATAATGAAATATCGAGAAAATTATTTGGGCGAGCAATATACTGTTCTCATTCCATCACAATTCATACATTTCGGACAGGGGATATATAGGGTGATTATGAAGATTTCCGATGATGAATATGACAAAATACCTATCGTGTTTTTTTAAATCACCCCGTAATTCAGGACTAACTAGAATTATAGAAGAGAGTGTAGAGATCAAGTGTATCAGGGTGATGACCTATGACGGCCCATCCAATTCAATCTACCATTCAGGAACTGATTGAATATATGACACATGACGTTACAACTTAAAACTCAAACATAAACCAGATTTGATTCTGACTGTTTAGATAGTTGGACTCACCCAGTCGTGTATGAGGCCCCGGTATGGGACATCATATTTACCGCTCCAATTTCGGAAAAATTCAGTATGATAGAATTATCTATTGATACCAAGGTTGGTAGAATTGATGATTTTTTTGTAGAGGGAGGTTGCCTCGATCAGACTAAAAATTCAGAAAATTTCATCGAGAACCATTTTAACTACAAAAAGTGCGGAGTCCTTTGCACATACATGGAAAACTTCTGAGACAAATTTTACTGTCACAGGTCCGATTTACAACAAACATGCACGTCACTCATTATCGGCGATATGCTTGTTATTTCAGTAGTACTAGTCTAATCATTTTGTTCACGAACAGTTTCACATGAGTTTTCTCATAGTTGCCGTAAACTTATCCACGTTTTTCACTTCTCCATTACAACATTCCATCTCCTGTGCTTGTGTCATTTATTTATTTACCTACTGCTAATATGTGATGTGAAACATTACTACACTGATTTTAGTATCGTAATGAGATACTTTACCGCACTAATGAGGTAAAGTGAAAAAAATATAATTTCAAATTTTATTTTTACTCAAAAAAAGAAATAAGAACCAATTTATCATGAATATAGCAACCCTACTAAAGCTTCGATTGCTGCATTCTCCGCAATTTCTATATCGGAATCTTAACTTTCCTGATCCGAATTCATGCCGATGATTTTTTTTTTTTTCGAATTGAAATTTACGCGTCAAAGTTGACAGTTCGCCGATTGAGTGACTACCGAGAACACAATAGATTCACGACAACCATACGCCCAACCCCCTCAACACTTGCTTGTTACATATTCCTAATGCATCGTCAATTCAAGGAATATTGAATATGTTTTATTAAATAATTAGATTTTTGGTAGTAGGTAAAATATGGTACTATATTCGTATCGTAAACTCATATTACGATAATCGATGGGTTATCATACAAATTTCCCATCTCATATCGTAATATGAGTCATAACGATACTCGTATCGTAAAAATATCTATTTTCATATTGTTTCTCTAGATTATTACAGAGCTGCAAACAGAGTCGGAATCGCATTATCCATGCAAGTTTACAGCATTGATAGGCTCATCAGCGAAGAATTGGTGAAAAATGAAGTTGGACCTGCTGCTGAAATCAACAGTATCATACAATCTGCTCTCCAAGGTTATAATATGGATAATGAAAAACAACCTGAGGAAGGTAGGTATTTTTCAGTCAATCTTGGTAAAATTACTTCGAGAATGAATCCACAGAAGAATTATTTTTCAATGTTCTTGATGTAAGAAATACCATGTTCAATAATTATGATTGAGATTTCAACGTACATCCCCACCACTACTATAATCTCTAAATTAAATTGAATATTGATAACAATCATGCTGAGAAACGAATCAATCGATCGATTCTGGTGTTACCCCTGCCGAACATAGCAACAATGCTGAATGTTATGTATGTTATTCAATAACATATACAGGCTGATTCACGGTGGAAGGCACATCAGACTTTTCTGGAGAACGTAACTTGGGATTATTCCGAAAATTCGAAGCTTTGGATAATCCGTCGTGCTCTATCGACCTGAAATATTCTCAGCGCTGTGAAGTTGCCGCTTATATTGAAAAGTAGCAACAATTTTGATTTTTTAAATGGGACACCCTGTATATTATTCCATTTTCAGATTCTCCCTAAAGAGCTGATTTCATTGACCTGTAACACTTGGGGTCTAGCAGTGACAATTACAGAGAAATAGGGTGTGAAAATTCGAGATTTTTCAACTTTGAATTTTTTGTGTCGAAACTATTCTTAATTGGTCAAAACGGTTTTCATGTCCCTATTTCAACTTTTCATTTACTATCGATTGATATTTAATTGACATAGGTACAGGGTGGTTCAGAATTAAGATTTTCAACCCTCAAATTCTTTCGTACTCATTACTTGAACTGGCTTGAAGGCATTATTCCCTCTGAATCAATAACTATGCACTTAAAACTGGTCATTTCAGATGATTATGACTTTCTGTGGAGGAAAATTAGAACATTTCTGGATAAAAAACGAAAACCATCATCAGGAAAACTCCAAACCAGTGCTGCTAAAAGTAGAAGCTCTGAAAGAGGTTCTGATAAGAAATCGGATAAATCGAATGCGATTCCTTCGAATACTATCACGCTAATGGATATTGCCACTGAATTGCTGATAGATTTACTGAGAAGGAGGTTCGATAATACGAAATCGGCGGTGATAATAGAGAGCTTGAATAGTGAATTTCTGAGAAAACCAAATATCGCTCTGGATTGTTTGTTACATGCAATTGGAAGTGTCAAATATATCCATATTATTATTTTGTCATATACATTGGAAGATTATATGGATAATGAACTAACTCGACTGAAAAATGAAGCTGAAGCTGTAGCAGGTATAGTAACAATAATTGTGCAATTATTATTGTTTTCGATTTATTATGTTTTATATGTACGTTTTGTTGTATATATCCCTATTATAAACAATAATGTTTCTTGGGGTAATAAAGACAATCAATATAATAATATACACTGAATTGTTTAGTTTATATCATAATATCTGATTTTGAGATATTTTGTGATTGATTTCAAATATTTCATGTGGGATCTTTAATTACTGTCCAAATAATCCCTCGGTTGGGATACCACTAAACATGATATATTCACAGGATGACATTGAAATAAGAGCAAATATTTCGAACACTGAGAAAGCTCGATGTGTACTATCGGATGGCACTAATAAAAAAATTCGGGATCAAAATAAAATTTCAGGTTAGACCCCCTTTTCCTCCCAAAGCTCTACACTGTAGCAAATCTGACGTCACCTCTGTTCAAATTTTCATGTGGTGGAATATAGAAACAAACTTAATCCTATTACAGGCATTTTATTCAAAATACGAAATTTCATTTCTACTAGATACTTGAAGAGTATATATTTCTCTCTTATTTACTCAAAATTTCAATACCTAATATCTATATGGGGAAGTACCAATATTTCACGTTTGAGTCCACTAATGAAATTACAAAATAAAACATTGAAGTGTATTTTCAATTTAAATTTTCTCGAACCAACCATGAAATTATACAAACCTAGAGATTTATTAGATCTGGCATCACTATATAAACTTAAAATATGTTGTTTTATTCAATTTGTCCTATATAAATTGAAAATTTCGAATTCAAATTTCAATGAAATCAATTCATTACATAATCATGGAACAAGACAATCAAATTTACTAATAACAAATACGTTCAAGTCAAATATCGGCAAACAATGCATTTCTCACACAGGAATTGTTCTATACAACTCATTACCAAGTCAATTGAGGAATATACAGGAAGCAACTAGATTCAAAATTAACTTGAAAAAACATCTGCTTCAGAGACTTTGATAATTCCATTTCTTATTTGATTATTGCATTATTGATTATTTGCATTTTTTTTTTACTTGTTATATCTTATTATGATTTCATAATTGTATGTATAACATTATGTATATTGTTTATGTATCCCTATTATAAACAACTATGTTTCTTGGGGTAATAAAGACAATCAATCAATCAATTGTTTTAAAGTGGCGTACTTGGTTTTTTCTCGTATTTTGTTAAACTTTTGGATGAAATTTCTCGTTAATTAGAAGAATTAGAAGAAATCTGATATCATGGGAATATTCCTTAGACTGTATCATATTAAAGTGCTGAATATGTGCACTTATTTCAAAAACACCTTGTATATATCTAATTATGAAAAAATATATTTATATTTATTCAAAAATAGTTGTCCATTTAATAATTATCATTATCTAGAGTCAATTGGAATTGAATTAATGATAATATGTATAATGAAAATATTTGACTCTTCGAAAAATAATCATATGCGAGATGCGGAAGAGCATCTCTAACAGACAGATCCCTTTTATGAGTTTTGGTGAACTAAACATCATTTCAAGCTTCTACTCTCGTCAGGAGGATCAGATAGGATGAAATTAACAAATTTCGATCCATCCATTCTTTAATTATTGATGAAAGAAATTTTATGACATGCCTAGTCATGAAATATCACTATGATGAGTTATCATGACCGAATTCGATAATTATGCATCATTATTATGTATTGATCTTTCAGATATTGATGATGTAGGAACTCCAAAAACGGGAAAAGGAAGCACAAAAAAAATTAAACAAGAACCATCTAAGAACTTCCTCAAACGTAAGTTATTGTCGAATATCTCCGTCCATTTGAATATTGTAACTATTGTAGAAATAACAAAGGATTTGCAAAAAGATTTGAAGTCCCAATTTGAATCATTTCGTAATTTGCTTGAAGAGATCTTGCATATATGTGAATTCTGGGAGAGGCATTGTCAGGTTCTTATAAGGGTAAGTTAAGTGTTTCTATGTTATATAGTGCCCTACAAAAAACGTCAATCAAAATATGCCCCACATTTCAATGTTGGCTTTCTCTCAAATTGTTTCTCAGAATCAAAATGTAATACTTATAAAACTTATTTATAGCCATTTAGTAAAGGCAACTTAACTTCCAAGAAAGATACCAAATCCTCAGCAAAAGAGTCTGCACCAGAATCTAAGAGCTCCAATAAAAAAGGAAGAAAAATCGTCTCGTCAAGCACCGGTAACTTTTCCAAGGTCAATTTTGATGCTTTAGGTGAGTGTAAATACAGACTGTTTCTATATATTCTTCCCATGTACCGTCCTTTACTTAGGGATAATTCAACTATGACAGTAATGGTTCTAGAATATCCATGATTTGAAGTAATGATTGACAGATAGAATAGAAATTAATTCACCTTGATAAACATACAAACTACAAATACGAATATGAAATAAGAGTAGTAGATTCTCCATAAGAAGTAAAAAAAATCAAATTACGAAAATATTTCAACAGCCGTTATGATGTTACAATAATTCATAGAAAGCCTGTATATATTATTGTCAGCTATGAAACCCAAGGCCATAGAAATTCATTAAATAATTTGATATCGTTATTTTGTAACCCGAAAGAATCATACTTGAGGAAGAAAGGAAAGATATAAGTTATTCATGAATTCTGGAGCGGTATTTGATCAGTAAATGAACTTACATTCGATACCGAGTAGATATCTACTGTGAGAAAAAACACACCTAAATAATATAGAGAACTAGAGTTGAAGGCTGTAGTTTCCAGAAGAAGATTTATTTGAATTTATCGGTCTTTACAATCATTGCATTATTCAGTAGACAATTTTAATGTCATAATTTAATCATTTATGTCATCATGCTATATCCAATTTGACTCATTATTAGTATTGTTTTATTTCAATTCAATTTCAGATATTATCACAATATTAATAAGAATCTGAAGACTATGAACATGCGACAGTTTTCCTTCCTCTTCTCAAATACTTATCATTGATAGTTGTTTCTTTGATGAATGTGACCACTAAGTACAACTAAAAACATATATAAACATATCGCTCTGACAGCTTCCAAAAACCTCGCCAAAGGGCGTAAGCTTATTATTTTCTATCGCGAATGACTTCCTATTTGTATTTACTAGGGATCCGTCTATGGGCCATCAGTAACTGTAATGACGATAGAATAACAGATTTGGAAATCATACCCACTATGCTAAAGTGCAGTCCTGAACTGAATGAAGTCATTCTTGAATTGGAAGGACAATTGGAGCGAATTGAAGAGTCCACCACCACATTCAGTGTTGTCCGGCAAATGAAATATTACAAGAAAAATCTGAACAAATATTTCAAAATATGCCAGCCGACTATAGAAAAAATTGAAAATACGGTTCGAATCATAATTTCTTATGTAACAATAAGAAAGTGCAAGTCCTCTTTCAGGTACATTTAGCAACTTCATCGGCTGGTGGCAGTTTGAGGAAGAAGTCATCAAAAAGAAAAGCTAGCGCTGAAAGAAAAGAGAATATGTCTAGTACTACGACTAATTCGGGGTTAAGAGTTACTAGTAGTGAGTATAGCTGCACATTTCTTCAAAATTAGTCTTGATAAATCGATTCAAAATTAATATATCAGAAATCTTCTGATATAAAGCGATGATAGATTCATATTACAGTTTTGACCAAAACAATTTTGTAGACCAAACGGAATTCAATTTGTTGACTGAAAAATCCGAAAAGATTTCTTTTTCACTTTGAACATATGGGTGACACAGACACATGTGTTGTGGAGCGCACGAAAGGGAATCCCTATAATGTTCAAAGAACATCGTGCGTTCCTAGGGAGAATAGGGACAGGAGGTAGGTATTGGAATTTTTTTTGAACTTCTGAAGATTATATGTTGCTGGGAATACTTCCACAGGCAATGAATTCCAGAGCCTAGCCGTTCTATGGATATATAAACATATGATATAGATATATAAAAATAAAAAAACAACTATTCAATAAGTTATGTCAATACATAATAATTAAAACAAAAACAATCCAAGTATTAAAATGAGAATAAATTGCTCTGTTTATAGTGTCATAAGTATATCTTTTTTCATATTGACTGAATTTTAATTTTAATTGATTGATTGATTGATTGATTGTCTTTATTAACCCAAGAAACATTTCTGTTTATGATAGGGATACATAAATACATATAAAAAAAATAATAATAAAGGGTTAACTATAATGAATTCCACTCAGTGGAAACGAATTAATATTGTGTCTTATAAGATTAAAGTTATATTTCATTCCTAAGTAATCAAATCATGCCACATATTTTTTTTTCAAATTGTCCTGAGCAAGTATTTTTTAAGATTGATTTTAAACCTTCTTGCATCATGTATATTTTTCAACTCATTCGGTAATGAATTGTATAGAATTATTCCATTGTGAAAAACAGATTGTTTGCCAATGTTTGACTTGAATGTATTTGCTATCAAGTAATTCAATTGTCTAGTCCCATAATTATGGACTGTATTGACTTCATTGAAAGCCTCGTTTCATGAATATGAATTGTATTTGATTCAGTAAAGTAACATCTGAATATTTTATGGCTTTCTGATCGAAAAATATTGTTGTTTTCGATATTTCAGTTTTTCTTTTTGAAATATTTCAACCATCTCTAAAAACAATATTAAAAAAAAAAATTCTGAATGCAAAATTTTTATTTTGAGATTTGTATACATTGCATTCCTTGTGATGACTGTAATCTGAAATATTTTGGTCAAACTACTCAGAATTTCAAATCTAGGATATCTGGCCATAAAAGTGATTGCAGACTTCTTAAAAGTAATTGTGGACTCGCTGAACATGTCATCACTAATGATCAACATATGAAATTCGAAGAAAAAAAAACTTTACATTACGAAAAAAAATTTAACAAGAAGACTGTTATTAGAGATGGTTGAAATTAATTATGAGAAATGCACTATGAACAAGAAAACAGATATAGATAATCTCAGTCAGATATATTCTTATTTATTATCTTTTGTTCATGATGATATTCGAAATGACTCTACCTTATAAAATATTCAACAACAATATAATTTTATAATTTCATTTCTTCCGGTATATAAATTATATGACTATTGTCATTGTCCTATCAATTTTCATGTCTACATCATCTAAATTTTTTGAACTCATTATAATTCCAATTTATACCTTTTAGGCCTGTTCGTTTGTGGTTGCTCTACCTGGTAAACTTGATTTTTTTCTATGACTCTTCTGTTTACATTATGCCATGAACAGAGACAACTATGAAAAAAAAATCAACTTCAGCAAGTGTAGCAATACAAACTAACAGGCCTTACAACTCACATTGAAAGTAAGTTCTTGTTTTTGTTGAATTGAATTGTAACAAAATGTTTCATATACATTGTTTCATCCTTGAAGAAGAAGATACAAATTGTCGAAAGCTTGGCATAGCAATAAAGTAGTTTGCTTGTATCCCGATTGACTGAACTCCAAGATATTTCCTATTATATCGTTATTATCATCAATCAAAAATAAAACACAATCATAGAAATTGTCACGATTCCCTAATTGTCAACTGTTTTTTTTTTTCAGATCTAGATGCATTTAGTACCAGATACGTTTTATCACCTAGCGACAAAACAAAATATGAAATTACATTTTCACCAGCGGCAAGCGGAAAATACACCTATAATTATTTGATTGAACTTGTTGGAATAGACAGACCGTATACGATTCAATGCACTGCCTCATGTCAGCTGCCAGAGATCAGCTGGAATCCGGAAATTGTGTTTCCCAAATATCAGGATGCTTATCAGAACAAGATACTTGGGGAAAACTTCGTTTACTATAATGAAGAAGATGTTTTCGATTTCGGATATATTTTCATAGGAACCCACAAGTAAGCTTTATTTTTTTCAAAGTTATTATCACTTTTAAATTGCTTGGAATCGAGAGTCCTTGGGCTAATTCTGTCTCTTGTGAATGAGTTTGAAAAGAACAATATAACTTAAACATGAGTCACCCCCTTATCAGGTTAACTAGTATAGATACAGACACATTTTGAGACTTCAATCACTTTATTGCGTCAACCGTTCGATAGCACGAATCAGTCAGAGCTACCTTACATTATTCGGGTGTCGCAAAATTTGATCGAAAGACAAATGATAGAAAAACATTTGATTGAAGTCTTTTGATCGAAAGTGTTTTTGATAGAAATGCATTTGATCGAATGTTTTATGATAGAAAATACATTTGATGGAAACATAAATGATACAAAATACAATTGATAGGTGTTGAAAAGGGATATTCTCAGATGAATCATGAACATATAAAAATGGATATATATTTATATAAAGCAATACATTGAGAATTCGCATTCTCTATGTGATGAGAATATTTACTCTTTTTCAGTTGATTCAATAGAAAACAACTGAAAAAGAGTAAATATTCTCATCACATAGAGAATGCGAATTCTCAATGTATTGCTTTATATAAATATATATCCATTTTTATATGTTCATGATTAATCTGAGAATATCCCTTTTCAACACTTTCATACCCAATCAGGGGGTTCAAACTTGAACGATGGAAACTTGTGATTTTTATAGACCTCTAATCGCAGATTCGTGATAGAGTCTCAATTCAGAATTCATTTCCACGCCCTGTATGATGAATGTCAATTTATCATACACCCAAAAGCACAATTGATAGGAAAAATATTTGATAGAAAATACACTTGATAGAAAATTCAACGGGGCTACGCTCAAGTTAGGTCAGTACGTTTGTGAAGATATGATCCTTCTTCATATATTTGAGAAGAAGGAGCTAGATGGAAATCGAAGCTTATGAATTTATTGATACCACAAACTTCTAGCTCCTTCTTCTCAAATATATGAGGAAGAATCATATCTTCACAAACGAACTGACCTAACTTGAGTGTAGCTCCGTTGAATTTTCTATCAAGTGCTGTTCCTATCAAGTGTCTTTTCTATCAAAATTTTTTTCTATCAATTGTATTTTCTATCATTTATGTTTCTATCAAATGTATTTTCTATCATAAAACATTCGATCAAATGTATTTTCTATCATAAAACATTCGATCAAATGTATTTTCGGTGAAAAGTTCTTTCTATTTTTTGATTTTCGATCAAAAGACTTCTATCAAATGTTTTTCTATCATTTGTCTTTCTATCAAATTTCCGACACCCACATTATTCATCTTATCTCTACGACAAGTTATTGATTGATTGGTTGATTAATTGTTTTTATTACCCCAAGAAACATATCTGTTTATAATAGGGATACAGGAACACATATAAAAATAATGATAATAATATTGAAAGGTTTAACTAATGAATTCCACTTAGTGGAAACAAATTCATACTTTTTCTTAAGATGAAAGTTATTACATTTTAATCCTGAATAATCAAATCATGCCAAATATTTTTCAATCAAATTGTCCTGACCAGGTATTGTTTAAGATTGACTTTAAATCTGCTTACATCATGTATATTTTTCAATTCATTTGTAATAATTTGTATAGAATTATTCCATTATGAAATATAGATTGTTTGCCAATGTTCGACTTGAATGTATTTGCTATGAAGTAATTCAAATGTCTAGTCCCATAAGTATGGACTGTATTGACTTCATTAAAAACTAAGTTTGATATTTTAAATTTATTCCTGACAAAATGAATAAAACAACATATTTGAGTTTATATATCAAAATCAGATTTACAAATTTTCTAGCTTTGTATAAAATTACTATTGGTTCTAGAAAATGCAAATAATTTGTTTTTTAATTTCATTAGTGGTTTGAGGTGTGAAATATTTGTGCTCCCCCAAATAGAAATTATATATTGTAAATTTGAATGTATGGGGCAAAAGTAAATACACTTTGAGTTTTTTACAGGAATGATATTTCGAATTTTGAATTAAATGCCTATGATTGGATTTATTTTATTCCTCAAAATGGTCTATGTGTTTAGTCCACAATCATTTTTCATCAATATAGAGACCTAGAAATTTTGTTACCTCTATATATTCAATGAATCTATTGTTGAAAGATATTGCATTATTTGAAATATTACATAATTTCTTGGAGATATACATATATGAAGATCTGTTAAAATTAAGAGTCAACTTATGAATTTGCATCCAAGATGCTATGTTTTCCAAATCACTTTTAATATTATAACCTTAAAACATATGAGTCAGTAAGTACCAATTTTTCCGAAAATGAAGGTTTATCGAACCTAGCCACAGGAAAAGTAGGTTATATAATAGTTAAGAAAGCCAAGGTTAGTTCAGTTCATTGTACCAGTATTTCACCTGATGAAGCTACTGTGTTAGCGAAACATGTTGTGTGAATGAGAATTTTGTGGAAATCTTATCATTTGTGAAGTTTTTACAATGTCCATGGTGTCATTCTCTTAGGTGTGACAGGTCGGCGTCCAACCAAATCAGGAAATTTTCTGAATTAAATATCTGTCGTTTGCAGAAGAAATGATTATATAGCTCACCTTGAAGAAAACATGATTGAAGTGTCCCATGAAACGTGCTCTAGCTGAATTCAATAAATTACCACATAATATAAAAAATTGCAGACATATTTCAAAATTTCAAATTGCATTAAAACAAAAAGATTTTATAACAAAATGGATAAAATTAATATTTTGCCGTCTACTGATTAGTCCCTGTTGCTATTTTATGATTTGATCGATTTAGCATTTTCAAGATTTTTCGTTGTTGTCACCTTATATTATTTTAATAATGTTGTTCGTAATCAACTTGCTCATATCAGAATTTTATTTCTGGCTGGAAGCTATTTTCTAAATAAACAATAAACAAAAAAAGGACGATAGCCTTCAGCGAATACGTCGAACACAAATCTAACTGAGAACTGATGTTGAGGAACCTTGAAACTCAAGCGACTCATCTCTCTTACTCCTATGAAAATTGTATCTGAAAATTGTTTATAAAAATGAATTTAACGAAATGAATAAATGAATGAATAATGGGTTGTGTTCTCAGTATTGAGATCGATGGATCTCTCACTGGTTTAATTTTTGCATAGGCACCATACTAAGTCAGGTTAAGTGGCCAAGTATTTGAAATATTGGAAATTTCCTGAATACTACAGGACGTATTCTTTCAACATATGTGCGTGAACTAATATGTACTTTTTTATTCTGTAGGACACTGCCTTATGCTACTAAAATCATGCTCCAAAATGCTTCCGCACTCCCATGTGAAATTACAGCACAGCTGGCTGAAAACTCTCTCTTTGTCATTGAAAAAGAAAAATTGTCTATCAAACCGCAAGAATCTGAAGAGTTTCCCATGTCATTGAAGGCAGCAAAGAAAGGAAGGATACAGTCTGAATTATTCATAACAATCAAGTACAATCCTAAAGTGAAAGTCATTAGACTGGCAGCTCAAGCCTGCCCTGTAGAATTCAACGTTCAGCCGAAAGCATTATCATTTGAGAAAGTTCCTTTGCATTATTCGGACAAGAGGAAAATAACTTTGACAAATTCGTCTCCTGTAAATTTGGTATGGAAATTCGTAAAAGCAGAATGGACTTTAGATATTTATAACATTTCCAAGATGAGTGGAGCCATCAAGCTATATTCAGTTGATGAAATTATCATTGAGTATTTTCCAACCAATGAAGAAACTAATCCGAAGAAGAGTTTCGAAATTCAGGTATCCATTATTGAATGATTTATTATTTTCTGTCACCTTCACTAGATGATACAAATCCTTCTCCTCACGTAACATCCAGGTATATAATAGATATCGTGAGTTATAATATATTCATTAATATACAGCGTGGAAACCTATGATGGAATAAAATCAGCATTTGCATAAAAGAAATATAGAAACATCCGTTGAAGTTTTCGAAGTTTTGAAAATCTATTTTTTTCATACAAATGAACCAACCAACAAGTTATACCATGTGAGAGAGGAATGTTAAATCTATACAACGGGCCATCTTTCCTTGATTCGGTTGACCCATATTCGCAAGAGAGCAGTCGAAAGATTGAAAATTTATTGGCATTTTCACAAAAATTATTGGTAGTGGTGGGTACTGTTTCATAGTATTACTTTTAAATCGAATTTACCTTCATTTGAAATAAGTTTTTATTCCGTCCACGCCTATGTGCCGTGAAACAGAACCTACCGTTATAGTTTATGCAAAATCAGTTGGAAAAACAGATCACCGCCAGCCGTCGGTCCCTTTGAAAGTTCACAGAGTGCGGCAGCGCAGCCCGACATTCGTTTGATGATCTGTTCAACTGACTTTGTATAAACTATACCAATAATTTGGAAAAAAAATCCGATAAATTTTTAATCTTTCGACTGCTGTCTTGCGGATATGGCCCCTCAGCCGAAATAAAAAATAATAGATCATTGCATTCGCGGTAGCCAAGGTCATTATCTGACGTTGCGATGACATAAAAGCTACGCTGAAACATGTCTAACCTTCAATCTAAGTCGGGAGTTAGGAATGTTTTCCCGTAGTTTTATGTCATCGCAACGTAAGATGATGACTTTGGCTATCGCGAGAAGGAGTTGGTCTGTAGGGCAAGAGCTGGACAGGTAGATTATACGAAAAAAAATTATTTTCACAAATGAATATAGACCTTTCCGAGGATTTTTCAAGATTAATCATTCTTATTGAGGAAAGGATTTCATTCCATCATAGGTTTTCACACTGTATTTGTTGAAGCTAATAGTTTCAGTTAGTATTAATCATTTGGTACGGTTTGAAGCGATAATTTTATGACAATGGATAGCACAATGCTTGGTAACGCCACGCCAAATTTGTTATGAAACTATGAAATATTTGTCAATGCCAGACGGATATTTGAAGACTAAATTATTAATGTCATAGTGATTGAGAACTTTCCTTGATACTGTTATCAGTCAAATATTGACTTGATTGGTTGATTTGATCACTTTACAAAAAATAACAAAATTTTAATGGCTGTTATAACTGTCAAACATTTTTCTACAGGAATATACATAAGAGTGAGAATGAACTGAAAATAGTTCGATAGTCGATACATCTTCGAAATCTTGTTAGCTTTTGGGCTCTCGTGTCTGATCGAAACGCAAGATTCAGAAAAGATCTATGAAAGTGTCCTCTCATTTTTCAAACACTCGTGTGGTATTCGATAGATTATTCTTTGATATCAGCCATGATTTTTATTGATGACAGATATGTCATATCGCTAAAAAACACCAATCTCAGCAAATTGAAAGTTTCTACCGGTTTTCAGAAAAAAAAAATCACTCGTATAATTATGTAATCACACAATTTCAGAAACTTATTGGAAATATAAAAGTGTAGCTCATTATTTAATGGGTGTTTCATAATATGTGGAACGCACTTCAAAAGATGATAGGCCGGGCGCGTCTAAAAAATAAAAAAGTTTCTAGAAACAAATGTCAAAAACACTGTTTTTCCGATGTGGTACAAGGACAGGGTGTTGAAAATATTAAAAATATTGTTGTTTCTTATTCCTTTCAAAACCATTTTCGTTTTTTTCTACAAGAAGGCAAGAAAACAGGACTTATTATGGAACAAATCTGGTTTAATGATATCAATGTAGTCGTACAATATATTTTCCAACATTTTAAACACTTTGTCTCCCTAACTGATTAGAAATATGTTTACCATTTTTCCCACCACTAGCTATATAAACTACCATTATTCACACCTTTTCAAGGCGTAAAATGTGTTTATGCACTTCAGGGATTCAAAAGGTACCTTTATTCCCTATTTAAGTGGTACTTCAAATCCCTAGGGATTTACAGTTACTTTAAATCCCTAGGGATTTATAGTGAATTTCTTTGCAATATAAGTTATTTCTCTACGTTCCGTTCTTTGCAACATTTGATAAACTCAAATAACTATTTTTGATATTGTTCTCCAGATTTTCGTGGTAATAATTGGCCTTCACCTTCTTGAGCTGCTTTTTAGATTTGTTCCATCGCGATCAACGTCTTTCAATAAGTATGGCGTGTTTGACTAATACTTATTTATTTATGTTTTCCTTATTTACTTGTCATAACACACCAAGATTTTCAGTTGCCGATGACAATTATGATCTTGATCGCCAAAGTTACTGAGGTCGTTGATATGGTTAGTCACCCCCTTTGATGATGTTTCAGAAATAGAGTAACTAACGTTTAGTAGCATTTAATTTTTTTTTGTCATTTGTTCTTTTATGTTTTACCTATCCTGAAGTGCATATAATAGTAGATACACCTCGGGACTAAAGTGTTTTTAAATCCCTCGACAAATTTTTGTCTAGTAATTTAAAATACCACTATTTTACTACCAAGAGAGTTTTCATCATTTTTCAACCCCTGTTATGATTAACCCGAATACACTGTCCTGATGCGAGATGCGCGAGAATGTCACTCGAATATTTATCAATAACGACATTTCATAATATGTTGTCATGGTCATGGCTACTAGATTTCAATAGGAATTCAAAAGAAGTGCTTCATTATGACAATAGGTCCATATTCCAGTTTCACAGAACTATAATGATTGAAATATATTGCTAGTGGTGAAAAAATGTAATACACACATTGGTAGTAAAGAATATCATCACCACGGCTGAAGCATCGTGATATAATCTTGGTCCCTGGGTAATAATGATAGTCTTCACTACCTTGGTGTATGAAAAACTATTATAATATTATCCGTTTCGTGTTGATTTGATTTTTTCGTTTTTTTCTCTCAAGGTTTTCGACCTGAACCACTCCGATATAATACCAATCTATAAAGAGGACATATCAGTTGTTTCAGAATCAGTTGTATATCAGGTTGAATATAAATCTCACATAGATTTGGGTGATGTTAGAGGAAGAAGCCAAATGAAAATTCCATTCCATATGTCAAACAACGGAAAATGCAATGTGTCAGTAGTGTGAGTAGAAGTGATTTGAAATTGAAATGTCTGATATTGGAGGTCATCTGTCATCCTCACAACGTAGAATGTATTTTTTTACCTCTCGGAGTGCACGAAAGGAAATTCCTATTACGCTCGTGGAACATCGTGCGTACCTAGGGAGTATAGAGAGAGGAGGTATGAATTGAATTTTTTTTGAACTTTTGGAAGTTATAGGTTCTCAAGAATACTTTTATTGGCAAATAATTCCAATGCTTCGCCGTTCTATGTAGACGAACGACTGTTGCTCGACATATCTCAAGGTTAACGACGAAAGGATGTGCTGACTGGGCCTGTCGAGTTCGTTCTGACTGGTATTGCTAGTGATGGAATTATAGCAGATATTTCTGAGGAACATTTGCCGTGAAAGTGTCTATAGGAAAGTGAAAGGTCGCCGACTTTTCTACGGTGTTCTAATAAGGTCAAAGAGTTAGTGAGTGGCATCACCCACTAGGCAAGTGGTTCTTCTCTGGATGGATTCAAAGAATCAGCGTATGTTTGGGTGCTGAACCCCATACATGAGAACAGTATAATAAAACTGTCCGTATCTGTGCTTTGTAGATCATGAGAAGCTGTTGAGGTGTAAAGTAGATTTTCGTAAGGAACAATAAGAATCCGAGTTTTTGTGAAGCAGCTTTTGCGATGATTCGGTCTCGATGTCCCATGAGAGAATATTGCTGATGGTAATATCGAGCATAGATATAGTCATAGTAGGAATGGTGGTACCAGACATTGTTATATCAGGCATCCTGAGTTCCGCCTTTCTAGAGAAAATACAGGCTTGAGTTTCGGTGGCGTTGAATTAAACTAGGTTGTCGATTCCCAATGCTATAATTTCCACAAGAGCTTCATTGACAGCGTTGGCCTGCCTTCGGCGTGAGTTCTCACTTTCCTGGGAAGGAATGCGAATTCTATAAGAATTCTAGAGAAGTAGGAACAATGTTGGTGGCAAGATTGATGCCAGAATTGATGGCAATGGTATCAGACGATACTCCGGGAGGCGTGTGGGGTCATAATTTCCATGGTGGAGCTTGAAAATCAATGGTGTGAGGTGCTGAATTATTCGTGAGGAATAAGTCTAGTGTGTTGGCTGGCTGAATGATTGTTGACATCGGGAATTCGTGTGGGGCCTTTGATGAGCTGCTCTAAGCCGTGAGTGAAAATGAAATTATATGAATAAGAATTGAGCAAATTTCGTTCCTGTGAATAAATAAACCAAGAATTAGCAGATGACATGACCTCCAATCCCACTACTGCTATCTAAAATGAATTTATACAGGGTGTTCCCCAAATTGAATCGATACATAAAATGGGTAATTGAAAGCGAGAAAACTGAACGAAATAAGAGTAGAAACATTTTTGTCGAAAAAAATTGTTTCGATGATATTAGATTTTATTAAGCTTGCCAGGAACTTGCGTAAATCTTGATCAAGTTTTAACAGCCAAACCCAAGCATTTGTTTTGAGCGAGGTCAGAAGCGCCGGAAATAATAACGACGTTTACAATCATGCTGGACTTTCAATAATAATTTTAAGCAAGAGGAGTAAACAATCTTTTTGAATAAAGTTGATGGCTCCACGAGATTTTCATATTCTTCATTGTGCTCCACAGTCAAAAACACACGAAATTCATGATGTTTTACCCTATAGCATCGAATCTGGTCATACGATCGAGTTGGGCCAACGGAGTATTTCAATTAGAATGACTTCAGCTACAACATATCAAAAATCTAGCCATTTTCACCGAAATAATTTTTTTCATATAATGTGTGCGTGGTTCTTTTCTCGCCATTTATTGTGTCGTACATCCCAATTTACTTATCGCTTCAATTTTGGAAACGCCCTGTATATCAAGAGTAGAAAACGGTTTAGTACAGTTTCACGATTTTTCCAGATTTTCAGAATTAGATAATATCCTACCAGGCGAAATGCATGTCATCAGAAAATTCTTCAAGATGAGTATTAAAAGTGAAGTTTTACTCCCACAGAAGTCAGCAGCCGTGATGATAACTTTTCATCCGACAATGGAAATGAATTTTGAGAATGTCCCAGTCTATAACTGTAGTTTTGTGGAAAATAACAAGCCAGAAAATGTTATAAGTTCATTCGTCATAACATTTTCAGGAGTAGTTCATCTATCAAAGTAAGAATACCACACTAATCTAATTTTAATGGAAAAATGTATTGAAGTACAAGGGCAACAATTTGAACATCTTCTAAAAACTTGATGTTTTGTTCTAATTAATCATATTTTTCATCATACCATTAGTAATTGTTGAAGTATTTATCATTGTTTTTGCAAAAGTTACTTTGGCGCTTTCTGAATAATTTGCGTGCATTGTCGGCTTTTAGATGCATTTGTACTGGAACCATTGCTTCTAGCGACTTGAACAAGGTATACCTTTCTTAAGTATAAAAGAAGAGATAACAATTTTTTTCCGCCGAAAATGACATACAGTGTATAGCAAAGAATTTACGACCGATTCAATATAGATGGAACCCTGTATGTAGCGCCCTCTATCAGTCATCACAAAACTAAGATCATATTTGAATTTAGCATGATAAAAAACCCCTGTATACCACATTTTATCCATTTCTTGCGTCTCTGGCTAAAGATATTCAAAGAAACCCCCCAAAAAATTTAAATTCAACACCCCGTATCTTTTAACCGAAGGCCTTGCGGACCCATATTCATAGGAACTTTTTTTCTTATTTTAGTATCCTCTATTGTGTACTTTTTTCTATGTCACCCTGTTTATATACATATTAAGAAATACATTGAGAATTCGCATTCTATATGTCATGAAAATATCAATTCTTTCTCGGTTTATTCAACAGAAAATAATTATTTCCTGGATATATTCCAAAACGAACGTTGAATTATATCTATTGAACACACACGATAAGAATTTTGAAACAAAAATCTTCTCAAGTTGAGAATTCGCATTCTCCTTCAGATAGATATATGTATATGCACATATCATTCTGAATATTCAACAGAAACCAACTACTTTCCTGGCTATTTGCCACATCGAACATTCAATTATATCTGTTGAACATCCAAAAAGAGAGCATGAAAAATAAAAATCCTCTGAAATTGAGAATTGACATTCTCTCTCAAATTGGATAAATAATATGATGTATTATGATATAAAAATATAACTTACCAATATGTTCAGTATTAAAATGAAAATTGAAATGTATAGGAGAAGTATACTTGTATAAATTCAGATCTTGATGAGCTTGAAACTTAGTATGTCTATGTAACCAACAATAGATTAACCAAACATGTAAAACAAACATAGATTACACTGCGAAATGGCGAAATTCACTACAGGTTGAGGCATTTATTGAAATTATAAAAGAATGCATGGAATAATGAATATAAAAATGTTCATTCATCATTCGCGAGCTGTCATATGCTTATTGATGGGCATCGACTAAGGAATAAATATATTCAACGACACGTTGATTCACATCAGGTCTATGATATTAGCACTGCTCGGTATAGGGTTGACAGCACAGTATCAGTCCCTCTGAAACCTTTCACCTTTATTAACACTTAACACAATGTATTCTCTACAACGCTTCAAACAAGAATGAATCAACCTTATGCCTCTTGATCGTATACAGTCATTTGTAGATAGGTGACTAAACCTTATTGTAGTATATAGATGATTCAGGCTATGATTCGGATGATTATGTAACATAGCGATATGATGTGTGGAGACAGAAATGTGAGTCAGTCAATATACGATAGCCGAGCTATAAAGAGTTACTGGTGTTTTATTCTATACAATACGTGATAGTGAAGATTATACAGTACGTGCTAGTGAAGATTGTAATCACTAACTGTAGCTCTGTGCTTCTAATGGTACAGGGCGTCCGACATCTGGCTAGTCGCTAATAGAGTTCCTAAATGTACTTGACACTGCTGACGTTTTTTGTATATTAGAGTACGTGACAATCAAACATAACCACAAACGATTTTGATGCAAATTCGTGAAATTCGATTTGACAACTGGCTAACCAATCATAGTTAATATAGTTCCACAACCAGCTGCTCCAAATCATTGAGATGAGAAAAAATTTGCTTTATGTTCTGGAACCATTTATTTTGCCTTTTCCAGATTCGAACTTTGTCCTGCATCTGATTTGTATTTTGGGTATCAGCAAGTTGGAACTGCAAAATCTCAAAAAATGGAAATAAAAAATACTGGAAGATTCTCGTTCGAGTATGCCATTTTGAGTTTTGATGAAACAGTGATGGGTCAAATGAAAAGTGAGATCATTAGCACATATTTTTTTACGAAATCAGATACGAATTATCTGATTTATTTATTACTTATTTGAAAAATATTCAAGTCCTGAAGCTAAATGAGTGCTAAAAAGTCCTGAGTGAATATGAATTGTTACTCAGATATGTACTAAAGCGTTGTAAACTCATCAATGTATTCACTCAAATTAATGAATTAGTTTCGATATGTTTGTATGTTTTTGCCAATAATATTTTTTAATTCATGACACCTTTGACCGAAACAATTGATGATAGGTGTATCATATAGCTAAAAACAATATATTAAATATTCACTTTTGTATTTTCAGAACACAAAGCTGATGAACAGAAAGTGAAATCTTCTATGGATGTGTTCAAAAGGATGGGTTCAATCAAATCTAGAACTGCAAGCCCAAAAAATAAAGAAAAATCAAAGACGAAAGAGTAAGAATTCTGAAAGACCAGTTATTTACAAATACTTTACGCCATTTTTTTATTGGTACTCTAGATCGGCATTTATTTGAACAATTTTACTGAGCCAGAGATAAGTGGGTAATTTATCTCCGAATAAGACCAATATACCCGAAAAGTTGAACGTAAGCCACCTGGCGGGGGTTTTGAAAGGTGTCAAAGCAGTCTGTTCACTTTTTTTACATTTGGTGTTTGTTTGTGCCTATTGGTCACATCTACAGTCACATTCATCGAAACGAACCGCTCAGAAGTGTTCAAATTATTGCCGTCAGGTGGAGCGACGTGTTATTTTCTATCACGGGTTGTCAGCAGACCGAGAGCGGCTGATGAAGCCTGAGGGCAAGAAACGGCACTGTCTAGTTGTTTCAATATCTATTAGTTCGAATGAACTGCGCCGAATATTGAATGTCATCCCCCTCTTTTTACTCACACTTCATTTCCAGAAAACCTACTACTAAAGCATCAACACTTGAAGTAGAAGGCTTCTCTATAGATTCGTCCACTGGAGTAGTATTGCCAAATGAAAAAGTTCAGATAAATGTTGAGTATATACCGAAAGAAATGAAAGAGTACGACCGCATACTGGTTATTTTCGTGACGGAGTGCCAAAAGGAAGATCTGTATGGGAGAAAATTTATCCTGCACGGAGAAGGAACCCAACCAAGTTGTAACTTTGACGATTATGAAAAGATGTTCAGGGAACATTTTATAGTTCGGGAACTTGGAGATTTCACATCCCCGGAAAATGTAATATACATAAAGTTCAAATTTTGACGTAGAATATTCCTAGAATTAGTGTATAATTAGCAAAAAAATACCTATTCCGATTCATTTTGTTGTAGATCGGCAGTCATTCCGTCTTTGTTGCTTCAGAAACGGCACTTTATCTCAAGAATATATGCATGAACGAGAATTATACTATGAAAATTTACTTGCAAAATTTAGGACAAGTTATAGCAGAAGCTGCCGTCAAACTCGAACAAAAAAATGATTTCACAGTTTCTCCTAGCACACTGTTCATACCACCTTATGAAACGGAGACGATATTTATCACTTTTACCCCAGATTCGATAAATGTAAGTAAACAACTACTATACCGGGTGACACAGGAGACAATCATGTAACAGCCTGTAGTTTTTTTAGTAGAAGAGATGAAAATTTGAAATTCACAAGGGTTATATTATCGATGATGGCGCTTCCTCTGAACCCGATGATATTTTTTTCAAGCACCTGTTTGATTGGAAGTAGACCCAACTTTTTTTTTTCAAATGGCACCTCGTATTTTTCTGTAATCTATCTTATTCGCCTTGAAATTCTCTATTCAACTATGTATCACAATTAGATATTCGTTCATTAATTGGCTGTTAAATTGCATTTTATTGAAATAAAGTTGGCTGTGGCCCGAATACAATGACATTTCGATACTTTATAGGCTTAGAAATCCAAAGATCATCACTTAGACGATATCATCAGAATATTTTCCATACCCTTATCGGTCCCAGAAGATTGCCTATAGTTTCATTGAGTTTAAAAAATCATCCGAAAATAACTCACGATATTAGAACGATGCATCAATTATTAACAATTTCAGTTCCATGTATCCAAATGGATGATCATATTATCGCTACATGGCAAAAATGAAAGACAAATAGTTTCTTCACAAGTAGCCAAATGAAAAAAACTGAGTTTCTATCTTAGTTTTCTCAATATCGTGAGTAATTTTCGGATTATTTTTTTTTAATTCAATGAAATTATTGGCAATCTTCTGGGACCGATTAGGGTATGTAAAATATTCTGATAATATCACCTAAGTAATGATCTTCGGATTTCTAACCCTATCAAGCATCGAAATGTCATTGCATTCGGGCCACAGCCAACTTCATGTATTTCAATGAAATGCAATTTAACAGCCAATTAATGAACGAATATCAAATTGTGGTACATAGTTGAATAGAGAATTCCAAAGCAAATAAGATTGGCTACAGAAATATACAAGAGTTGGGTCTACTTCTGATCAAACAGGTGGTAGAAGGAAATTGTCATTGGGTTCAAAGGAAGTGCCATCATCGATAATATAACCCTCGTGAATTTCAAATTTTCATCCCTTCAAATAAAAAAACTGCAGGCTGTTAAGTACATGTCTCCTGTTTCCCCCGGTATAACAGTGGGAATTGGTATTTAGTTTTGACAGTATTTAATACGAGCTCTAGGTATATATTATTCTCACAGAAAAATAAACTTTCAATGGAATTAAGGGATTCAATTTCAATGAAGGCATACTTATACCTATACATATATAGATTGTCGACACAGTGTGTCAGTTTGGATTAATAACAAATCTAAAAGGAAAGTTGAGTATAGGGTTCCACGACGTTCCAAATATGGACCACTTCATTATATCATCTGTGTTATGTGTTAATGATATTTGCAACTTCATGGATGTAATAGTAATTTTCCTAACAAGTGCGGAAAGAAACTTTCCGCATGAGTTAGGAACAATAGTTTTTCTACAAACGTAGGAAATTGATTGAATCGTTCAATTAATTATTCAAGCAAATAGGAACAACTAACAAGAGATATATATTCTCTATCTATTAATTATTAGTAATAGCTATTGTGAACTTACAGTTTGACGCATTATGTTGGTTCATTGCGGAAGCCAGCAGGCCCATTAGGAGTTTGGTCTCTAGGTTCCAGACACTTCTATGAAATGAGCCAAAAATACCTATTCTTCATTTGGTTTTTTAATTTTTTTATTGTTGCACCATTCAATAAAACGCGTGAATAGCTTCTCATACCTTTCTTAGGACTTCGTTGGTGATAACGCATCTGTATCAAATCCCTATAGCTAGAAGTTTTTGATCACATTGTGGCATTTCCACTGAATCGAAAATGACAGTAACGCTGTGTCTGTCACTTCGACAATTTCAAACTTATTTGAGGTTTGATTGGCATGACAAATTGACGTTTCCCGTCAGATCAATCCAAATCTATAGGGGGATTTTTATAATAATCAATTTTTATTTCTCAATATTTCTTAATTTTTACAATAAATAGTGCAATTTGATGGATGATTCTGAAAATACATACTTAATACTGCAACAAACAAACTTAAACTTTTATATTCCATCACCAACCACTTACATTACTAGTGATTTTATCATATCTTTGTTTTCCCGCACTAGTGCGGAAAAAAATTTCCCGCACTAGTGTGGGAAAATTTTCCCGTACTGTTGCGGGAAAATGACACTTCCCAAACTAAATTGCGTGCGGGTATAGGGTGAATCACGCACGCTTGTAGAAAAATGTATTTTTTTGACTTATTTTATTAATTTATTCACTGAAGAGCCTTTTCCTCACAATAATCAATAAATCACAACAACAATCACATTCGAATGAGTGGCATATAGAATAGACGATTGAATTGACATGACACCAGAAGGACCACCACCAAGCAGTCTCAACAATGCATAATCAATATTAAATGTTATCAGAGGTCAGTGTTGTTTATCACATGAAGTTTGAGGAAATATTTTTACGTTTCATCACCAAATTTTGAACGACATTCTGTCGTCATTTTGACGTCATTTCGACGTCCCCTTAGGCATACGACGTCATTGGGCTTATTCACGTCATTCATCATGTCATACACCTTGTCAGAATAGATTCTCTGGTATGTAAAATTTTTTGTTTCAGAAATTCGAGAACAAATTGATAATTTCATATAATTCGAGTGTATCGAATACATTCGTACTGTCTCTGAATGCCGAAAGCTGCGTTCCTCAAATATCTCTATTGGAGCCGAAAACTGGCGAAGACAATATTACAAGGATTGATTTCATTCCCACTTATATTGGGATGACTCGGAGTAGAAGGATTTGTGTTGAGAACATCGGAGCTATTCCGTGCAAACTAATTATGGATTTGTGTGATGATAAATATGATGTGTTTCATTTGGTTACCCAAGATGACGACGATAACATATTGAAGCAAGTTGAGAACGAAGAAGGTAATGATCAGGGTTATTAAATTATATTATAGGTACAGAATGACATAAAACGAGCGCGGGGAATAGGAATGAGGCGAAGTAAGAGGGCACACTGTCACCAACATCTTGGAAAATAATCTAAAATTATGTTTTTCTACAAACGTCGAAAAATGACAAGGTTCGCGCATTGATAGCAATCGTCGTGCGTACCTAGGGAGGATAGGGGGAGGCCTTTTAAGCCAGTTCAACACTATTTTCTATATCAAGCTAAGCATATTTTGACTTTAGAACTATGTTTTTTGACGTTTGTAGAAAAAATTTTGTTTGCAACTCGAGCGCGAAATACTTTGGTCATCTCGACTATTTTTTTAACTCGGCTAAAATAACTATTTTATTATAATTGATGTGTTATGAAAATTTTTACTTCTGACTATTCAGTAAATTATACAGGAGAACTCTTGATAACGTTTATTTAAGAAATTGCATGTTCTTTAATTTTTAGATGTTGACAACCCTCTACCATCTTTCATGGTGAACTTGCTTACCAAAAGAAAGGGTTATTTTGATCTAGTTTTCAAGCCCAGCTATGAAAGATTTTTCAATGTCCAGATGAAAATACATACAGTGAATAATCCTTTTGAAATTATAACGGTAAGTTATTTCTAATGACGGCCAATAAAGAATGCGAGAAATTTCCAAACTATCATAAAAATAAGGAATTGTATTGTTTCATTGTCATCTTTGGAGAACATGGAGCACTAATGAGTTTAAGATGACGTATTCACTGTTAGTGTCTGGTTTAACATAGTTTGAACCAAAATGCCATGCTCTCTTAAAATATTTAGCAAGATGGCAACCAACGGATTACCTTGAGCGGATCAATCCTCGAAATAGCTTCATTTGACATTATAGGTAGACAATGATTCGAATAACTAATCTGATCAATTTCGTTTGATTATCTTCATATTTGAAAGTATTTAAGTGTTATTTAATCAAGTGTGTTAGTTTTTCACCGTCATTCATTGCAAAATGAGGAGAAACGCGAATTACATTTTATCAACTTCGGATTATTGTCAAATTGGAAGTATACATATTCAAATTGGTATTAAAAAATTTTTAATTGACAATACTAATTTTCGAATACTAAATAAACACATTCAAGTTGATTTAAACAATAAAATTGAGAACAATCACAGTAGATTTAGGAGTAATCGACATTGGTTGACCGATAACTGCTAATTGAAATCGTCTTGAAACATGTCCCTGCTAACGATGACTCCCACTCAGTATGTTTTGTATGTATGATCAATGAAATGTGATAATGTAATCTGCCCAAGCGATAAAAAAAAATCGAAGCGAAGGTCTCAAAGCTTCCCATGGTTCCTAACGCTGTCTTCTGAGTTTGAATGAGCTAACGATAAATTTCAAAAATATAATTCATAATGAATAGGCTGAAATGCCTTTCAGGAAAAGAAGAAACATTGCAAAATCCAAATGAGTGCATAATATTCATTTCATTTTGTATCTGTAAACATACGTGTCAGACAATTTCAAATTGATTCATCTCTTTCTGGAAATGATTATTCTCAATTTGGACTTTGGAGTTGAGTTGAGGAAGTAAATAGTCGGATTGAAATTCCCCTTATCAGGTTGGCTGCCTGAGGTGATGTACGAGCCCTGCCTCAGTGAAGTTGGCCTAACGCCCCAAATTGAATAAATGCGTTCAAACGATATTGCATGTATTTTCCAACAAGATTTTGTCGCTTGCCGTACGGCTAAAAAAGCTAAAGATTGGTTGCTAGAAATCAATTTTCCAAGTTCAAAATAGACGTCGGATAGTCGTTCCAGAATTGCGAACAGGTCTCCAAGAAATTTGAAAGTCTTACACAGTTTATTGACATTAGTTGACACCAATGTTAACGCTATGTCAAGACGTATCGAAGCAGTAATCAGTCGAAAAGGCGATGCAACGTATCAGTGGTGATTTGCTTGCTGTTATTTACGTGCGGTTTCGTTCATTTTTATTTATCGGGCTTTTTTTATTCATGAGATAAATTTTCTATGTTACAAGAAATTGTTGTATTTAATGCTAATATTCAATGAAAATGTCATATGTTATCAGAAATACATTTCAGTTTTCAATACTTTTTCACTAATACAACAAATTTCATAAAAAAAAACGTTGTTTTGATATTTGGGCCAACATCACTGAGACAGGGCACTTATTTCATGAAAGCAGTAATGAGTTCAATAATTGAAAGAACAATCGCTTTCTCGCCTTTTCGGAGGTGACAGTCAGAGTATGAAAATGCATGAAACTAATCATTCAGATAGATTTGTAGAACATGAACAATTGATATTATAATTGATATAAATAAACATGCAGACATACAAATAAAATGTATTTCAAAATTCAAAATAATTTTGATGTATGAATATTTTCAGATTGATATAACAGGGCAATCCTACTGTCGAGACATCTATGTAGACGGACTAGAAACACTGAATTTGAACAAATCCACATCATCTACACCCTACATTGGATACATACTGGATTTTGGATTCAGTTCATTGAACAAACTTCTGAAGAAATGTTTCACCCTGAAGAATAATTCGCAAAGCAATATTTACAAGTTTCAGTTCACCCAAGAATCAACCGTTATAGTAACCCCAAGAGTTGGTCATTTGAAACCAAACACCTCTAAAGAGATAATTGCAGTTATCTCTACAAAATTACCTTTGTGTTTACAAAACGTAAGAGAATAAGTTATCAACGGTAATATGAGGAGCAAATTTTACAGGCAAAATTGAATTCGCGACCTTCTGTAGATCTCTGGTCAATCAAATGATTCTGTTGTGATATGTGTTGTATTTATTTGCGGTGACTATAAACGAGATCGATTTTGTTTGTTGGAGAATTGATTATTGATTTGATTATGAGATAGGTCAGGTTAGGTAAATCTTATTGATTTCGACAGTTCAATGTTAACGAGGTTTCATTAAGAAGAAGCAATTTTATCGATATAATACCGAAAAATTAGCTAGAACTACAAATCGCTACTAGTTGAAATAATTAAAATGTAAAAACTAATCGATTTTATTGACCTCTCCAGATATAGGCACACAAAATGATTTTTAAGTGATGCCAAAATGACTTTGTTTCTTCCTCTCTCCAGTTAATGTTGTATCAAACATGTTTTGATTACATAAAAATTATCATGGTTTTAAAATACAATAGTAGAATTATTAACCTACGCGTCACCAACCAACCAATTTGATTTCAGCGAATATTTTTGACATTTAGAACGTCAATCATGAGTAGGTAATTTTAGAGGCTTTGATTTCTGCATTATCATTCATTGTCATACCTGGAAATATTGGTTGATTGATATGTAGTTCGACCAGCCCAAGAAGTTCAGAGATTGAAGGCTTTTGATCCCGGAGTATCTAACCAATTCGGTTTTGCAAATGGCATCGATTTTATCAATTCATGAACGATATTTATCAACGACATGCCTGAGTATATTGATGCTGAGCTATTAGCACTATTTTCAGATGATACTTCCTTAGTTGTGACAGCAGGTACCTTTTTGGTGCTTGCTGAGTCAACCAAATTGATCATGAATAGCTCCAATAGATGGTGTGATCAAAATGCTTTGATTTCTAATATTGCCAAAACGGAATGTACATATCTCACTTTCCATGCTAGCTTGAACGTCTTTCAACTTGATTTGGATAGTTTCTAAAAATTGTACGAAATTTTTGGGTATCCATGTTGATCAGCATTTGAGATGAACTTATCAAATCGACACAGTGAGCAAAAAGCTCAACAAATCTAGATTTGCAATCTCACGGATAAAGTCATCTATGCCAGTAGTCATTGTTAACAGTGAACTATAGTATGGTGTATAGCCATATGTCATATAATGTGGTACTCTGGGGAAATTCTGCTGATAGTGACAGAATATGTATTGCTCAAAAAAGAATTATACGCACTATATTCAACTTGCCTTCTAGAGATTCATGTAGGCCCTATTTTTCATTATGAAATCCTTACGTTCCCCTGTATATACATTTCCAAATGCCTGCTATACTTCAGGGAAAATATATTCATATTCGACCAGAAAGATAAATTTCTTGTGTATTCCATCACATAAGACAGCTAAATTTGAAACAAGTCCTAGTTATTGTGGAATCATGTTCTACAACCATCCACCCGAAAGCATCCAATGCCTGGATGAACATTCATTCAAACAACACATCAAATCACTATTAGTAGGCAAATGCTACTACAGCATAGATGAGTTTATGTCAGATAGAGATTTCAGAATCTAACCTGTTTTTGTTTTCATATATACGTTTGGAACCTGTGTGACCACTGTTTTATACACTCTATTTATTTATGACTGACTGCACTTACACTGCATTGATACCACCATTTATGACGAGCGCTTGGACGTTTTTAAATTGACAGTAGTTGAGGATCGCAACATTTTATTAGTGCTCTGGGCTCATATTCTTTCCTGGGGGCATCTTTAAGTAGCCAGACTATACGAAACGGCTCATAGTTTTGCCAACGTCATTGCATGGCGAATATCCTAACAATCGCCGAATAATTCCGAAAAAACAGTACCTATAACTTTATCACATATTATGAAAATTCATATACATTACTTCTCATCTCTGATATTTTTTTAGGTAAAAATAGAATGTAACTTCATGATCATCAATTACGTAAACTCTGATACATCTATATCTTGGGATGATAGACAACAAATAGTCGAATGGGAGCATTCAAAACAAAACGATTCCATCGTTCGGCCACAATATTATAAAGAAGCTATCAATATTGCGATGAGGGAATTATCCAGGTGAACTATAATTGAGTTTGCTAATTGATGAAGTTATTTCTGCATTGATCGACGCATCAATATATAAAACGTGTCAATTTTCAGCATGATACGAGTCATTTTATTTTATTGGTAGTACTCAAAAACCTGCCCTTGTTTTGTTTAATGTTTTGTTACTCAATCGAATGTGATTTGTATTAGTGCGCTCAATCAAATGCGTTCGAATATTCAATTATTTATATTTCACAGATCCGAATATTCGTTTGAAGAAAATAATGTATGCATCTTGTACAGACCAGAACCAGAACACATCCTTTCAACGAATGTCTGGGATATCATACCCATATTTCTCTCAGTCACTGCAGATTACGCCTCGTACGATTGTGCAGTGAGAGAACTGATATTTCCTGATACTTTTGTGAAAGAGGTAAGCTAGTCTTCCTGCTACATCTAATTAGCTGACAGCTGACCATTCAAACGAATATTGTTAACTTTATCAATTTGGCAATTCTCTGAAATCTTTCATTTCGTCCAGATTGTCGTCATATACAAAACAACAATAGCTTTTATTTATTAATATTTTCTTGCCCACTAGGATAATATGTACGATAAACTTTATATTCGTGGTCCTCAGTCAATTCGATAATGTGGTGGAAAAACTGCCGATAAACTATCATCCCCACTGTTGTTCACAACGTCAGTTTTTCAAAAAATTTTGCCATTGTCGATCTAAATGGAAACCTAGAAGGTGACCTAGTGAGCGAGGAGGGACAATACAATAGCCTACTAACTACCTAACTAGGTTGTCATTTAGAACGACAATGATTCGGTCCACTTGACACACTACAAAATAACGTGTGCTCTTATATTGGATGTGTATTTGTTTATTATTCAAACCTGCAAATTAGCACCATTGATAGTTTCCGTAGATATGCGTGTATTTCTAACGCCTTTGATACTCGCACCATAATTTTAATGTGGTTACAGGAAGTGGAAAAATATTTCCTCGTAGCTCACATTGAGTCTCTTGAAAAAAAATGTAATCTTACAAATATCATGATGATAAAGTTAAAATAATTTCGTGGGAGAAATTAGACACCACACATTGAAGACTCAGAACGGTAAAATTTATGTTGCTTTCATTATCGGTCGTTGCTTGGCCGTTAGTATGTTGAAAAATATTCTGTCTTCATCACCCCAAGATTCATTACGGTTTTTGATAGGAATACATTAACAAATATCAATAACAAATCATGAAAAAATAGGAGGTTGTCAAATAAATTCCACTCAGTGGAAACAGATTCTCATTTTTTGAGGTGAAAGTTATTTTCAATTCTGAATAATCAAATCATGTCACATATAAATAATGATGTTATTTTGTAGAAAAGTGACGTCAGATTCGTAGTGGCAAATACTGGATTGGTACCAATTCATATTGAGTGGTTCCTTAGCTGTGATGATATTTTACCTCAAAGATCTTCTTCAGCGGGATTTAGGGAATCAAATGATCCACTCATGCCACCTGGTGAGTACGATAATGAACTTTTCGCTAATTTTTATATTATTATACGTATAAATAGTACCAACATATACAGAGTACCATTTTGGTTTGAAATTGAATGATGTTCATGTTCACATTTTATTTGTATTGCAAGATCTAACCTCAGAAAAGTGATGTTTAAAATTACTCTGTACAAACCGCGTAACTAGCGCCAACTATGAGAGTCTGATATGAAAATAAATGCATGCGATGTGTCAGTTTCCAGAACACATCCATACAGAATGCCATTACAATGTTGTCACTGGTTTCGACATAATCGTAGAGAACGTTTGAAAACATATTTTTTTCAACACCTTCTATCTTGAAAACGAATGCCGTTGCAGTGTTCCAACTACCGTAGCAAGGGAGACATTTTTTTTGAGACCCTGTATTACCCGCGTGTAGAACTCAACTAATACCATCTTCTTTGCCGTTATTTTCAGCTCCCTCTTTAATATCTTCACTTAGTTCAACAACTCTCTTCAGTTCCACCGATTCGAAAACTGGATCTGACGTATTACCATTCGAGATTCTACCAGAAAAAACAGTTATAGAACCGAACGAGACAGCCACATTTTCCATTGTATTTTCTCCCTCTGTCGCTCTACAATATTATGTTAGATTGGTTTCCAATATCACCTCACTGGACCCCTGTCTCAAGAATATGGATATCAACATAACAGCTGAGGGTCTAGTACCGGAATGTTACTTAGAAATCGAAGAGACGGATTATTTCACTAGAAGACCGGCTTTGAAGAAATGTATTGAAGATAGAGAAGATTCCAAAGTAGTCGAACTGTTGTCAGTTGGGGTCGGTGTAACATCTACGAGGTAAGTGTATTTTATCAGGGATATCAAACAATTTCTCGTATTATTATCAGTTTTATCCACTGTCCATTCTACAAACTGAATCAGAGCGCTGCGAACATAACACTATGAGCAGTTTACACTTGTCTCTAATGCCAAATAAAGTGCCGAAGCCAGGTATGGACATTGAAGAGTAAGCAGAGGTGAGAGATATTGCAATACTATGATTCGCTGGATTGGCGAAATTGACATATACAATGGTATTTCAGGATAGTCAATTGAATTTCAGAAAGCGTCAATTGAGTTTCTGAAATACAGTTGACGCTTTCTGAAATTGAATTGAGGCTTCCTGGAATACAACTGGAAAAAGTGTAGTGTGAACTGCGCATATGGCTTCTTGCTCCTCGTGTTCGCAGTGATACGACACCATAGCAAAATAACTGCTCAACACTCGTAAGTTAATTGAAAAATCACTACTTGGAGTAACTAATACACAGAGCACTAATCACCCAAAAATAAGGAGACCACTCCACAATATGCCGTAGTATGACCTTCAACACAAAACTATGTTAGAATGCCACATGCCCAATTTATGGTATTTTATGTAATCATTCGCTATTTGAAATCATAACAAATACATTCATTGTTCATTCACTTTTCAAAAACGCTAGCTCTTGATGATGTGATCCACCCATAAGAGTGACATTTCTCAACATCCAATGAGAGCAGCTTCCATCCTAGGGGTGTACTAAGACTGAGATACATACAATACATACAGGTTGTTTATCGAATCGTTACAAATAGGAGTATTAAGAAAGGATGGCATTTGGCAACATTGTCAGAATACGGAGTATAGCGGTTGTTTCATTGTAGGGGGCAGTGAGGCAGGCGTAGACTAGCGTTAGCTGAATCAGTCTCTTGCGATGTTGGCATCCAAATGCCCTATACAGCGTGTCTCACTTCAAATGGCCCCCCTCTATATCTCGGATATTAGCGCTGCAATTCATACCAAATTTGGACCGAATGGAATAACCATCAATATTATCAGTTTTTCAGAGAAGAACATCATTTTGAACAGTGCCGTGCGTTTTTATTGATATAAAAGGAGTCGATTTTTTATGAAATCATATCAGGCATTGCTTTGCAGGAAAACTAACTCCATATCATTGTTCCTCATGCTCCCGCACCTACATTTGAAAAAAAAAACACCTCATTCCGAATCAACAGGATTGTTTTTTTATTTTCTGCCTCAAAAAAAAACAGTGAATTCAAATTAACTGCAAATTTCGGAAAGTTCAATTACTCTGGTAGATAGACATCATGGTTTGAAAGGAAAAACAAGATATACTTTTTTTTTGTTGAGCGCACCTTTCCGAGTCAATAATCATTTCCTTCGGAAATGCTGTTTAAATGTCCCTGTTTTTTTTAATCCTTCATAGAAATCATATCATGTTGCTTTGGAGCCATGAAGAACAATATTATGAGGTCAGTTTTCCTGTAAAAAAAATTCTTAATATGATTTCATGAAAAAATGATCCCTTTTAATTTTAATAAAAATTAACGGCACTATCCAAAATGATGTTCGTCTTTGAAAAATCCATCATATTAATGGTAAATCATACTGTTCCAAATTTGGTAAGAATAGCACCATTAATAGCTGAGATATAGGGGGGATGGGCGTTTGAACTGTATGTAACGATTCTATAAACGACCTGTACATTAGAATACTATGTGATATAAAGAAAGACCTCATAACTCGAAATAACCCATCCATCCTAACTCACCAAATCTAGCGGATACTGGAGGATCCTCAGAGTTATTCTCTGGAAATTACCAGTGAGAATAATAGTGGAAATTGGTGATATCCCATTTGAACCGAATTAATTCATGGTTCAGGAAACTGTTTGGGTTCAATGAAGATTGAAAAGTTTGGAACTAGGGATGGGTCCTAAATCTTGTAAAAACTTTCCAAAGTGTTCAATGCTGTATTGTTTGTTATATGTTCCAGTAGTCTTGAATTATCTGAAGTGATATAGTGCCACTTGATTCATCAAATCGATTATATCTGAGGTGAGCAATATATTCTTGAAATATTGTACCAATGCTTTTATGCGTTTGCGCAATATATTCCATGTTGGTCATTACGATCATCTCATGAATACCTGATTCATCATTGGTATCAATTCTATCTCAAGGCTTGCCGAGAGGACTATCAATGGTATTATTGCAATTGTAGTGAAAGCTACGTTATAAAAATTACAGATACAAGAATGATAATATTAAAAAACAAAAATCTCATAATAACTACATTATGATTTATTGAAATTTGAGATAGCTCCGTAAGTAAACTTTTTTTAGCCAAGTGCGGAATTAGCAGCATCAAGATGAAACAACATATTGTCTAGTATGATGTTCATGGATTTGAGAATTCCATGCCAATATAAAGTTACATTTCAGGTGTTTGTTGATAATATCAAAAGAAATTTTGAGAGTATTGATCAGATAGTGCTCTTCCAAAGAAAATGCATTTGTTCCTTTATAAAGTCGATATGATGGGATGTCATATGGAAGACAATACAGTACTTTTAATGCTGTCTTATATAGTTCAGATATTTTGTTAAAATTATTCTTGGAACATGAACCCCAAATATTTATGAGATAGTACATTTTACTAAGGATGTCAGAGTATAGAACGGTATTTGCTATATTTGGGATAAGTTTTGGACATCTTCTTAGGGCACCAACTAGGGCATAAATTTACACTTTGAGAATGCCAATATGCTTGTCCCATGTTAACTTTCCATCAATCAGTATTTGGTATAGGCAGTTTGTTTGAATCTTCCATTTTTTATTCTAATATTCAAATCAATATTTTGTTTATTTCTTTGATTCGAAAATAACATTCAAATTGTGACTTCGGCATCATAAGGAATCATAACAAACCTATTATCAACGAAAGTAGCTTCCAAAGTGATGTTTTCATGAACATTATTTTTCCTGTGCCTTGCTTCTCTCGATATATTATCTACAGAAGTCTTATAACCATTGTAAATAGCAATACTTTCAATTCTATTCAACTCGTTGAAATCTAAAGACACCTTATCTGACGAAATATTTTTTCAAGTCTTTGAAAGTACGAGTGGATATGAATCATTCGAAAATCACTTTTCATTTTATTTGGCCTCTAATTTGTAATATCTTATCTGTTAATGTGAAATGGGACACACCACTGTTTTTCTGAAAGGCTTTAACCTTCAGGACTATCCAAGAAAATGTTGGGAATTTTGACACTTCTGTAGCGCCGACTACTGAGACTGTAAAAATGCCAGCCTTCACTGATCACTTTGATTTCAGAATATTCAATGTTGTCAATGCTTCCAATGACACTCTATATTTCAACATCGAGCTGTTAGACGCCGAGAACCGGTTCAGCTATTTCAACTGCAAGACCCCATCCGGTCTAATCAAACCGGGAAAGAAAACTGAGGTCGCATTCTGCTTCATACCGCAAGAGCTGGGCAGCTTCGAGGAGTTCTACAAGTTCTCCATTGACTCGATAAACTTCCATCGAACGCTTCTGTTGGCCGGACATTGCAGGGATCCGAGAGTATATTTCGCTAAAGCACACGTCACCGTGAAGCCCACTTTGTTGGGCGTGCCCTCAGAGGAAACGGTTACGCTAAAGAACGAGGAAGATACGGAGCTGGACTTTAGATTCTTGAAGCACAGCTTGTACAATCAGGAGCACGACCAGCGATTGAAAGTTGTGCCGATGTCTGGGACTGTTAATCCACGTGGCGAGTTTGACATCAGGTAAGTGGTTTTGTTGTGAATACTGATGTAGTAAGAAGGTTTGAATGTGATGCGATAATTCATAAATTGTAACGAGAGACTTCCTAATATTGAATGAATATTATTACTTCAACATGTAACAGGATTTTGTATTTTGGTCCAAAATATAGCCTGAATTCAAAGAAGAATAACTTACGAATTAGGCTACCAATTTGAAATCGGTTTTCACCGATGATTAGCCTAATCCCTTGACAGTTCGTTGTGGTAATATGAAACTTCTGTAATTTCAGATGACATTGCTACAGGGTGATAATTGAATGGGTGTAAAATTGTATCGTGGTCGTCACCTTACCGTTTGCACAGATTTTTTTTTCTCACCTGTATCCTCTTGATTGATGCTTTCTCTCGAAACGTCTTCGGAATTTTCAAATTCAGAGCTTTGATAATCGTGTTATGAATATTCATTCAAAATGATGAATTTTTTTGACGATTAATTGAATGAAATTGGAAATTGAAATTCTTTTTTGAAGAATCAAACTTGTATGTATAGTCGTCGGATATGTGATCGTGTTCGAACACAGAAAATTCTGAAGTAGTCTATACAAAGTGATACAAGAAATACTGAATGATGGAATGGAGAATAACGTAGTCTTCAGTAGATGAAACATAATTTTCTCTTTGTTACTAGTGAAAAAATGAAGTGTTACTTCGTCATGTCTGGTGTCCGACCTCGAAATGGTTTTGTAATTTCTCGGATCGAAGGTCATATAATGAATAATGAAGGTGCGCATTTTTAATCAAAATGATGCATTTTCGTTAAGATGAATTATAGATTTCAAACACAAGTATATATTCGTGCATACTTGTTACCATCTTATACTGATGAAATTATCTGTTCAAACGGTAAGGTGACGACCACGATGCAAATTTACACCCATTCAATTATCACCCTGTAGCAATGTTATCTGGAATTACTGAAGTATCATATTGCCACAACAAACTGCCAGGAGATTGGGCTAATCATCGGTGAAAACCGATTCCAAATTGGTAAGGAAATTCGTGAGTCATTCTAATTTGGATTCAGTCTATATTTTGGACCACGACGTTATCAATGTTGTTGACCAGTTTAATTTCGAAAATGATCTACATATCGGAAAGAAATTAAGAAATTTAATAACGTTCAATAGAATGCAGAAAACCTTACACCCTAAATAAATTGAATACATTTTTTTGAACTATATTTTTCTAGCAGATGATATTTTTGTCAACTTGTGATATTACACAGATATACTGAATTTATAATGGAACTACCCATGTAAATTCTCTGTTTTTTAAAGAGCTATCAAAATATTTTTTAGTAATATAGACAATGATCAGGTTGGACTAATATAAATTTGAGAATCTCGAAATATCTCAAATAACAGGATTTGGAAGACTCCAAACGGAATTTCATAAGTGATATCACGAATTTCTGAATATTCGAGATAATTCTGTTGCCTTGTTGTTCACTAAATTGTGTTGCCAAATAACACCACAAAATGGTGAGGACGAGTGATATTGCTGTGCAGCAACACAATTCAGTCACGAATAAGAGACAGACTTATGAGAGGATTTTCATATATATTCAAACCAATCAGAATTGAAAGACAGCTAGTGTATTTGCGATAATACATCAATATCTAGGAGTATCATACATTGATACACTATAACTGTATTAGTGGTGCTAGCTTTGTGATTATAAGTATAAATATCCAATGTATTCGAGTCTGATAATGTATTTTCCTACTTATACTATTGAAAGTATTAGGCTTCCTAACGTGTAATTCCAGTGTGAGGAGTAATTTAATTTCATCATGATTGCATGATATCTCGTACTGTTGTTACCATTACAAAGTTGCACAGCAGCAGCTTCTTCAATATCTTTTGAAATGTATTGATTTTCTTATTCACTTGCGTTGAAAGTCGTTGTTTAAAAACTTTAATTCACATTTGCCAATACCTTTAATGTTCTTCTATGTCGAGTCGGTCGTTACAGAACGACATTAAGTGTTATCTTTATTCAACACATGCGAGTAAGAATGATGAATATACACTGGAACAAGAAACACACCAGTTCCGACCTCTCCACCCAATGGAACTTGATGTTAGTGTTACAGTAGATCTGTTTATTCTCTACTGTTTTTTTTCATTGGTAATTCACAGGGATTGACCCATTTGACTATAGGATGAACGTTTGTTTCAGATTGATTTATAACGCTGATAAGATTGGCGAGGCAAATTTCTATCTGAAATGTACATTAGAGAAAATGAAATCTCATCTGAACCTCACTATCAGTGCAACTTGTATGGAAGTGTTATGTTCAGTCAGTTACACCAATAAAAACGGAGCTATGGTGCACATGGATTCTGATCGGGAAAATGTCATCGATTTAGGAAATGTAAATAGCCTAACTATTTGACATTCCATATTCAACTGTTAGTATACATGCTACCAGTTTCATTTTTCTCGATACAAAAATATACATAATTTTTTACAAAACAAAATCATAAAAACACGAAAAACATCAAGATGTTAGCAGAAACGAAAACCTTTCATAATTTTCATTCATTGTTTTTATTTATAACACACACTTCATTGGTGTTTGGATTGCAGTGAATGGTTATCACATCTACAAAAGCCTGATTTTCTAACCCATACCAATCCAAACTTTATTTTTAAATAGAGGTATAATACAGGGCGTTCCTGAATTCGATTGACAAAAGCCTAAGGCCGATGTCACCAGATGTCTTCTTTTACAAAATAATTTGTGATTATATCTACTTGTCACTGCTTATCGAATGCAGTACTCTAATATGGAAAAAATAATCGAGGTATTCTTATAATGCCTATCCGAGTCGTTACCTGATCTCAAAATGTACATACAAGTTTCAGATATCTTTTGATAATTATTCAGCACGGTCCCTGCAATCACTGAGAGTACTAACAGATGAAATTGGAATAATAGTGAAGATAGATTCGATAGAACACTTGCTAAATTTGATTGTTTCAGATTGGTATAAAATTGAAACGGGTAATAAAAGTTTCGATCGTGAATACCGGGCAAACTGGTTTCTTTTATGGTTGGAGATTCAATAAAAAGGCATTTGAAAGTTCTATGAACGTTATGGTGGATAGTGAAAAAGAATTTGTTTCTGCCGGTACCTCTGTATCCTCTGATATCATTGTTGAATCGTTCAGACCCTATATTCTCAAAGAATTCAGGATGAAACTTGAGGTGAATACAGATATATAGGATGAGATGTCTGGATAGTTATGAATGTTTTATTTCAGATAACTTATGGTCCAACTTATATGCTTAAAATCAATGCCGTTGCAAATGAGCCATTGTGCAAATTTTCCTTCACAAATTACAATTTTGGTAGCTGTATCGTACAAAAAAATTTTTCCAAGTATAATGAAGTCTTATTGAAGGCGAAGAATTTCGAAAATAATCCGATAATGTAAGTATTCATAGAAAAAGGTGTTCAAACAAAATGTGTGAGGCATTCATCTATCAACTCCTTTGCTTTCCAGGATACAAAATCAGTTCGAGAATAACAAAAATCTAACAGTTGATTTCAAAACAAGCCAAGTGCTTTCAAACTCATCTGGGACCATTCCGATATATTTCCACCCCCAAGCAGTAGGGAAGCATGATATTTCTATTCCATTCATTGTGAAGTCCATGAAGAAAGTCATAAAAGTGATAGGCGAAGGGGTGAAATTGAATTTGCAACTGATGAATCCAGGTGACAAATTCATCAATTTGGAACCCGTCAAATTGGGAAACAAGAGAAAATATTCCTTCGAGCTGCTAAACAGAACTTCTACTAGAGTAAACGTTTTGGTATACTTCGCAGAAGATTTTCCAACTCGTAAGGAAGAAGATAAAGATATTGAACCTGACATGGTGGTACCAAAAGAAAAATTACCATCAAAAGAGTAAAAGCAACTGAGGGTATTCTCAACCCAATGTATTTCAAATATTTCGTTGTCTTCAGGTTAAATAAAACAGGCAAGAACAAAGTAATCACAGAGGTGAATATTAAAACCATTGCCCATGAAAAGAAGTCTGAGAAAGTGAAATCTGAAACACAACAGAAAATTAATGAAGTGGGGTGAGTGACAAATTATTAATTGATTGAAAAAAAGGGCCGTCATAGCAATGGTAGTTAATAATCTGGAAAGCTCGAACCAGATGGCACTGGTGCGGTTAGAGGTCAAGTGAGCTGTCAATTTTTGTTTATTTATTCACAGAAACGATATTTGTTCACGAATCTTCATTGAGAAGAGATAATGCTTTGTATGAATGTATTGTGAACTCGCTTCTTTTTTGAATAATTTTCATGTACTCCGTGTTATGTAGATGACAGTTGACCCTCAATCACACAATGCCTTTGTAAATTGTTATGCTTGCGACATCTGAGATATCTATTTATGAAGTTATCAGTTGACCGTTTCAAGTCTTCTTGATATGGGTGGCTAGGCAAATGGATAACGAATACAAATATCTCAGCAGGATACAGGATTTTATTTAAAAACTAAGACAAGAAGACTCTGAATCATTAAAGATCGGATTTTGAAATTTGGTGGCTAGCAAGTATACCAAATGTGTCAATCATACGATTTCGTATGATTGACACATTGTCTGCTAAATATGAAGAAAAAATCTAGTGAGCTGCAGTATTTGGTCCGCTCAAACAAGGAAAATCACCTACAGGTTTCTGTGGCCTATACAGTAGTGCCGCCATACGGTCAACTCGAGGAAACACTTTTCTCAATAATTGTTTTCCTGTCAAACCTACATACCTTCAAAATCGTAAACGAGTTGAGCAGCTCCTCAGCGGTGCTCTCGACAGTCTCGGCCGGCGGCGTAGTTTGTTCAGTGAGTTTGACTTTAGTATCACAACATAGTCACGTATACTCAATCACTCAAAAATTCGAAAAATCATTCCTCAAAATGGTTGCTACAGACACTACAATAGTCCCCAATTTCGTAACGTTCAACACCTAAATTAAATGATCAGGGCTCTGATTATCTTACTTGTAATGAGCCTGTAACACTGAATATCGAATGTATCCACTTATTATGTCGCAAAGAAATATAACTTGGAAATCCATGAATGGAGACGGTTTCACACTTTCTGGTAGGCACAATTGAGAGACAGAGTTTGTAACAAATTATCTATCAGAATAAACTACCATTATACTGGGAGCACAACACGAAACTATATCTATAGACGAAATGAATTGAAAAGAAAGCTTTTTTAGGAAAAAAATACAATACAAGTCACGATGGCACGACAGCTCTTGACACTGACAGCTTACATAACCACAAATTTCGAAAATTTTCTAGAAAAAAGTGAAGATTATTTCGTATGATACACTCAACTGAGCTGTAGAGCAGACCAGTAGTTACAGCTCACTAGTTATTTTCTCCATATGTAGCAGACAATGGATTGACATATAATCATCATTTCCTAGCTGGTTATTGATATATCTGTCTAACTAGAAACATACAAATACTTTCTGTAGGACAGATTAATTGAGGAGGTGGAAGATTCATTTCTCTAGATTTTTTGAAAGTTGTCTTCCTCGTTTCTACATACAAAGAAACATGAATTTTAGGAATGTTCCTGCACGCCCTAGCCCGAAGAAAAGTTATATTCGATATTTGATGATACATCCAAAGGAATATGTGACAATAGAACCCAATAAGAAACAAGAATACGTTATTGAGTTCAACCCGAAAGAACGCATTGACAAATTTTCTGAAAAGGCAAATCTCTTTACCGCCATCAATTACATACAAATTTCTCGATTTCTTATTCCAGATATTTTACAAAGTTCAAGATTACGTAGAACCTTTGTGTGTGGTTCGGGGTTCTTGTAAAGCTCCAGAATTTGCATTGGACAAAGATATACTAACATTTAGCAATGTTATCATTAGCTGTTACCACACTAGAAATGTATTATTGATGAATACTGGAGATACACAAGGAAGGTAATAATATTCAGCCATTATTATCTTTATAGGTAACAATAAATATATTTCATGTTTCGAATCGAACCTACTCTACAAAATTCAACCATTCAAACATTAATCAGTCTGGAGGACGAACCTTAGCGAGCAAAAAATATTGGATACAAAATAATATTTCAATCCGAACGACTTAAGTACATCACAAATATATTGATTTACTTGATATAAGACTCTGCGAGATCTGTTTAGTTGGTGTAGCAGCAGTTTAATAAAGTATATCTTGAGATCGTTATCTTTCAAAATCAAATAGTAAAATTCGAGTAGGATTTTGGTCATGCTTTGGTTTTTATGAAGTGAAATTTCAAGCTGACCTGTCAAATCATCAGAGGAGAAGATATCCTCAAGAGAGAAGGTGGTCAATTGAAGCCTATACCCCTATCAATTGATACACCATAGTTTGGATAAAATAGTCGAAAACATGTCTCCAGTTTTTTCATTGCCAATATAATCATGGCAAACCTACATGCATGTTCATGTCAATCAATGAAATGTGAATATAAATATCAAAATTTACCCACAATGCCTAGACCGTCACCTGACATTATTGCTAATCAATAATTCTGTGGATACCTAGCTTTATTTTCCATATTCCCCAGATTCAAGTGGAGCTTTGAAGAACCAATACAAGATTACAAAATACATCCCATCGAAGGTACTGTATCTCCTAATTCGGAGATGAAAATGAGTGTTACCTTTAAACCCAATGCAGTTTACTGTCAACTCATCAAGAAAGTATGGAGGCATTCAGGTTATATGCAGAATTGATAATGCACATTTTCTAGGCCAGGTGTACGATAAACAAAAGTACTATTCTAGAATTGAGGATAATAGGAAATTCATTAAACTTACCTCAACCAATTGCAACAGTAAACTTCAGTTGTCCTGTGAGGGAAACTACTATATCAAGCATTAATGTTGCTAACGAGTAAGTTTGATAAAGTTGACATGTCTCATTATTCTCATATTCATCTGCACAATTGTGCATTTTCGTTTACGAATTTCATAGGTAATTAGTAAAATCACAACAAATGACAAATCGATATATTTGACCGAGGTTAAGTGGCGGCAAAGCAATAACTGAAAAAAAAATACATTTTTAGTACCCAATTTCCGTGGACTTTGAATCCAATTCTATCTAGAGAAACTTTTTGGATGCCTAATGGAATCAAAATTGGACCCGGAACTAACCTAACATTAGATATTCAATACAGGCCCCAGTATATGACTAAATCGAAACCAGAACAGGTAAAATTGTTTCCTAATCATACGACAGAATATACAATGGTTATGACTGAAAAACGCAGTCAGGCGAAGAAAATCATTCGGAATTCAGACGAGAATGATTTCCAAAAACGGATTCGAAATGTGTCAAAGGCGAATTGTGAAACTAGTCATTTTATGAAACTTTCGGTCTTTCTCTGAATGCTTATCTATATTGTAAGTTGGTGAATCAATATGTTCACCATTTGGATAGTTTTAGAATAGATATTCGGCATTTCATTCCATTAACTGGTTGAATAGTTGATGTTCATACATGTTTCATCGTGTTTATAATTAATAAACATTTCAGTCGCAGGTTTGAATATGCCACAGTAGTTTTGGAATTCACTTATATAAACTGAACATCCTCCATCACTTCAACTAGCAGAAGCCAATCGAAGGTGTGTGAGGGTTGTTTGGGAACCAAGTTTATGACTTGCAACATTCAATTCAACTTTGATTTGTAAAACAACGCTTTTTAAAACTAGCTTCACAATTCGCCTACAACTTCCTCTAGTCTTACTGATACCATTAAAATACCCCATAAATCATCTTTAGGCTACTCTATTTTTACCATTACCGGAAGGACAAGCTATTTTATATGAACTGGTTGGAACAGCACTACCGCCTTTACCAGCTAAACAATTGTTCATAGAACTCAGATGCAAAGAGAATCACACTGAAATATTGAAAATAAAGAATTGGCAAGAAACCTTGCAGCGTTTTGAGGTGAAAACGGAACTGATGAGTGAGGCTACCACGAAAACTATTTACAAAACTTTTGGACATAAGCTCATAGAAGTACCACCTAACAAAACGTGGGAATACAAATGGAACATTTATGTGATGAATGAAGGGCAACTGGAAATGAAAGTAATACAATTTGCAGTGGCCATCGACCAATGGTTATTATAAGTATGATGGAAATACTTTTATTTGGAGTTTAGTAATTTGGGCATTTGTAACCTCCAAAATGATTAGGAAATGTCGTCTGACATGTTTCATAGATGTTGTCATACCTTATCTTGTTTATAACTGTAGTATAGATGTATGGAAACAGATTTATATATAAATACGATTTTATTGTTATAACATTCCCACTTCAACTACAGTCACCAATCGTTATATTGAATAGTAATCACATCATACTTATGATCCCCTGCGAATGCTATTTATAAACCCCCACTCATAAACTAAACTGAAACATTTTCAGGTGATATTTATGAATACTGATACGGGTGAATACTTGTTTTATGAAATATCTCTGAAGGTATTACCAAGTGAGCCTCTGGATACAATCAAATTAAGCACTTGTGTGAGAGAGCAAGCGAAAACAACGATAAAACTGAAAAATCCAATCAATCTACCAGTCACTTTCAATATCAGCGGTAGCTCCGAATTACAATTTGAGAAAACGGTTTCAATGAGACCATACACCGTTGTAAGTCGATGTGGATATCTTGATCTCTATAACATTAGTCGTATCAAGATAGTTATCCTTGTACCATTGACAATAAGTGATCATTCGATAAATTAGAATAGACAAGGCATATTGAACAAAATTTGATGATGGGCCATTTTTTGCGATCAAGTATGTGACGCATAAAATTCATCGTCAGGTGCAGAACCATATTATACAATAAGTGCTACTTTTTTTCAACATGAATGCGGTATTTTCCCTGGAATGTCTTACAAATTCTGAGATTTCATTTATTTTGCTGTTCCTACTACAGTTAATATGCGCTCCACATTCTTGTGCTTATTTAGCAATATCATGTCAAATTTTGATAGCGGATCTTTTCGCATCGCTTTTAATTTTTGATTTTCATCTCTTCAAACTATGCAATTTTTTTCGCTGTCATTTTTTTAGAATTCAAACAAGAGCCAATTTACATGTATTTACTAATCATTCGAAATCATCAATTTTCAGTGCAAATTCAAATTTGATTAATGACGCCGCTACAGTTGAAAACCATTTGAAAACCCATGAAAATCATGACTTGAAAGATGCATACATTAGGAAAACGTTGCACAAAATATATTATTACCGGCTAGTCTATAAGTATTGTAGCATTGTTTTAGATTTCAGTTTCTTTTCAATCGATCAATGAACATACCAGTCGGTTATGCTATTAACTAGTGGGTCAATTTCAAAATGCGAATTCGCTGGAAGCAGTAGGTAATGTAAGCTTTTAAAATGCTTTTTTACGTTTCGGAATTATTCAAGTTGCTAAAAATGGGTATAAATTGTCGAAAAGTTCTATTGAAGTAATGAAATAACGATAATAATGTTACAACAATTTCTCTATTTTCATTCATCAGAAAATAAAGTATTAGGCCCGGTATCACCAACGGATTTAATCTGTTTTGGAGTTACCTGATAGAGCATGACTGATTCAAACCGTATAATCGTATATAATACAACAAGTGTATTGATGATTATGGAAATACAAATCCCTTCGATCTCGAGAAACAAATTATGCTAGCTATGCGAGTATGGTTGCCTAAAAGAACATAATTTGTTTCGAATAAAACAATAGTTTCATGTCATATTTTCATTTGCCTTATGTAATTACGATACATCATACATCGATAGCCAGTAGAGACAAGACGCACCAAAAATTGTCACGCGTCTCGTGAGAGGCCGGACATTTTCTGCATTACCACCGTATAGAAATACACAATATATTATTATATTACTTGCACAGCTCGCTCGCAATATTTGATGCCTCCTGTTTCTAGACGCTAGTCGCTAGTGTCAAGTTGTAACTGTGGATAGAGGTCAAGTTAAGGTTAGCGATGGCAGATGGCACTCGACTGGACCTTAAGAGGTTAGGTTGATTGATATGGAAAATGTTTCTTTTTAGTCTAAAATTCTCTGATACAAATTGAAATTCAGTGCATATGACGATTTTGTCTGAAGTTTATTAGTGTTGAGTGCTACTTATCCCTGAATATGGCAATACATTTAATGGAACTATATTTAAATTACCCAATTTAGTAGGAAAATATTATGACATAAATTTCCATAACAGGTTGCTGCATAGTAATTTTGTCTTATATTTTGATCAAACTAGCAATGAGGAAGGGAAATACAAAATCGAAAACAGCATATTTAGGTATCTAGCAGCCAATCTACAGCCGAAACACTAAAAAGAAAACAGAACATCATGCTTTCGATTATCAACGCAGATATTTCAATCAATCAAAAACGTATATCTTGAAATGAGTGGAATAATCGTGATAATCGGTGATTATGTAAGGTGGAAAAGGAATAACCTCAATAAATCGAGATAATCGGTGATTCTGGTATGGTGAAACGTGAAATTATTTAGTTATGGCGAGTGAATCTGTCTGAAACTGAGATTGAATCCGTTGGCAAAACCGGGCCTTAGTAGTTGATCAAAACTGGGGTAGATATTGAGTGAATCAACTTGATATTTTGCTTAATTTTCAGCATGATTTGGATATTTATTATTGTCCCCTGAAGTGTGAAGATAGTAAAACTAATTTGGAAATATCTTGCGAAGAACTTGGAACTTTTTCATATGTATTAGAGCTTCTAGCCAATGCTGCTTCTCCAGAAAGGACCCTCAAATTCAAGGCTGAATTAGGCGATAAAGGTTTCAACACAATCAGTGTGAAGAATACATTTTCTATGCCATTCGAATTGATGGCAAAAGTGAGTATTTCTATACCAAAATGTATTTCCTGACATAAGTGTATCAATTTCGCAAAAATTCTTAATTATTGTTAAGTGGGAATGATAATACATACAGGGATGGTAGGGGAAATCTGTTCCAAAGGGCATTGAAAAAACCAACTGATGTGAATTCAATGTTGTTGAATACCTGAATACCTGATTAATTTTTGTCGTTGGCTTATCTTCGATATTTATTTATGTACCAAGTGAATGGACTTGGATAGATGCTGCGGAATGCGACAGTAGGGAAGTTCCTATATGAATGATGAATCCAAACTCTGTTCTCTATTATTTTGTGATTAACTCATGTGATATTACAGTGGGCAATTTCTCGGTTATTTTCCCTTTTTTTATTTTCAGTTTAACCACTCCATTTTTTATGCAGATAAGCCGGCACCCACGTCAGTCGGCGAAACTGGAAAAATTGTCATCAAATTTGAACCCAGCGAGCTGGGTATTGTAAAAAGTAGAGCCATAATAACTTCTTCAGTTACTGGCGATTATATGTAAGTAACTTTGACAGCACTAAGAATGAAAAATTGATTTAAGGAGCTATAGGGATCATTCACGTCGAAGTTCTATTACAACTAAAATATCGTTTTTTGTTTGGATCGTACCACCAGATGATGTTTTATACATGTTTGAAATATTTAGCTCAGGTATAAATGGCGGAATGCAGTCCGATTAGTTTATTTCATTATTCAAAGAGCGAGAGTAAATTATTAAGGAAGTCGAGGGTGTTTACCGAGTTTGTAAATAGACGAATTGTGACAACACAACCTGGAGCTAATATCTACTACTTTTTTTCCCTTGTATAATAAATGACTATTTTCTGTCACGAGAAAAAAGTTCGACATTTCATCTTTGTTGACAGGTTACAAAATGTCACTTTTCATATACTCACACCGTCCCCGAGAAACAACTGTAAGTCGTTTATTTCCATTCCACTTCGAGGTTACGGAAATTACTAAACAACCAAGTTCACAATTTTCTGAAGTCAAATTACAGAATTAAATTGACAGATATTTGATTACTTAAAAAGGTTTCCATAGCAACAAAGATGATGCCTGCAAAAAGCTGCACTTAACGCAAGTGCCCTACTTAAAAACTTCAAATTCTAATTTCACATCGATAATTTTCTTATTTTCATTTTATTATAATGTTATATCTCCTCAATATTGAATTGTCGTTTTTCCTGTTATAGAACACAACCTTGAGCCAAAATCTAATACTTTTTTCCCTTGTATAATAAATAACTAAACTGTCCCACCTTTGAAGTGAGACAAGCAAAAATTTCTATAATGTTCGAACCGTCTTAACTTTGGATTGAATCAACCAATTTTCAATTTCTTTCAAGATTCTAATATCTCATTTCATTGGGTACAACATCAGTACGTTTTCGTTATTCTACTTTTCCGACATGAAGACCTACAGGGCGATATCTGAAAATGTGATAATTTTCGAAAAGTTTGAGATCGCACCGTTTGGTAGGTGTTTTTTTATGTTTCATCCATTTCGAGAAAACTCATTAAGCTTCATCTTATCACCCTCAATGAACATGGTATTTTGTATGGGCATTCATACTGAAAAAGGCAAAAAAAAAACATCCTTAAAACTTGAAAAGGCTACATTAACTGGTATTTTGTAAATTTAACAACCTGTATTTTATTATTCTCAACCGTAGAGCTCTAGAAAATGTACTCTGTACATACGTATTCTTTCGTTTTTTCTTGGTTCTCAATACACGGGGTGTTGAGGTTTGCTTGGAAATTTGGTTTTGAAATGAAAGGCTATCCATATGAAACTCGGTGGGCATGTGTATACATCAGCAGTATACTGGATGTTTCTTTTTTTCGAGTCATCTGAAGATGAATCCTGTACACCCAACATGCCAGTGTCTTATTCCTAAAGGCACCCCTGATCCGATGATCGTGACAGTGCAAGCCTTCATTATAGATGTATAACAAAATAAATACAAATTTCAACCCATACATACACACATGAATTTGTATGAAAATTGTTGACACACTGAAGTTTCAGATATCCTCTTATCGGCGAATGCGTTCATCCAACACCAAAAGGACCGTTTTCTATAAAACCAGGAGGATCAGTATTGATACCATTTCAAAACCCATTCACTGAACAAAAAACTTTTGAATTCATCATTGATTCGAATATATTTACTTTGAAATCTACCTCTGAGGAAATCAAACCAAGAAAATCGACCAAAATGATCATCAGTTTGCCGATAAAGAATTTGGAGGGAATTATACGTAAATACCCACTAACTGCTAAATTGATAGCACAGTGCAATGATCCAGATCTGAAATTCATTCGATGGGTATTTTATATACAAAGTGATCAATGAATCTTGAATACTTTTATAATGAATAAATCTAATATGAGTGCATATCGCTGCATTTTATTTCCGCTGAAAATTGCATTGCGTTGAAAAACATTATCCGGAAAAAAAAGGAAGGCCAATTGAGATAGATATTGAAAATACTATAAAGTCGATCAATAATAAATCGAAATAATGAAAGTACTGAGAAATGTGACCTATTTGTGAATGAAGATATGTATTTACTTTCGAACATGACGAAGTTCAGGAAAGACATATATATTTATTGATATAATTACTGTTGAAGAATTATAATGTAACAATCACAATTCATGGAGAATTTCAAGTGTTTCAACAAAAACTGTTGCTATTCGAGATACATTACTATCTGAGATAAACTGTAAGGGCCAGTTTCATGAACCTTTCTATTAACTTAACGAGGAATCAACTCTCCTAATTCATCAGATAAAACATACATTGCCATGGATATGAACAAATAAATAAGATGTTTGATCGTCTCTCAAATGCTTTAATCAGCTGGCCTTCAGTATTTGAAACTTAAATTAGATGAAACTATGAGAGCACAAAATGTGTAGGTAAATATGATTTTGAAATAACTTTTAATAACTTAGATTACATAAACGATATTATATAAACATTAAAAAATGTAATAATATAAATAATAGGTACCTGGAATATTTCATGAAGCATGGAAAGAATCAATCTTCTCCTGCCGGCATTGCATCTTCCAGTCTTCTTATAAATTTAACTCTTACTTCAGTGCTTGTATCTCCTCTCAGTTGATCCTATTGAAATTTATACTGCATTATTAATAAACCAGAAATATCTTCAAATCTATCAAGAATCAAGATTTTTTCGCGCGCACTGAAGGAAATCGGGATTGGGAATTAGAACCACTTGATATGAAGCCGAATAATCTCAACATTCAATAAAATTGGGCAAGTGGATGACTCCTAGTGTCCTAGTTTGAGAAATAAAACTATTTAAATCAAGAAAAAACAAATAATATTCATTATAATATTGGATGTTCTTGTGATTGATTGATTTGGCGTTCCCAGTGTTGAGTAATGATAGACCGGGAGATATTGACACCAAATATTTGGTCATTTGTATCAGTATGGCGGTTCTTCCAGGGGTCTCATTACGTAATAACATAACAAAAAGGAAAATGATGGCCATGGCGCTGGCACCGGCGGCCCAATCGCTTGGGCGTTAATTGAAAGTGTCGGATAAATAACGTGTGTGGAACGATTTGTTCCAGAATTTTTTTTGTATTTGGCGATAGTCGATTAAAAAAGGCGGTCAGGTTAGGTGAAGGGGGGAAAATAAAAAGTGGGGGGTAGCTTCCAGAGAACTGTTGAATGTAATAGATTTTTTATATGTCATTATGCCATTCAATGCAGTTTTTGAATTTTTCAATTATCTTGTCAAATAAGCGGAGGAACTTAGTTCATGTTCGAAGATTTCCACATACATCAAGCATGAATAGTGAGTGATAACATGCAATCGAGCGGCAGTAAAGAAGATGATCCTGGTCCATCTGATCCTGGTCCATATTCTATAGATCTGATGATGTCATGAGAAATCGAAAGATGCCCGCAAGATTCGCAGATTTCCAATTAGATTGACCAGTTCAAAAGTTTGTATGTTATTGTTATTTTCTTTTGAGGGGACATGTTATATTATTGTGCATAATCCTGTAGATAGTTGTTGAGAGACAGCGTTGTGATTAGAATTGGGTGAGACGTCATAAAATACACGATTTCATGAATTCAATTCTTTAATGATTATTACCTGATAGCTCCTTACCAGAGGCTACCAACAGTATCTATAACATGTTATACATGAAGGCTTGAAAACTTCTGTCATATTCTGATCCAGAATTGTCTAAAGTATTCAAAAACGTTATAATATACAGGGTGTTCCAGTGACGGGGAACAGAAAATAATGCGAAAACCTTCCACTTCACATACCATACACCCATATTAAATTTCATTCTGATACCCGGAATATTCTAGGAGTTATGGCTTGTCTTATAGATTTTGAGAATTAATCACCGCCTGAAACGCTATGGAAATCAAAATATCATAAATGGGATGAATTTCAATGAGGGCTAACATTTTTGTGTCCACCAAACCGCGCCACGGAAACATGAGGTCTTCTTCTTTGTGTTTCTTTAACGTCGGCCTTTTTCTGCTACTGAGGCTAATCACAGACGCCGGTTAGCACACTACCCCCAACCGGAAATTTTTGCCGAATCCTCTAGTGTTCCAACCAGAGGTACGGATCTTTAAGGAGTCCAACATCCACGGCCTCGGGATCGCCGGCTTAACGTCCCCTCCGAAGAACGGCTTATCCGTACCATATCTTGTGTTCATTGATATGGTAGCTGTAGCTATCATATGCTATTCCGCTACAGATGTATGGGCTTACGCGGCGTTTCCTCGCATGGTCACCCATCCATTAAATTCATTTATTCCTTCTACAATATTTCACGAGTACATACAACACATTTGAATACATATAAGTATGGCACATCTATGAGTGTGTCTGTACGCCTCTCCGCGTGGCGCAGAGGTGGCTGGTGTTGGCCGAGGAATGTGAGAGGATTATGTGAGGTGTTCGTTGCAGTGACCTATCTCCTAGGGCTAGGTCTTTATATATAGGTAATCTCGCTGAGGGTACCCAGAGGGGTGAGGGAGCTGCTCATGCGCGATCAGAGTGGAATTCAAACCTACACTCGTCTTCTGACAACAAGTCGCGATTTTTTTTTATCTCTTGGTGCGCACGAAAGGAAATTCCTATAATGTTCGAAAAATATCATGTGTACCTATGGGGGATAGGGAGATGACGTAGGTGTTGTAGTTTTTTTTTTTTCAACTTTTGGAGGTTTCTTGGAAATACTTCCATCGGCAAAAATTCCAAAGCAGAGAGCTGACACTGTCATATCCTATGTAGACTAGTAAACATACCTTTCAGCAAGGGATAGGCATGATGGGCAATGTGATTATAGAAATATATTTGAAACCAGTATTTGAAGGGAATTTATATATTTGTTTTTCTGAACAAAAAAATTGTTACAAAATCGGAAACAAAACATTTTGGATAATTTGGATATTTAAATTGTGATACCTAATACTTATATCTGTTACCAGTAGTTTCTCTTTGGAATATTTTAGTTACTTTTTGCCAATTTCAAGAAACACAGGCAAAGAAATAAATAAAGTATTATGTTATTTTCAAACACAATACAGATATGTTTAGAATTGTTAAAATAGGCATAAAAAACCATTAGGTTTTCTAGTGGTAAAGCATTGATAATGATTTTCAGCATTTAGGCATCAGTCCACAATATCAGAAATATATCAGCATTATGGCAATAAACTAGCATTCAATGCCAAAACTGGCAATAGTTGTGGAGCTTGTCCTCCTCGTGAAATACCTTCTTTTGTTACTCAGGGCACATGAAAAATTTCAGAAAAATTATCAAATCCAAGATAGCAACTGATTATAGGTTATATTTCATTAAATGGCTGGTTATTTGGAAGTGAATAAAATAAAGTCCAGTCCCTTCATGATGTGTGAACCTGAATACTCCACCCCTCACTGTCATTTTGTGCTCATTAAACATTATACTATTTCCTTCTGCAATGTCATATAGAAACTGCTATTTTGTGATTCTGATTAATACAGACCATCCAATAAGATTTTATCAATTTTCTAAAACTGACCAATAACCAGGCATTTGTAGGGATAAAAAAGCTACCTAGCTTTTCTAATAACCAATAAATATGCCTTGCTTTCAATCAACACACTTATATAATTTGGCAACAACTATCACAGTCACTACCCTCAGATAATGTATGTATTATCATTTATCAGTTACTGGGAAAGCTATGTAGCTTTTTGAAATCTTATAGGATCTTGGAATAGGCCTGTATTAATGAATAAAAACATTAGCTCATGTAGGTATATAGCCCTGATAATTGGTGTACAGTAAGCATAATACAAAAAAACTTCCAGAACATGTAGTTATTAACATAGTGTAATACAGCAGTTCAGTGAGCCTTGAGAGAGAGAAAAATGTTTTCCCATCTGTCCTTGTCTTCAGTGTTCCTATGTGAAATAATGAAAATTGTATGTTGGTAACATTAGAAATGGGAAAAAAAGGAGCAGAAGATCTTAATGGCCTGGATATAAAAAAGGTTAGAATGGCCTTCTTCATTTTTTCTTATTGCCAGTGTTGCCAACATAAAATTTTCATTATTTTATGTTGGAACATTGGAGACAAGGATATATAGGGAAGAAATGTTTTGATGTCTCTCTCTCTCTCAATGCTAGCTGAACTGCTCTATTGATGTCATAAATATCACACATTAATTACCTGTACTATCCAGCTCTGTACATCCAATTGAACCATTTCCAATGCACCTCTTATAACACCACATATTATATTGCAGTACCTCAGTCCTTTGAGGTCATCAGGTAATTCAACTAATTCAGTCAATGGATTATTATCTAGCATGAAAGAAAACTCATCCCCAGCAGGACTCCAGTTTGTTACATTAGGCTGAACTCCCAGATACATTCTAAATGCTGTCTGGATTTTATCTGCAGTATCTTTGAGATCTAAACACCTTCCAGTACCAGTTTTTGCAAGAAAGTCTTCAATGAGTCTGACACCCATATTATACCCTAGTCTCTCTAGTTGTTTGCTCACATCATCAGTATTGTCCAGGTCTTTAATCATCTGTGCCACAAGAGCTCCATAAGTCAATGTTACAAGTTCTGAATTCTAAAACACACATAGATAACAAAAACATTCTCCAGTAGGAATACAACTTTATGTATCAAATCTTACAACTTTTTTGGTATCAAATCTTGTCGATGAGCGAGACATCTCAACACTTAATAGAAAACAATGTAGACTGTAGATGGAACAGCACTCAGCAGGGAAATTTCAGCGTTAATTTGTTTATTACAAACTGTGTTATTACAAGATTTACAAGTTAGAAAGTTAGTGTCAGTGTCAAACTTTTACATAACCTTAATACTAGCAAATACATTCTTCTATTTTTTATTTGATAAGCAATCAGCTGTCCCGGCTATACGGCCAAGTCACGTATGTCGTATGAATCATGTCGTATATGGGTCATCGCAAGGATGTCATCGCCAAGGATTATAAACTCTCCTTGGAGTCCTTGGGTCATCGCAACGTCATCTAGAGACTTTGGCGACCGCGAATATTTAAATTTATTTCAATACCTCAGAAGCATTAAATGCTCCTGAGATATTTAAATCTTTTAAAATAATGCTAAGGTTATTGATCATCATATTATAATATTCAAACCGCCCACTCCCGCTTGTACTGAAAAGTATTCTTAATGTTTTTGCCTTCGAAAGTCATAGCTCATAGCGAAAAATATTAAGAAGAAAATAACCCGTTATTTTCTTTGCCCGGATAGTCCTGGTAACTAAGGCCATTCAAAGCGAAATAAAGAAGAAGACGATGAATGTTTAGTTTATTTTGATTTTTTAGTTGATTTTACTGTCATTTACCATTTCATCTCATTGTGATGGAAGTTTTGTGGCCAAAAGCTTGTGTTCAAATATTTATACTATCAAATATATTATAAACACTCATTATTTACCCATTGAAATTTATCAACAATACGATGAGTAATACTTGGACTTTATCTTTGCACACTTGAACCAAATAGATTCTTGAACAAATTTTATATACAATGGCATGCAGTGAAACTAGTGAAACAATGCCTCTTGTGATGAACTGGTCAATAGAAGATACAAGACAGTTCTTAAATAAACAAGGTTTTGAAGAAGACACTATTAAAATTCTATGTGATATCAACAAATTAGATGGAAAGTGTTTGCTAGTGCTAAACGAACATGACTTCACTACAGAACCTCTTTGCAAACTCAATTTGAGAGACAGAAAAAACCTCTATGTGCTGTGCAAGATACTACAAAGAGATAATCAAAATACTCTTATAGAACTTGGTATTCTTGAAAACCATAATGTCAGTTTATATTCTCCACAGGCCACATACAATAAATTAGAGAGTGAATATTGTGAATCTGAAAGAGTTTCACCACCTATTTCTGATGATGGCAGACCAAGGTATCCCCCAGAAAAGAGAAAAGCATTGCTCAGTTTTCTATATGTTGTGGGTGTCACCTGGATAACAGCCTTTGTTATGGTAATTGTTCATGATAGAGTACCTGATATGAAAAAGTATCCACCTCTTCCAGATATTTTCTTAGACAATGTTCCTCACATACCCTGGGCCTTTGATATGTGTGAAGTAACTGGTACAATTTTGTTTACCATGTGGTTAATTGTATTGCTGTTCCATAAACACAGGTATGATTCTATTCAGGAGTATTATTGTTCTGAATGTAATGCAGCTTGATTGTAGGTTCATTCTGATGAGAAGATTTTTTGCACTTTCTGGAACTGTTTTTCTTCTAAGATGTGTGACTATGCTCATAACCTCATTGAGCGTTCCAGGAGCTCATCTTCAGTGTGAACCTAGAAATTATCCAACTGGAGGAAATTCACTTTTTGGTGATTTAGCAAAAAAGTTATCACAGGCATATCTCATATGGAGAGGAGCTGGTATGTCCATACAGGGTGTCAGAACATGTGGTGATTATATGTTCAGTGGGCATACAGTGGCATTGACAATGCTGAATTTCTTTATCACTGAATGTAAGTACATTTTTCAGGAAAGACACAATATAGTAGCTACTGAGGTAGCTCCTATACACTTATTGTAGAATCTATCTTCCAATTGAATGTGTTGTTGAAATTAAAATGAGTAGCCAGTTATTGTTCAAAAGGAAGATGGAGTATCCAGAAGGATTCAGAGAAAAATTCTTCTCTTCAAAGAACTTCATTCATAACAAGCAACAACACTAGAAGATTTTACACTACAAACCTCTTTATATTGATCTTTCCATGTATAAATAGATAGTGTTTGATTTCCAATTATTCATTATGTGAAATCATCAGAAATACACTTTTTCAATAATTAAAATCAGCACCTTTAAATGCTGTCTCTGGATGATGTTATACATGGACAAGTACCTTATCTCTGATATTTCTGAACATCCAATGAGAACATTGAATATTGTACAGTTGCATTGGATTGGTCATGTTCTACTTCAAGTTTTTCTGTCTTTTTCATTAATTTTCAATAATTATTTAAGACATGTAAAAACATTCAATTCATAGGAGATATTCATTGTTTTCAAGAGTTAATATATGTTGATGACTAATGAGCATTAATAGTATATGAGGAAGAAAAATGGACAAATATAAATTAGTGGAATATTTCAAATAACAACACAGATTGGCCAGTGAATTCAAATGGTGTCAAAATTATTGCATAATAATGAGCATGGTAACCTCATTACCATGCTCATTAACCACCAAAATTATTTTTTTTATCTTTTGGAGTGCACAAGATTAAATTCCTATAATGTTCATAGAACATTGCCTGTACCTAGGGAGGACAGAGAGAGGAGGTAGGTGTTTTTTCAGATTATTTTTTAAACCTTTTGGAGGTTATAAGTTTTTGGGAATACTTCAATTGACAAAGAATTCCAAAGCATGATAATGAGCATAGTAATTTTCATTGATAGTCAAGATTATGCATATAGTGTGGAATTTATGCACAAATTTGTAAGCAAATCCATATCTATTCTAATCATTGTCAACTCATTGAATGTGATGAAAATTCATCATCTAGAATATGTACAGTTAAGGTCTAGACCAAGGCTATTTTCAAGTATCAAATAGACAAATACATATAACTAGGAAAAATCTAAATACTCAAACTGGAATGCAATGGTAACAAAGAGAGAAACTCAATATCATTACCACAATAGTTCATAAAATGAAAGAAAATGGTAGATAACCAGAGAAAAACAACTACTAGCTATATGCCACATAGAACATTGGATTTCATCATCCCGAAATCTATGCAATAATTCATATATGCAAGTGGCATATAGCCAGGAAAGTAGTTGTTTTTCTCATTATCTACAATTTTCGTTCTTTTTATGAACTATTGTGGTAATTACTTTGAGTTTCTCTCTTGTGAAATACATATGAGCCCTCTTTCCTCCAAGTTGACCACACACACCGGTCAACAATAAGTTGACCAGCCAATTTTCCTTGAAGTGTTTTTCAAACTATGATGTAATAGTTAACCAACCTCACCAATCAGTTCACTGAGGTAGTTCATGGAGTAGTTGAGGCTTCTGATTGGTCACTGAATAGGGCTCTTCTTTCTCACTCTTGTTGTTATAATCTGAGGTTATAATTGATTAAATATTGAATAATCACCTTTTTTAATGAGATAATAATTATGGATTCATTCTAAGTATTTGTAAATCAAAGATTTAATCATATAATTGGCGAGGAAGAAATCAGTGATCTATTGACAATAGGTAAGTAAGTAGCTAGTTGATCATCCTTAAATTTGAAGTAGGTAAGTACCTTACAGCGGAATATTAATAAATAAATAACAAACTGACATCTGCCAAGCTGCACAAGTAAATCGTGACGTCACGATGAAGGTACCGTGACGTCATGATAATGTTAACCTGGTTTGTGTGGTTAGGTTCCAGGAAGAATGACTATAGAGTAGATTCCAGTATCGTGTCGGCTATTTATATAGTTTCTTCGTGAAAAAAAACGGAAAAATTTGAGGGGTTTTTCAACATGTGGGGAAAATTAATTTGTTGAAATTTTTAATTGAACCTAGGTTTCCAATGAAGTTATTGGATTGCCCTGTTTATAGGGCAATACAATACTTGGAACTGGTGACACAACATTATGTAAAAATATATTGCAATATTATCTAGAAAATTATTATGTTTAAAGAATCATCAATGTTTTGATTTAACCCATGTTTGAACATTTTTGAGAAATTAACTTCAAGGGTCCAGTACACATAGGGGTTTTATAAAAATTGCACAAGTTGTAACTTCACCATTTTTTATTTGATTTTTAGAAATTATATTATGGAGTTAATGGTTAGACGCTAAAAATAGTACAAAAAGGTATGAATGTAATTTTTTTACTCAACTTGTGATGCATCATTGAATTCAAAAAATAGCTGGATGATTTGAATAAACCAAAAAATATCATTCCATTTGCAAAAAAATGTTATTTTATGTATTTACTGTGCGAAATGCTAGGGGTACATAAGTATCTGATGAAGAGAGGAACAAAGTAACACTGCCAAACCTTGCCTTTCACGTACATTATATGGTGTATGCCCACTCCCATGTTTCCCACAACAGCTAAGTACCTACGTATGACGTACGGTGGTGGTTTTCCTATGAGAAAATTTATTTTGCCAGGCGTGTATACTAAATAATATATGGAGAAAAGCTAGGCATAAAAATATTGGAAGTGGAACCACCACTAAAAAAGTCACTTCAGTTAATGAGGGATTTGTAACAATTCCTTCTGATGCCCAACTCACAAAGAATTCAAATGGTAGCTTTAAATCGCAAGGGCTGAACTCAACTTTTACCGTAATACCCTAGAGATAAACTTGATACTAATGATTTTCCAGGTATTTGTTCAGATGTATGATAGATTGACATTCATCATACAGCCGTTAAAAGAAATTCTCAATCTCATCCCCTTGATTGGGTATGGAAAGTATTGAGAAGGAATATTCTCAGATATTTTATGATCATGAAAAAAAAAGAGGTATCAATTGTTTTTGTTCAATATATATCCGAGAAGATTCTTTTTCAATATGAATCAGGTGTGTTGGCCAACATAATCTTGAGACAAGTCACCCTCACTAGATAATTTGAAACTACACAAACATGTAACAAATTATAGGGAATTGAACAGTTCAAAAAGTATTTATTTACAGTAATCATTATAGAGACCATTCGATGAATCAAGATTTAGTTTCAAAGATCTTTCATCTTCAACACGATGATCATTAACCCAAAACCGCTCTGAACCGTGAAATACTTTGGTAACAATAGGATATCTACAAACACACACAGATAATTCCTGAAGAATATCCCGAAAGGTACAAGGTATCCCACATAACATGGGCCACCCCTTATCTAGTAAACTAGAATAGATACAAAAAAATTCTAGAATGCTGCTAATATACCGTAAATGGCAGTAACCACGCAGTCAATGTCTGTCATGGTTCACATGTTTATCCTAATTCGATAAACTTTACAGAGGGCTGCTTGGAATAGATCCATCATCCATATTCATATTCATGACTAGTGTGATGAAGATGACAAACAGACTTTTGGATCTAAGTGAAAACTGCGCATTGAAAAATTGGCCAACAATGGTGTCACAGGGCCTTTGAAGTTTGACTATTGTTCGAAGAAGAGCGTGAATAAATCCCAAAGGGAGTCGCAGACCCATGCAATTGAACATCATTGAACTTATTTCGTCGGTCCTCAAACAAATATGACATTAAATTGAGGGTGGTCCCGGTCCCTTCTGAAATTCCGAGAGACAATGATCAGTTTTAGAATTAAACATCAATTTTGGCAAATTCAAGAGGTCTAAATTTCGATCTGGGATGAAGGGAACATACAGAATGTTTTGATTCATAATGAAAAACGCTCATTAATTCAAGAGTGTTTTGAAATTTGACGATTTATTAAAGCAGGTCATGAATTCTCAGACTCATGTTATCTTCTTGAGCTCGTCTTTCTGAGCTCTATTCAGAAAATGATCGGTTCGCAAAATACGTCATCACTTTTGACTAATTCTAATTTTCTAAAAATTGACGAAATATCAAGATAACATATAGAATTTGTTGATTTATGACGAAAACTGCGCATCGGAAACTTGATTCTCAAAGTTTTTATAGGGCTTTGAAATTTGGCTATTTATTGAAGACGATTATGGATCAGTCAGGAGATCTCAGACTCGTTATATCATATTATTTCGTTGGCCTGGTCTTCCTGAGCTCTATCCAAGGACATAATCAAATTTGGGGTATTCCATTTGAAAAAAAATTATAGTATATGTCACAGGCATATGGATCATCCTGTATGGTTGTCATCTAAAAAATAAAGTTCATATTATGACTATAAACATCCTCAATTCTCATTTTTTTTGTATATTTCCGGATAAGGGGGTGGCCCAAGTTATGTGGGATACCCTGTCCTAAAGTTAGCTAATCTTTGTTTCCTACTGAGGAGGGCAACTTAATTGCCGAAATACATATTCAGGCTTTTCCAAACATGAATGTGGTTTTTGAGTACATATTGTATTTTATTGACAATGAGAAAACTCAAGAACTTGATTAGGTAACATTAATGACTTGATTGTAATAATATGTCCATTTAGAAAGAAACCGATTTTTTAACCTTGAGATTGTTATGATTCAGTTTTATTGAGAAAGTGTATTTTTTGTATTCATAGAAGTATGACGACCTTCACCAATATTATGCCACATGTATGTTTCATAACATTGAAAATGGTGTGCTTCAAAATGGGAAAACAATATAAATTATCTCACAATTGCGTGTTTATCAGTATTATTGGTCATTATACAGGCCTCGAGGCCTCATATACCAGGTGTCCACGTAGTGTGGAAAAGCTCTATAGCTCCATTGCAATCAGAGATAGACAAGGATGTTTTTTGATCGTGGAGAGACATGAATTACGATTTTTTCACATTTTTTTATTTGTCCTTGTCTACACAACCATGCCAAGTTAATCAGAATTATTTTTACACAGATGTAAGTCTGCAGTCCTTTGCTTTGATGATCACCATTCAAAATTATGCATGAACTTTGATGATACCTCGACTATTGCCTCAATAGATTCATAATTGAGTTGTATATTTTTTACGATTATGTCGAAACTACTACCCCCAAAGGGATATATTTCTCATTTTTCGTATTGCTCACAAAGTGTGAGTAAATATATTGAATCGTTGACGTGGCTGGCGAATTCTCTGAAAAATCATTGACCTTCCAATAGCAAATTTCTTCCAGTTGAAGTCTCCACCCTGTATATAGGGTGTTCTATTTAAAATTCATACAATTTTTGCTGTTCACTATATGTTTTATGAGATATTGGAAACGTATTTTTTGATTCACGAAGGAATTTTAATTAATTTGGTAATCTAGCATTGTATTTTCATCAACGATAGGGATTACATTTCTTGGTATCAAAAGAGCAAAAATGTCGTCAACATATTTTAGCCGAAATCTTGGGAAATATTGGATTTATTTTTCAACATCATTTTCGAAACCTACTCATGAACAAGTTGGTAACAAATTTGTCAATAGATCAATGTAAATATTCTGCCATTCAAAAATATATGCAACTACCTTTTATAATAGAGAAATTCAGTAAAACAATATCGATATTCAGGGTAAGTGAAGAGTATGGAAATGATCAAATACCTTGGAAACCGTTGATCAGATGCAATGCAAATTTTTTCCTCCGTATCAATCTTTTCAAATTTCAACAGGAACCAATTTGCATGCATTTACTAATTATAATAAATCATCAATTATTCTCAATGCAAATTCAAATTTGATTAGTGACACCGCTGCATGGAAATCATGACTTGAAAGATGCATACATTGAAAAAATCGTTGTTCAAAATCTATCATTAAAAACCAGTCTATACAGTGAGGACGTAAAAAGCCCCCCCTCCCCCTTCAACCTTTGAACCGAACAAGCTAGCGAGGTCGGGTGAAATTCAGGCAAAAAGGTACCTCTTTACTACTATTTGGTATGAAAACGGTTGTGGTCACGTGACATCGTGTCAAGTGGACACCATCAATTTTTTTCGAATATATAGAGGGGTCATGTGGTACCTTGTTTTGAAGGCCTTTCGATTCTCTATCCAACACCGCTTTTTTTGTACAAATCGGCCAAGCCGTTTCAAAATGACAAGCGTTCAAAATGTACCTCGAAAACAGTTAATCACGTTCGGATTGAATTCCAAAACTGATTTTTTCGTGTCAATAAGTGAACGTGATTAACTGTTTTCGAGGTACATTTCGAACGCTTGTCATTTTGAAACGGCTCGACCGATTTGCACAAACGAAGCGAAGTTGGATAGAGAATCGAAAGGCCTTGAAAATAAGGTACCACGTGAACCTTCATATTTTAAAAAAAAGTTGATGGTGCCCACTTGACACTAGGTCACGTGACACGTGACCACAACCAGTTTCATGCCAAATAGTAGTGAAAGAGGTACCTTTTTGCCTGAATTTTACCCGACCTCGCTAGCTTGTTCCGTTCAAAGGTTAAAGGAGGGGGACTTTTTACGTCCCACTGTATAGACTGGTTGTCAATGATAGATTCTGAACAACGATTTTTTCAATGTATGCATCTTTCAAGTCATGATTTCCATAGGTTTTCAAATTGTTCTAGACAATCATCTAATTCTGCTCGCATGCAGCGGTGTCACTAATCAAATTTGAATTTGTATTGAAAATAATTGATTCATCATAATTAGTAAATGCATGCAAATTGGTGGGGGAGCACTTTTTACGTCCTCACTGTATAACACCTTACATTTATTCTAGTAATTCAGGAGTATGGGATAGGTCCTTATTGTGATTTTTTCAAATTTCAGATACGCCTAGGCACATTTATTACCTCCATACTCTCTCATGGATGATGAATATGTTCGGAATATTCTTCATACTTGCTGCTCATGAACACTACTCTATAGATGTTTTTGTAGCCTTTTATATCAGCAGCCGTTTGTTTCTTTATTACCATACACTGTCCAACAATCAGGCACTCATGCAAAGAGACTCCACCAGGACTAGAGTTTGGTTTCCGTTATTCTCGTACTTTGAGTCGAGTGTAGAAGGAATAGTACCCAATCAGTACGAAACACCAAATGAAATTGTATCAAACATATGTAATTTCCTCAAAGGAATATTTAATGATGTTAGAGATCATTTAATTTCAGCTGTGAAAAGTAGTACTGCTACTAATGAAGTTATCGAGTCTGTAAGTAGAACCATAGTGGAAAATGCTAAAGACAAATAATCAATAATACCATTTCAATTGTCTTGTACTGATTTTTATACAATTATGCTCTGGGTTTCTCTTATTCTGAAAATTGCTCGAAATATTGTGGGGCATATTTTTGTTGTTCATTAGTTAGTGTTTGTTAAATAACCAAAGACTTCTTGAAAGCTCTTCCATTATTTATTATGTTCATCTTTGTTGCTTCCAAACTATGAAGTGATATATTTCTGTTTGGTTTTGAGTTCAAGTTTTCTTGTGATAGGGACCACGTCTTTCGGAGTTGATGACTTATTTATTGAAATCACAAGGGTTAATATTAGGTTTTGTTATGTACATAAGATGAAATATTTATATGTCCATTTTTAGAGTTCAATTTTTGTAAATGTTAATATTTGTAAATAATAATTTATTACATTAAATTCTTGTTTTCTATACATTCTGGTGGCAATCTGATAGTGTTTTTAATGAGTTAAAAAAAAAGTAAACGAAGTGGTGGCATCAAGGGGCTGAGAATGTGCAATACAGAAATATTTCTTTTTTGCCTTCTAAAAACAACTTTCGTTGTTTCCTCTCAACTGATAGCATTGCTGAGGCCAGTAAGAACTACTTACAACTGGATATTTTCTAAATTTATATTTTCCAGTGTTTTCATAATGAAGAGAATCTCCTAATAGTCCAAGAGCCGGCTGCAAATTTCGACAGTCATCTGATAATGATATGATATAATATGTCCCAACGGCATCGTAATTTATCAAAAGGCATTGTATTTTGTCGAAAGGCACCTGTGCCAATCATTAACCTGAGCAAAATGATTTGATAACTGTTGAGTTAGGATTCTGAAATTTGCAAGAGCGAAAGGTATACTGAAAATACACACTATACCCCAGTCTTTAGTGAAATACACTGCTCGCCAAAAGCCATGGAACCACCTACAATTCCGGAAAATGATATTAGGAGGCAAGGTAGGGTAAAAATCACTTCGGATTCCTAATCCGGACGCCCAGTTCACTGATTTTTTATAATTTTCTAGAACATTTTTCAGTTCCGAAAAATTAAATTTTGACTCACTTTGTATGGAAGTACTTCCGTATCTTACGTGATTGACATGATCTTCAGCCCCTCCTTTTCTTCTGCAAATTGCAGTTCCCTACTTCTTTCATGAAAACTCAGACAATTTTTGATTTTTCAGGACAGAACATTTTTTCAGGAAAAATATGAATAGTTAGTGAATTGGACTTCCTGATTTGGAATTCGAAGGAATTTTCAACCTATCTTGCAGTGTATATAAGTGAAGATGACACCAGTTGGTTATAGTGTGCATTCTCATTATATCTCCTGCTCCTGCAAAGTTCAGAATACTAACTGAACAATTACGAAAGATACATATATGTTTCTATTAGAAGTGAGTCACACTGTATATAGATAAGAGATAAGAATTATGCCATTCGATGCCAATTGAATAATAGATCTCAAGTGCCACCCCCTAATCTGAGTCAACTAACTTAGTGGCAGAGCGTCAATATTCGTGAAAATATTTCGCCCCTGTTGAAAGATAATATCAGATGGAGTTCTACATCTCGCCTAAAATGTTGGACCACTTTCGAAAAACTGAGTTTCATTTCTGACGATATTTTCAAAAACAATTAGTAAATGTCATTTAGTCTCAGTTTTGTACAGTTGCTCAAAACTCATTGAATATAAGTATTCTTTTTGAATCCAGAATAAGTCTCATTCTAAAAATAGGGACACTTCCAGAGGTTTTTCTCTCAGGAAGGTGTCTTCAATACAAAGGCTCAACCAAATATCTTCGAGTCACAATCGACTCCAAGTTGACCTGGAGTGAGCATATAGGTATCGCACCAAGAAGGCTATTTGCTGCTACTAGCATGCAGAAGAGCCTTCGGGAAAACGTGGGGCCTATCACCTAAGACCCTTCACTGGATATACACGGCAATTATTCGCCCAACACTAACGTACGGGTCCATCCAGTGGACCAGTACTAAAAAGAGCAAAACCAGACATGAACTGAATAGAGTTCAGTGACTGGCTTGCTTAGGAATGACAGGTGCTATGAGAACAGCACCTACTAGGGCCCTTGAGGTTCTACTAGGTCTGCCCTCTCTACATCTGATTGTAGAGCATGAAGCCTACAGACTCAAAGGTGCAAACCAATGGATCGAAAAGGCAGACTATGGACACTCCCTAATATGGAACAAGGCCGAAGAAAGCTGTCCCATTCTGCTGATGGAAAGGGACAGCACTCTGTCAGTTCTGAATTTCAGTAAAGCTCCGCATGTCATTTTTCCTGCAAGAGAGGAATGGACTGGCAATACACCAGGTTTGCTTCCTGTCAACGAATCAACCTGGTTCACGGATGGCTCAAGGTTTGGTGGCGGGTCTGGTGCAGGAGTATATGAAGGAGGAACAGGGAAAGGAATCTCAGTACCTCTTGGCAAATACGCTTCAGTGTTCCAGGCCGAAGTGTTTGCAATTCTGACGTGTCCAAGAAAATTTTCGGCAGAAGTGGACGTGGACCAGTCACCATATGCTCGGACAGCAAAGCTGCTATGATGGCATTGAGATCCAATAGGATCACAACTAAATTGGTGTCCGAGTGTAGAAGTGACTTGGAAAATATGGCAAAAACTAGGAAAGTCAGCCTCATGTGGGTTCCAGGACACTCTGGTATCCCGGGGAACGAGGAGGCAGAGAGACTAGCCAAGATCTGTTCAGGAACGACACCCATTGGACCAGAACCGATATTGGGAATACCCAATGGTACGGCTATGTCCTTCATGAAGGAAATGCTACAGAGGCAGTTCCTTGAAACATGGCGGGACACACCAGGAATGAGACAACAAAGCTCCATATAAAGGAACCTTCAAAAAGGCTCACGAGAGAGATCCTGTCACTTAATAGAAGGGATCTCAAGATGGTAGTTGGGCTCTTTCTGGGCACAACCACCTCAACAGGCACCTAGAACTCATAGGGATCAAAGATGATCCCATGTGTAGATGGTGCTTGGAGGATGATGAAACATCATCACACATACTCACTGAATGCCCCGCGCTGGTGCATCAGAGGAAAGCTGCCTTTGGGAGCATTGTACTGCACCCAAAGGATGTGAAAGCGACTCAGCTGAGGAAGGTGCTGAATTTCGTCAAAGAAATCGGCATGCCCAGCTGATTCACAGGACAAGTGGGCGCACAATGGGCCCGACTGAAGAGGCCTGAGTGCAGGGGTCTACGCACCCGCTCACCTGTGCAGAGAAGAAGAAGAAGAAGTCTCTTTTTATCCACGCGTATGTCTTTTCGCTGTCCACGCTGTTCATCTAGTCTCAATCAGGATTCGCAAATGTTCTACTGTACTATTCAGCCAGCTGTTCGTGGCATTAGGTTAGAAATTGGTTATCGAAGGTACTTATAGAGTGAAAATGTCACAGCACAGAGGACCATATTTCGTCAGCAATTCAGACCAGTCCTTCTGTTTGATTGCATGAACTTCTTACTTTCTTATTCATTCGTCGCCCTGCACTTTTTTGTGCATTGTACCGGGTGAATAACTAAGAACGGCTGTCGGCCATATCTCAGCAACGAATAATGATACAAGTTTACGATGTAATAGAGTAACTGAATCAAAAGACCAACGAAAACCGCAACATGATAGCTTTCCGCCAACGGAAGATATTAACTATCAAGGGAAAAAGATAGATATGACAGCCGTTTTTAGTTGCTCACCCGGTACAACAGCATGCTTGAAAAAACAAATATCAGAAAAACTATTTCAATCCTACGAAAACAAATAAAAAATGTGAGGTTGTTCCAGAGAACGTATGACATGAATTGTTTCTACAAGAATGACAGTGATGCTCGCGCTGTAATGATATACTGTGACGGAACTATGATGAAAATATTGATAGTAATACACCTTGGTAGTGAATATTATTACCACGGAATCTGGGTAATAAGGTACTAACGATAATATTTATTACCATCTTAGTGGAAATAAACCAGAGTATAACAAATAAAATATATTCAAAATGATATTACACAAAAATAAAGAACATTTAGGTAACATATAACATTTTTCAAGATAAAACTAATGAATGTAAGTACCCACTAGAGATAATTATCATACCTTAAAAATTATCACGCGTATAAGTAAGGCACTACAAAATTACATTACTTTTATAATATACATTATGTTTGCGTAGAATATAAAATCGTCAAAAATAATAATTGTACTATGATTATTAGTCATTTTGTGAATTCAACCTCGTTGTTTCAATTCAAAAAGTGCACTGAAATATTTCATACTTTTCATAGCTATTTCAGTAATTGGTAACAAATATGCTATATTTCATTCCATCCCATTGATGACTCTATGAGTAAATCTTCCTGGAATTATCGAGATACTTAATTTCACCAACAAACTACTAATGAAACTATGTAACTTGTTTCAGAACTTCCATGAATAATGAAAAATATCATACAACTAAATAATAACTCTACTTGGTTCCTGAATAAATTCACGTACTATTCTTCAGGAATTTTGTTCAAAACTATAAGTTTTATAAAGTTTATCATTGTGGAAGCAATATAAACTATGTATAGAATGAAATGATATACAATTTCGAATAGAAATCAAGCGAGCAACGCGGTTAGAAAGATTGTGGTATTTGTCAAAAAAATTGTTTTTTATATCTTCATTAATTTTCATTTTCATATCATCAAAAACAAATCGAAATTTATAGGCGAGTCTGGAACACCCATTATACCTAGACCAAATCGAGTGGTTCGAAAATTCTGAATGGAAAATTTGGGAGAATTCTTCATTTCGAATCTTATTGAAGTGACATCTCTATATCCCCACAGAATTCATAATCTAGAACCTAGATATAATTATGCCAACCACACAAGAATCTCATTAAGATCGAACGCATGAAAACGCTTCTGCGCAAGGATCCAAACTGTCAATAATGACATAATTTTATGTCACGTTGTCCAGAGTAGAAAATATGAATGCCATAACTCTCATAGCATTAGCGGTCTGGATATAGCAGATATACCGTGCTTTCATTAGAAAACCCTACATAGGCAAAGTAGTCGGTCGTGGTCGGGGCTAGCAGCTACGTTGTAGTGAGCGAAGGGCATGGCTCGCTGTCTCCCTCCCATCAAATAACGATATCACACGAGGTTATGTCATATGTAGTGGGTGAACGTGAAAGCACGAAATGTTGGCGAATTTATTGACAAACCAAGTGTTGAATAACCAACGGTTACGATATACAGGGTGTAATTTGATTGATGGCCGAAAATATAGGATGTGGAGCTAATTTTGAGATGAAAAGTTCATATAAACATATGCCATAAACCTCACAAGTTCTAAGCTATAGGGTGTTGAAATTTCATGTTCATGAAATTTGACATGCACCTATTAATCACTAATAGGCATTTTTTGATGCAGGAGATTTTTCAATATGTCTACCATTGGCGTCCGTATGGGAGGTAAAATGAAGATTTTTCTAAAGAAATATGGTACGTCCTTGTTTTTTCCAATAATAAAAATTATGTTTGAAATCCTCAGTTATTTTGTAATAATTTGACTATGAATTTCATCCGTCCGACGCTTCGTGAAAAAATAAAAATCATTTTCGCAGATTCAATCATTTGAATTCACTTGAATAAAAATTAGACAAAAATACATCTAACATACAAACTACCACATGGTACTTAGTAGGTGCATGTCAAATTTCATGAAAATATCTATACCTTTTGAACCTCAATTTCAGAATCGGTAAGTTATATTTCGGAAAAGGTAAACTCGGTTTCAGTAATGGTTAATTCATTCCAGAATCGGTGAGTTGAATTTCCGAAAATGTCCATTCAATTTCAGAAATGGTAAGTTGAATTCCAGAATTGGTTAGTTCAATTTCAGAAAGAGAAGTTCAACTTGAAATAGATTCCTGATTACACATGTTATACACACAGTATATAACATAAGCGGACGGCGGTTGGTGATTACGAGTATGATGAATCACGGAATGCAGAACGGTTGAAGATAGGAGATTAGTAATTAGTCAGTATATTACAGTCAGCCAAGTGACAAGGTTGTAAGGTGTTGGGGTCATTAAAGGTGGTGTTGTATTGTTTGTGTGTGCCTCATTACTCGCTCTTTACATCAGAAGTGGTGAAAAAGAATTCTGCCTACCTAAAGTTGTTATGGGTCGTCCAACGAAGAGACGTAGCTGCCAATCACCCAGTTCGTCGGAATCAACTACCTCGGATTCGACCTCATCAAGAAGTAGATCGAATAGCAGTGAAAATGAGTCACTGTATGAATCTTAGTTCATAGGAGGATGAGCGTGCGTTTAAAATGGGCATCCTACAGATAACATAGTGGTAGTTCTGGATAATGCACCTGCACATTCAAGAATATATAGAGGAGATTTGCATGAAGGATGGAGTTCAAGATGTTCTTATTTGCAGATTGGCACATTACAGCCCCGAATGTTGAACCCAATAATTGAACATATTATACCTTCAAGTCAGAAGTGAAGAGCTTCTTGCAAGAGCATTACCAAAAAGTGTCTTGGTCGGAAAATCCAAACAGATTGCTAAACCAAATTAAATTCAGACTGTGATGTCATGAAGAATGTTCAGGTCATTCAATGAGAACATATACCTCAAAAGAGTTTGAATTCTTTCAAATCATGTGCAACGCCGCTATCCTTCTGCGATTCGAATGGAAGACATATCGATATAGAATAATTAAAAATTAAGTTTAGTAAGTATATGTTATTTGATGGTTTTTAAAAATTTAAATATACTAAACATGGTTTGTTCTTTCGCATGCAACTAGAAATATGTCAAACAAATATAAGTATTTATTTTCTGAAATACAACTTACCATTTCTGAAATTGAATGGACTTTTTCTAAATTTCAACTCACCGACTCTGAAATTGAGTTTCCCATTCCTGAAATCGAACTAACCAATTTCGAAATCGAGTTTACCTTCTCCGAAATAAAATCTACAGATTCCGGAATTGAAGTTGAAAAGGTATAGTTGAGAGGTTTAGTGCATATATTCATATGAACTTTTCTTCCTAAAATGAGCTAAGCAACGTCATCCTATATTTTCAGCCATAAATTGAATTACACCCTTCTTAATAATTTTTCAAATGTAGCAAAATTAAGGTAATAACAATTTCAATGACTACTGAATCCATGATTTGAATTACTAGTGTACAATTTATATAATTTCAAAGTATTCTCAACAATTCAATTTAAATCGTTATCCATTGAAAATTCCAGGAAAATTATGAATGATTCAAGTGTCAATAAAAAAAAATCTTTATAAAATTTCAAGATATACCAAATTATTTCTTCGCTAACATAATGGAAGACCTATTTTCTGACCATGAATTTGCAGTTGAAGATGAGATTGCAAGAAGTGATGAACTAATGTAACCTGTTTTGGATATGCTATGACATTGACACTTCCATTCAATATACCATTAAAAAAAACATACAAACACTGAAATGTTGAGGGGCTCTTGCATTTCATATGCGTTATGGAAATTATATCCATACAAATTTACAAAAACATAGACACTCGCGGTTTGAAGAACCGGGCAAGACTTTACCAGAAATTAAGATAATTTGCACTTCATATCACATCTCCCACATTAGTAGATTCTGAGCAAGATGTGTTAATTATTGTGAGTTTACATAATTGAACACTAGTTATTCTTGATTTTGGTTACTCTGCATTACCATTTGTTGGGCTTCACCTGGAAGTTTGTCTGGATCTGATAAAATCTCCGTCTTTTTACATAGGTACCTCAATGAATTGAGAACCACTGAAATAATACACAGTTAATATAAGAATGATGAAGCGCACTGCAAAACTTACCAGGTCTAAGGTCTACTAGCGTACAGTGCTGCTCAACCCAAAGCATCGTGGATGTATACAGATCATGTAAGCTGGTACATGACACGAAGTTGTTGAATGAATTCAAAAGAGGCTTAAAAATTAGGCTAAACTGTGATAGCGTTAAGAAAAATATTTGTAAAACGATGAAATATATTAATATAATTCCACCTGGCATTTGTGATAACATTCAAGATCAGCTAGTTCAGCAAAGGTAAGGAAACCTTGCACTTTATTATACTTTCTTTGCATATATTTTGTATGTGGTGCCAATTTTTTTGAATTTTTGACTGAACCAAACCAGCAGCGTCTTATAAGTTATAAATATGGTCTGAATGGTGAAGGAGCCGTATATATTTTTCATTTCTAAGTCAAATTTCATCCCACAAGAAAAATGAATAATATGTCAAATCTTTCTTTAAAACTTCACACACAAATAATAATATAGAATCAGGGGACTTTCCCATTCACTCCATACATTGCTAATATTTCTAATGAAGGATACAATCCAAAATTTCCAGTTATCCATAGTACGGGTTCTCACGTATTCATCAAACAGTTCCTGCATTTTACTGTCTTTCCTCCTGGAAACTGGAGCACCGGTCACAGGTAACATAGACTGACAATTGCTAGAATGTAAAGAATGAAATATTGATTTATAGCTATTCATCGTACGCACTGTATTCATAGCTATAAATCAATATAGCGCACGTAAAGTGTCTCACTTTAAACGCCTGCCCCCTCTATATCTCAGCTCATTTTTCATATTTTTTAAAGCAAGACTGAATGCCCAGTTCTTTACATTTGATGCAGACTTTATGAAAGACACTGTATATCAAGCGAGCAAAGGTATGTATCTCCTGCCGCGTCTGACGTTTTAAACACACCTTGGAGGCAATGAACTACTCATTAGTGATAGCGAGCATGGAAAGAAGATCAAACAAACCTTATCGATGTATTCAAAGATTCAATTTGTTGCCGTAGTGAATCCATTTCATCTTTGAGCTGGTTTCTTTCTGCCCTCAACTGGATTATGTAATCCGCACCTTTTTGAAGCAGAGCTGCCTTACTTAACTGAAAAAAAAGTAGTATAGATCTCGAGCAGCTTCTACTGTGAGATTCCCACGTCAAGTTCCTTTTCTTGTACCGGGTGAACAACTAAGAACGTCTGTCATATCTACCATTCTTCCAACTTTGATAGTTGATATCTTCCGTTGGCGAAAAGCTATCATGTTGCGGTTTTCGTTGGTCTGTTGAGAATTAGTTTCTCTATTATATCATGTAATGATATGCATACCATCAGATTTATTCTCTCTCAAACTTGTATCATTATTCGTTGCTGAGATATGGCCGAAAGTCATTCTTAGTTGTTCACCGGGTACTCAAAATGATCGCAAATATGAACTCAGAAGTAGTAGTTCTACTTAGTAACAACTTAAATATTATCACTGATACGAACGACATCGACAACGACATAATAGGGATTCCCTTTCGTGCAATAAAAAAGATTGAAAACATTAATAAAATTCTGTGACAGGGAAAAATACATCAATATTGAGAAGATATTACATTATATCAAAATCAGAAACTTATAAACGTGAAATTTGAAGTTACATGAAGTTATTTAACAGGAATTCCACGTTGCAGGCATTTTTTTGTCGGCATTTTCATCATTATATTGGAGTAATCAAATATCTGTCTGTCTTATTCTGTGATTTGATTTTAAAAAATTGCGAACTCAGTGGTTGTTTAGTAATGACACAAATGAGTTGTAGACAGTTTTCTGTATAGCAGCAACAATGACAAGGCAGACAAAATCCAGATATAAGATGAGTGTTTTTGGAATTTTATTTTATTGTCTTTGTCTATTGTTTTCAATTGGGGCTGGGGCGGCATTGTACCCACGCGACCCTGGGCAGCAGCCCCAACAAAAGCCTCCAAGTAGATCCCCCTCTGACTATTACATGACAATACCGTTGGGACATTTCACTATTATGTGTTTTGTAGACAAAATGAGAAGCATAATTATGGAACATTAACTGCAATGGGAAGGCGTTTCCATCTACAATAAGATCTCTGAACATATGAAAGATTTTGGTATTGGTAAGTGTGGATGGTGACAGATCCACTGCGGACTGCGATATCTTCTTCTGCTATCTCAAGGTTTTCTTGTTTATAGCAGCCTCTCAAGCTTCAATTCTTTACGGATTTTGAGGATATCTGTTTGTGGTATTTCTTCCACGGTCAGCTGGTTTGCTCCCAGTATATTCAATATTTTGTGGTGTAAAGCATAACACTCCAGCAAGATCTGGTGGGGTGTTTCTGAATGTTCTCCGCGGAATTTACAGATGCTGTTCTCCTCTAAGCCTAGCTTCCTTAGATATCTACCATTATCGTTCATTTTATGAACTACTGTGGTAATGACTTTGAGTTTCTCTCTATTTGAAACCATTGCATTCCACTTTGGCCTCTTCCTAGTTGAAAATACGCCAGTCGGGCAACCAGCTACTCCCATTTCCCCTGAATTGGATCTTGTTTTGGAGTGTTTCTTTCCTTGCCCGGTAGCGTTCGGCGTGTGCGTTTCATTTCGCGGACGTTGAACGCCTTGTGGAGTATAAATGCTGAGATGCGTTTACGTTGGATCAAGTTCGCACCAGATAGCGGTCAAGAAGCTCTGTACTGATGAGAGCCAACATCTCGAAACCGGTCTGCAGGTAGTCATGTGTTCCTGAACCACTTAGGCGTTTAGGAAGGAAATACTTGCGATTTTATTTGTCTTTACGAATTATTCCATAGATTGCGGAAGGATGTAAATCAATGTTCTGCGTGGCATATAACCAGGAAAGTAGTTGTTTTTCTCTCTTTATCTACCATTTTCGTTCATTTTATGAACTATTGTGGTAATGACTGAGTTTCTCTCTATATGTATTAGAAATCCTGTTATTGCTTTGAGACTAAATTTGCTGAGGTTGATCAGTACCTTCGATCTTGCTGGGTTGGAATTGAAAGACAGCAAACAAACTATTTGGAATGTCACTTGGAGCAATCTTCATGAAAAAATTTAGGTGTTTTCATAAACACATTTTCTAAAACTGCATTTTTGCATATTAAGTACAGAAATGATTTATCAGTGATCATAATCATTTTTTAATTTGTATGTTGTATAAGTTAATGATAATAATAATTGTTTTTACATATCGTGAGACGATATTGCTCTATTGTGCAAAAATTCGACGTGCAAAATCTATCTATCTATCTATCTATCTATCTATCTATCTATCTATCTATCTATCTATCTATCTATCTATCTATCTATCTATCTATCTATCTATCTATCTATCTATCTATCTATCTATCTATCTATCTATCAGTGATACCATGTACTTGATGAAACCTCATAAAACCTATATTTCTCTAGGTTCATTTAAAAACTTGTATACGTTGATTCTTGTAAAAAATCTATGCTTGGATAACTCACTTTAGCATTGGGGTTTTGATTCAGGTGAGGTATGAGAGAATGGAGCATATCGAATCCATTCTTGATATTATATCGTCGTTTCTGTTCGGCGTGTATGTGCACCACTCTCCTGTCTCTCTGGCCTGACGATTCTGCACTAGGTGATCCTAATGAACTTTGTGATGATGTAGGTGAATTCAAATTGGGGGAGAGCGGGTCCATTATGGGGCTATTCGAATTGCTGTAGCCCTGTAGCAACTGTGTAAAAAAAGGAATTTAATTCAACATACAGTAATTAAAACATGAAGCGAGTAATGACTGATATCGATGAGGTTTTGCACCAAATAAATTCCCGAAAAAAAACAACATTTTGGGTATGTTTTTGGAATTTATTATTCAACTACAGTCTCCATAAGTTCAATGTATAACAAGATTTGATTGCTACCAGCGACTGAGGTCTTACATGACATACAGATAAGAGCACAAAAAATGGCCAGTGCTGTAACTTCTGAAGTATACCGAATCGCTTATTTATTGACAAGAAAATATTTGTTTTATCACTTACGGTTGAACCAGAAAAATAGAACACATTATATATATTTTTTTAATTTTTGAATTCACGGGATCACCTAACATACATTAGGGACTTTTTATAATAATATCGAAATATACAATAATGAATAGGACACATTTAAAGTTAGTTAGTTAGGGTTGCTGCCGGTTGCAGATGTGATAAAATGAACGATATTTCCAAATATACAGGTTACGAAAAATAAAAACGAAAAGTGTCAACTTACTGAATCACATGGAGAGGACTGTGTTGATTCGAGATTGCCATGAGCTGAAGAGATAACCAGGGTAGCGGGAGATGATTGGGATATGGAAGAACTAGACTCTTCTTTGATTCGCACGCGATTTGAAGAGATATCTTGTATACCTTGAGCTGCCTCTCTATTCTGGCCGAATAGCGTACTGGTATCTATAAAATACACAATTATCTCTATAATTAACGAAATGCGTCCTCTAATTCCTCAATACATTCATAATTTATTTCTATTAGTATCCGAGTATACATTTTTCATCTATGTTAGTGAACTGACACAAGAGTAAAGTACTCATAAATTCGTATTTAATCAAGTCACCTCATATATTGAACTGACCACATAAGTATGTAACTCAAAATCAAACATGGGTTCGCGATAGAAAATAACACCTCGCCCCACCTGACGGCAACAACTTGAACACTTCTGAGCGGTTTGTTTTGATGATATAACCAATAAGCACTAACAAAAAAACAAATTTGAACCAATGAAAACATAGTAAACATGCCGCGTTGACAGCTTTCGAGAACTCTGATAGGTGGCGTACACTTATTTTCTATCGCGAATAGACTTGCCGAAATTTTGCTGATTGTAAGTGTATTTATGTTGATCGAAATAATTAGGATATTTGTTTTCTATAGTGATTAGAGCGCTGAAGTCCATTTATACCTACTTCCGAATGTCTTGAAGAACCTTTATTATTTCTCCTAACTGAAATCAGCTGTTATTGCCATATCATTTGTTCATTTATTAATTACTTATTACCAACCACTTTTGTACAAGTGATATTGTTCCATACGAAATAAGAGTATGTTTCATTGGTTGAAATTTATCAGTTTTCACCCCATTCTGAACTTCTGTGATAAAAAAATATTCAACTGAACGTATATTTATACCTAGATATAAGAGACTTATTCCATGGGAATAGTATATGTATTTTGTTGGTATATATGTACCTACCAACTTGATATCGACCTCCATTGAGGTCCTTCAGCCTTATCATTCAATATTTCGAGAAGGAATAATTTTCTGATCAATTTATCGTACCTACCCTTTTACCCACTCGAGGAGACGCTATGCACTCTCATGCAAAAATCAAAGATAGAGAAAGATATATGGATGTACTCTTCCCAGGACTTGTGGAGGAAGGAAGATGCGAGGATCCTTAAGCGGAAAACATATTCTTGTCCTTGTCTGGCAAAACATATGATTTGCTTCAAAATCGTTTGTGGTTATGTTTGATTTTCACTGCTTGTCTAGTGCCCGTACTCTAATATACAAAAAACGTCAAAACATCAGTGTCAAGTATATTTAGGAACTCTAGTATGGGCTACTAGTGTTTGTTTATTCATTCTGAGAACATTGATGACTGGAAATATGTTTTCCTCAGTGCATTAGATTACCAAAATGCTTAAATTTCAAACAAATTTTTGGTCCGTCAACGTTGATATCTGAAATGTTCTTCCCTTTCTTCAATAGTGCGATATTGAACCTACAGTTGAATAATATGGAGTGAGATGAACTTGCAACTATACTGTAGCATGCTAGTTTTTATAAGAACCATAATTTCAAGAAATATTGCAGTTTCAATCTCAAAATTAACATGTTTTCTTCAGAGAATGCAAATCAGTCAATGATCCATTTCAATCAACTGTAATAAAGTTCAATTTATTGTGTTATTTACATTGAATTCAAATAATTGAAAAAAAATATCCATTTGCATTTAGACAATTCAGTTCTAAATGGAAGAAGATACATATTGAGGAATCATATGAAGTAGGATACCATGTAATGTTAAAGTTATAGTGGAAATCTTACTATTTGTCAGCAACTGAGTTAATATGACACTGGTTTGTGGCGTGATTAATGATGGATCACTCACAGCCGAAATGAGAGGAGGTCTCTTGATTGGTTCTCTAGTGGTTGATCTCGATCTTCCTCTTCCTCTTGGCGCGCCTCTTCGACGGGGTTCTAATTTATCTGCGGTTTGCTGAAAAACATCATCTTCCAGTAAGTCAGATTAGATTCATTTTACCATGTCAATCACTGCCCACATACACTGCCTCTTTACGGGCAATGTTCTTAGTAAACATCTCACGAGAGACTTTGTAAATGTCTCATGGCATTTAGACCATTAGTGCACTAGCAAGCACTGTTGGAGATTGAATGTGTCATTATTTTTTATTATACATATTGCAGAAATGAAAGATAACACAGTAATTAATTGTATACATCTATGCTATAATTATTTGACAGTTTTTGGAGTGACGTCAGGAATAAGTAGAAAACGAAAATGGTATGTTTTTCAATACATTGAAAAAATGAACATAGTCAATCAACTATAGTAATTTCAAACCCAAGAGGCCAGCCGTAAACACTGTAGCATGCAGTAATCTCGCATCAAGAACGTGATAACCTAATTACTAATGTGGTTCTGCAAACGTTATATCCCTACTCTCGCCTACAGACATGGCGTTCATGGCGCTTTAACCAATAGAAAAGTGAATATATATATATACCATGTATGCAGATGATACAGTACTTTTATATGAAGGCGAGAATCCTTCAGATTTAGAAAATATGATAAATGAAGACTTGAAAATATTTGAAAAATGGCTCCAATCTAACCTTTTATCGATAAATACTAACAAAACAGAATATATGATTTTTCACCAAAAAAATAAACAAAAAATTCACGTCAACCTTAAAATAAAAAATGAACTCTTGAAACAAACTGACCAGATAAAATATCTTGGTATTTGGTTTGATGACAGGTTGAAGTGGGACAAACATATTGATGTTCTGACAAAAAAAATATCTCCAATTATTGGTGCATTGAGAAGATGTCCCAAACTTGATATTAAAATTGCAAACATGATTCTCTACTCTCATATACTGAGTCGTATCAACTATTTAATAAATGTTTGGGGATCTTGTTCAAAAAATAATTTCAATAAAATATCAACATTATATAGAAAATCGTTAAAAGTATTGTATCGTCTCCCATTTGATACACCAACCAATCAATTGTATGAAATAACAAATACGTATTCTTTAGATGAAATATATAGAATTGAAACTCTCAAAATATCATATAATATCATAAATAAAAAATTGAAGTCGAATATTATTTTGATACGGAATTCCGAAATTCATAATCATGAAACTAGACAATATAACTTGTTCCATCTTGACGCCGCTAGCTCCCTAATCGGACAAAAAAGATTCACTCATTCAGCCTTAACTGAATTCAATAAATTACCTGATGATATAAAAAATTGCAGAAATATAGGTATATTCAAAAATGAAGTAAAAAAACTGATTATTTCTCAGCGGACTGGATAAAATTAATCATGCCATTTTTTTATTTTTTTTTTATTTACAAATATTATTCTTTGTTTGCCAATTTACAGTTGTTGATATATTTTGAATGATGCTATGTTTACCTATAGGTATATAATTATGTACTTCCTTATACCAGAGCCTATTCTGTCTGGAAGTTATTTGTTCAATAAATAAATAAATAAATAAATAAATAAATAAAATAAATTTCAAATAAGATCACCTGTTGGCAATGGCGTGTTGACCATGGAAGCTAGGGAAGCACAGCTTCCCTTGCCCGAAAATCAGAATCATCTTCCAGAAGATTTTTATAATATAGTGGTTATGTAATAATTTGTATCCTCCTGATTCAGTGCTAAATGTTTCAACTCAGTTGTCATTTTAGAATAACCGATCACACTCTACGTACCGATGGAAGCTGTTATTTAAAAGCATTCAGAGTGGATATACTCACCTGTGGAAATTCGCGTTACACACGCGTATCCTGGATTTCTTATTGTATTAATTTTGTTGCTCTGTTGGATCTATTTTTACGTAACCAATATTTTGAATACATAATAGTACTTATCGATAACAACTGTCAGATGATCAATAGTGTATTTCTTTAATTTTTCAACCGTGTTACATTGAAATTACCGTTAAAGTTAATGCAAGATACAAAAGGTGGAAGCGGTGGACTGATAGCGTCAGTCAACAAGCGGAGGTATACCGGGTAGGATCATGCTAAAAGTTACTACTTTTTGCAGTCTTCAGTGTGCAAGGAAGTTGAAGAAATGCTTCAATGCTCTCGTGATTACGAGTTCCATCTGAAAATTGAGAATAACTGATATTTATTGTATTGTGAATTACTCTCAATTTGAAATAAAAATAAATCCAATTCCAAAAAATGTTGTGTTCAACATGTGCAAAAGCATTTTGTTGCACTCATGACTCATGATTGTAGCTCTTGCACTAGTTGCACAAATGACTATTCCATATTTTTGTTACTTCATTCAAAAAAAAATTGCTCTATCAACTATTGAAGGAAACACAAAAATGTTGTTATTATTGGAAATGGAACGAATTGTGTGTCTACTAGATTCATACTCTAAAGACAATTTCCCTGCTGTGCAGTTTTGGTTATATTTTGCTCCCAGCTTCCCCAGGTACGAAACTTACGATATGCCACTGTCTGTTAGTCAGTTCGTTCACCGCTGGCGTCTTGGATTTGGCTGACATAAGAGGTTTTGAACGTCTTGAACTTTTATCAAATTAAATATTTCAATGAGATTACTAGCAAAGCCACGTGCCGTTGAAAAAACATCTTGAAGATACATTCCGTTGGGCTCACAGTCTTCAAACGTGCCCAAACGATGCGCTGTTGCCCCAAGGTTTCGTATTTTACTTAGGTATTGTGGCCCTAACGAGCCATCACTTATTTTGTCACTCCAACCAGATGTGGCTACAACGAAAGGAGATCTGAATCAAACGAAATGTGGCTTGAACAATATGAAGGTGTACCGCAATGTCTTGTTAGAGAATATCTTTTTCAGTAAAATCGAGCTTTCATTTTGATGTGGCAACAGTGCATCGTTCGGATACGATTGGAGACTATGGGCTAAGCGAGATATTGCTTCAACATAATGTGGCTTCAACTATATGTGACCTGAGCGAAATGGGGCTTGAACGAGATTGGTTGTAACGAGATGCTCCTGTAAAAATGCGAGCCCCAAATATACATGCACATGATGATAATGACAGCTGTTTGTTATCAGCCATAATGAAACAAGTTTGGCTTCCACCACAATTTCTCCCATTCTGATTTTGTTCAGTTCGAAAATGCAAGCAGAAAATAAAGTGAAGAGGGCATGAGTAAAAAGTTTCAGATAAAACATCAGATAGAAAACTTTGCATTTTTCCAAACGACCAGGATGAGAAATGTGAATTTTCCCAAATCAACAAAAAGGGAATTATTTTACAAGTAGTGGTTGATTTGGATTTATTCAAATCGACATGTTCATTAGCCACACAAACTACCTCAATGCTTTTCATTTTTCAATGAAATAAACAACACCTGGAGATAATATCAGTAATCATACTACTAAAACTAGTCATGCAAAGAGCGGTGATGAAAGGAAATAATGGGATAGAAAGTTGGTGGTAGTGAATCTTCTGGATTTGACTTATCCAACTGAAAATTCTGATAAGACGAAATGATATGATCATAATTTATAACTTCAATAAATTATTGAATGTGCTATGGTTATGGATGAATTGTGTTAGAGTTTAAGCAAGTGTAACTCAAAGAACTTACAGCTACGGGTGCACTACTATATTGATAGATTGAAGGGTAAGATTGCATCATTTGTGGTTGTACCTGCGCTGGTGTGAACTTTATGTTTGAAGACGCTACTATTGAGAACTTGTATTCCTGCTTTTCGTCTTGTTGTGGCGTAGATACTAACTTGTACTGAACATCTTGTACTTGTGGCTGCTGCTTTGGTGGCTGTTGAGCTGAAATTCCTTGTGATGCATTCGACGCTAAATGGAAAATTAGAACAATAGTATTTCAAGGTGAGTAAATCCGAACAGTACCTATTGGAATTGGACGGCTTCTCATTCAGTTATAAAGATGGATTATATCAATGATCAAGAGAAATCATATTTTACCTAAACATGGAACAATTGATGAAATTGACGTTTTGCCACAGGTTGAAGGCATTTCATGAACAATCCGATAAAAAAATATTGGCTATATTCCAAATTCAACTGGTCAGTACTGACAGTAGATCCACTGAATCTGCTGAAAATCTGTGTTCCAGAATATTAAATCAAAAATACAGTGCTGTAATTCGGAACACGTTTTCATGGTTTTCATCAGTAGTCAGCAGCAGTTGATCAGCTGGTGAAATTTGTCAGTCTGTAGTTTCTCGTTTTTCTGAACTAGATATTTAGCCTCCTGCTTGATATAAATTTTGGAAATTTAATATTTAACCTGGAAGAGCAATCGCTTCTTGTAGCCTCCATAGTATCTACGATTATTGACGATGCCGATTCAAGCTCGAGTGATGAAAAATACTTGGACATTTTGTTGCCATTAATTTTCCATGATGCACCAGATTGGGAATTGAAAGATTCATGGAAAACATAATGATGATGAATTTAGGAGACATTCCAGGTTTATTTAGTTATTTATTTAGCCAATGCTGCTTCTTCTTTCGTTACCTCTACTACTTCATACTCCATATTATTCTCAGCTGATTATTTCAATAACAGGTGTTTTCTGTTTCTGACATTGAAAATAATATCACTAACAACAGAAATAAATGTTACATTCTTCTAAAATAATGACAGTTCACTGAAGCCCCACTACCTTTTGATACTCAGCAATTTCAGCAGAATGTTGAGTCGAAATATTTAGAATGAATTGTATATCTGCTCACAAGCATCTGTCACTTTCAGTGATTTTTTTTAATTCGGAATGAATAATCAGCAGATTCAGTACTGTCAGTTGAATTCGGAATATAGCCATTATAGGATAACATCTGTCTGTGACTGAAGTTTCTTTCAGGGTGTCCATGAACAGCAGGTCAACAAATCATTAGAATTTTAAACAAAAACAGTTTAATTTTCAATTGTTGTTCTATAAAAATGTGAAATCAGCAAGTATTACAAAAAAAAAGTAATCACTGGCGCAGAGGCAGTGGTGAGCGAGTACTGAACCACCAGTATTTCTTCAAGTACCTGTGCCAATGACTTCTCATAGATATTGCTTTTGAGTTAGTCAGTCTTTCTAGAAAATTCACTGATTATGTTGAAGCACTATACCTAATTTTCAATCGATATCTCATAAAATACTGGTTAAAGAAAATCTGGTAATGTGTGTTAACGGTGTGACCTACTCTTCACGAACAACCTGTATATGCTCCGTCTCAATGTATTTATGTATATGAATATAATGTGCTAATTACCAATTCGGTTATGTAAGCGTGAACATGATTATGGAAATGGTTCAGTGTTCAATGTTCTTCTTGACCTCACTTTATTGTTTGATTTTGTGACACTTCTGATACCTTTCATCAAATCAATAAGACTATCAACATCTTTATAAATTAATCGTCTTTAATATATGAGTAGGCTGAAATTTTTTTCATTGACAATATTTTTGATAAAATTAAGTATAGCTTTCTAATTCATTTAGAACGTTCATCATTGCCCAAGAGCCATAAAAAAAGAACTGACATTTTTTGAAGGATCAATCCTTCTTCAAGTCAACATTTTATAGTTTTGAACTATTTAGCTCTTTGTTGTCTTAATACTCATATGCCCCATTTATTTAACATCATTTTCAACGTCTTTAATGCTCGTTTCCACGAGCATCACGAATGATGTTTTTGTTAATACGAATTATGACGTTTCATGAAGTTGACTCGACGTCTGTCATAATTGATTGAACGATTGCTCGCCATTTGTCATGTGTTGACTACGTCACTCAACATCCACAAGATTAATTTTTTATGAATAGTATTGCTCTTCAGACCCTTTACTATTGTTCCTCAACAATTGTTTCCGCACTAGTTGCTGCGACTACTTCTTTTTATGTAATTTTTCCACCACTAAAATTAGGTCAGAACACGCTGAAAAGTTTCCATATCTTCATTTTACTTTTCTCCCTTTAAATCGTATAGTTTCTATTAATTTTGGAGTAGGACTGAAAATCATGGATTTCCATAGATTAGTTGATCCAGGAGCCCTGATAACAATAACCTGTACAGACATTAATGTAGATTTGTTAGTGAACAGTGATGGGCCATTTGAAAAAAATTATCAACAGGAAAACACTTTCGTATAGAAAATACAAATGGAAAATAAACTGAGAAGCAATCATTGAAAATTCATTCCCTACCTTGACTAGATGCATTTTGTGTAAAATTCGGATGTATATTATCCATAGACTTGCTGTAAACCAAGTTTTGCAACCTGCCGCGAGATGTCGATACATTCTTAGCGGTTTTAGAATTGTTCTTTGAGATCACAGTAGAGTAAGGCGATGGCTGAGACACGCTGACGTATGAATCGGCGTGCGGTGGCAGCATCATATCGTTGAAAGATGGCGAAACCATGGTTTCTATTTGCCGAGTATCCTTTGTGGGTGCCTGTAGCAGTGTAGGCATCTGGTACTGATTGATTTGGGTTGGAGATTCGGGTAAAGGTTGCACCTGAATAAATATACAGTCGGAGCTGAGACACAAATAAATTGAATATATAGTCGGGACATTTTGGGAAGGCGAAGTCTACCATAAAACATTGGTGAGACGAAATGTTTATGTTCATTTCATTTCAAGTTTAACTGCTTGATGGTGATTAAAATGAGTGACAGTTATCCGACCAGCCCTAATTACACTAAGACTAATGTCTTCGAGAATACAGGTGGGGTAGCAAGATTACTGTAGTGCAGGTATGTCCGTACTATTATGTCTGAATGTGAATAATTAATTCATTAATTAATTAATTAATTATTATCATCATTATTCATTAGAAGTCTCTTTTTTATTTTGGAAATAATCCAAACATTCAACACGAGTTTTCGACTTTGCTCGTTCAAAACTTCACCTCGAGCCACTTTCAAATTCCGTATCACAAGCTGATAACAACATAAGCTTGTCAGGAGTCACCATACCTTTGAAGATATCCATTTCGATGCTTGGTATTACTATCAGCAATAACCTTTCTTTGGAAAATCACGTGAGATCAATTGCTAAAAGTGCATCCCAAAAATTTGGTTTTCTGTTTCGGGCCAGGAGCTATCCACTTCCAGTCAGCTGCTTATGATCTATAAGGCACAGATCCGACCTGTCCTGGAATAACGTTTCCAATGCAGCACCCAAACATACCCTGAAACTGTTGGATTCTGTCCAAAAAAAAGGCAATTCGTCTCGTGGGTGATGCCTCGCTCACAAACTCACTCACTTCTCTGGAACACCGTAGACAAGTTGGCGATCTGGCCCTACTTTATAGATATTTTCATAGACGATGCTCTTCTGAAATATCAACAATTGTTCCTCCATTAGAATAACCCGTCGAGTTGAGGCTTCGCACCCTTTGTGGTCACTTTGGGAACCTGCAGAACATCTCTTTCCAAAGACTCTTTCATCCAACGAACAGCAAGGCTTTGCATTGCCAAGGGAGGTGTTCTCCGAGGCATATAACCTCCAGAAATTTCAGAAGAACACCAATACCTACCTTATTTCCCTTGGTTCTCACGATGTTCTCTGAACATTACAGGATATCCCTTTTCGTGGGAACCAGAACATATAAAAGAAAAAAGAAGTACCAAAACAGTCACAACACACGTCAAAGATGAACACATCCAAAATAAGGCAATTGTCAGGCCAATTTCGAGTCCTTCTCTGTTAATGTACCTGGTTTCGAAAAGAAGTACCTCTAATCGGCCATCCTTCTCTAGTATAATCAATTCCTTCATAACGTTAATCGTACCTTGAGTAGGGGACGTACCTGGGAGTATCTTAGGTATATTTCAAACAGGTGGAATCCGTTTGGACGTATATATTGTGTCTCACCAACGTCTTATGACGGATTTCGCCTTCCGAAAATGCCCCGACTTTATATACTTATCTATAGGGTGTTTATAGTCTATTGAATATTGAATATGTTGCAGAAGAATATTCATCAATTTGTGATGCAATCAGTTGCGTTTGTGTGGTATTGAAAAGGTACTGCCTGAGGCATTCCTGTCATTTGATTACATATAAACTAATTACCAATAAACAATTCTCAATTTATCTAAAATGACACCCGGTAAATACCCATGCAGGTCATAATTGGTTTCGAGGAGCATTTTCAACTTTATGACTATAAGTATTGGGTCCTGTTTTATTTTTAAATGCAATTGCAACATGTACATTGAAATTGAGACATGTTTGCTGAAGACACAGTATTGATTTATTCGGCAGACTCAGTTCAAATCAGAAATAAAATTGAAAGGGGCTAGCTTAATGACTGTCCTACAATAAATTAAGATCAATTACATATCAGCTCTTGTATTTATGTCTGAGCGAATCCTTTCAAATGAGCCCAAATCACATATGAGTTTATTCATACTATGAATTTATCAAATATTCTACAGATATAAATTTTTGTGGCATATAATTAAATTCTCATTTGTCACGGTCAAAACATATTGAATCAATCCGAAGAAATAAGTCACCATTTATCTCTAATCCAAATTACAATAAATTCTGTTTATCAATTATCGATTATCAATTACAAAAACATACGTTACACATTCCTTCAAAATGAGGTAATTGGATGATGAACAATGTTTCTTCATAAACCCAGATAAATATTCGAACTCGACTCAATTTCTTATGTAAGTCAAAATATTTGAAGAATGTGGTTTGCAATATTTTTCTCGTAGATACCTAATCGAAAATTGAACAAATTCATTTTTGGGGTTTGAGTATTGAACAATGCAAGCATTGTTTGCCAAAACTATTTTTTTTTAATATCAAGATACTCAAAACTGAATGATTATAGGAATTTCCTTTCGTGCGCTCCAAGAGATAAAAAGAAGTAAACAACAATAATCTGGTGCCTTGAACTTATAATCCAATATCAATATTGACTCATACTGATAAAATCAAAAATTGATAATCATTTTTTTTTTCGTTTTCATAACCCAAAAAGTGGCTCAACGAGAACTTTCATTTCTAACAACACAAAAAAGTTTGCCTTTGCATGGACTCTTGTCTACAAATGGGTGAGAAGAAAAGGATAGAAAACCGAATGATGCATTGTCGCGGATATAATAGCCATTATTAATATCCCATTTTTTAGTGAATATCTTCAATTTACGTTTGTTATCATTAATTTACTCTAACATATCAAGTGGATATTTCAGATTCACTTAATTTTATTATTTTCAGAAATAAGCATAATCCCAAAGAATCTCCAGATATCAATAAATATTCCAGACTGAAAACACCCTATATTGTGAAAACATTCGATATTATCTTATATTACCTCCAAATTATTATTGGCATTGCTTATATCATTGCCCATGTATCCCCATCCAACTACGATTTGTGCGTTTTGGTTTTCTTCAGGTACTGTTGGTAGTTTACTGCACAAAAATTCTGGAAAACCATATAAAAATATCGAAACTTCAAGAAAGAATTAATAACTGACGGTAATGTGTTTTGTTGCAATGTAAAATTATAATGTGATTAAAAATTGTTCAACAGTGGCTAATCCATCAATGTCTTTATTGGATATAATTTAAAACCAAAAGACAATCCAATGATGTTCAGCAGCCAGTAAAATACAACGTATATGGTATTTTGATAATTTCAAAGCACACGATGATTGTGAATTTGAATGAAATGAAAAACGAATGAGTCACTTGGTTTATAATGGATCGTTCATTGTTTATAATAAATACTTCTTATGCTTCGTGAAATAGTCAAGCAAATTACCCATCGTTTCTGAATACCTTCCTCATAATTCAGTCTCTTATTGTTGACTCAACTGTGTTGCAGTAGCGGTACAACAAAGCGACAGAATCATTAGTCAGTGCGTTCATCTAAATAGTTGATAAAAAATGCAGAAAAAAATACATGTTACACTGCCGACTTGCTTGCTGGGTACGAACTGGAAATTACTCTAGACAAATTGTCTTTGGTGTTCTATATTGACACTTCTCAGTGACAGTTACAGGATGTTTTCATTAATTGATCTTGAATTTACCATTTTGATATAGGTACAGACAGTATTATTTATACTAATAATGGATATCGAAAAATCTCAGTAAGTGTTGTACAGTGTCTTCACTTAAGTTACGAGCGTTCTTCATTCTGTCTGTAAATCTAAATTAAACAAGAGATACTTTTATTAAAACGTGATGCTCTTCCGTAGTTTGCGATATATGGTGAAAATGTCCATAATCATCCACATTTAAAGCAAATTAACAAACAGTGGTTCTCTAGTAATTTCAGGAAAAAACCACCCATCTATTATCAATTTCAACACATAGTATCATGAATACGAATAGAATTAGGACGTTTAGGAACTTTCAGTACTAGTAGTAGTAGTAAAGGGATGTGCCTGTGAAGTGAATTTGATTTCAGTATTTTGAAGTACTAACCGTTCTCTCCTGAGAGCTTTGTTCATTTTCTAAATACTTATTGAAAGACACGATATTTCGTATCATGAAAAATGCGGGAAATGACCAACCATTTACGATACGCCTTACGTATCCATTCCATATTTCTGACAGACACATCGAGAATATTTCTGATCGTTATCAACCATATGAATTTTTAGCTGCTCGTCTTCTTTTTGATTTTATGATTCATTCAACTTGATTGATTTTGATTTTTGTCTGGCAATTATTAGGAATTGCCGAGATATAATACGAACGCCGGTATGTTTGGTAGCTATTTGAAAAATAACAAAAAAGAATCCGTCTGAAAAACTTTTTCTGACCGTTCCTGCTGGCATCGAACGAAGATTATCCCTGAAGTATCCAAGAAATTTGGTAAGATTTTTTCGGTTGGGATGTCTTTTATGGATGGGACAGTTCTTTTATAGTATTCTAATTTATGTATTGTGTATGTCTCAGTACACCCCTACGGTAGAAGGGAAAAATTTATCTCGTTATACGGATAACGTCATCAAGAGCTATCGTTTGCGAATAGTGCCGATTTTCATTATAAAAAGCATCAAATACTTGGAAAGATCGATATTACATAAATTTGACTGGTGCATACAACCTCATTTAGGGACACCCTGTATAATTATGCCTGAGTATTCGCGGTATTAAACATGTTTTCACATGATGACCTTGACTGCCGCGAATTGAAAAAGGGATTATTGATTTTACACATAAAGTTTCCACCATATGACTCAAGACGTCTCTTCGTATTGCCCGCGATAATACCTAGAATGAGGTATATTTCGTAGTTTTACCTTGAAATGGATCCAAATCCATATAATCCTCCAAATTGGGCTGCAGAGGTCCTAAACTTGGCTGGATGAAGTCTGCTAGGCCGGCCTTAGCTAGAACAAATATACACGCACAGTCCTTCATCGAACAGGCAACTTTCTCAAAACTCACCAATTTCTCTTGAATCTGGAAACGCGAACGGTTGATTTGTGATTGTGGAAAACAAAGTGTCGCTCATCAATCCCATATAGTCTTCATCCACCATCATATTCATGCTCATATTGTCTGAACTGTTCGAGTCCCAAACAAGGAGATCCATTTCGTGCAACTATAATCCAGGTAAATAATTGATGTATGACTAAACAAATCAAAAAATGATCTAAATTGGAACTGGAAGTCATAACAAACCCTCTCGCTCACGAATGAATAAAATGCGATGATGAAAGTCTGAGAATTTTTATACAGATTCTATGAGTTTTTTCGATTTTTTTGGTATGAACATTTTGCAATTTGTAATGATCGTTTGGGCTCAAGGTTGTGTCCCCAAATAGGGACAAAATGAGCCAATAGAATGAGAACTCTGTCATGTTAAATAGTAAGCAATCGCTTCACACACTAAAATGAATGAAAGTGAATCAGCATTGGGTTATGTGCACCTAGATAGCATGTGCCGTTGACGCACAATGTCCACAAAACAGTATAACGCGCTAAAAAAATCTTAGAGCATGAAACACTCAAAAAAATAATTGATAGAATAATCAAAATGCAAAAATTCATCTGTTTGTCTACAGAACAAAGTGATTTTGACAGTTGCTGCAATTGAAATGTCACCAAGAAAAACTATAGGACGGAGCTCTGATATTCTCATTGTCATAAATAATGTTCATTAATTCCCACCTCCTCAGTACTATCATGAGGAGAGTTTGTTATGAGAATAGAGTGAAAATAATCTGAGCTGTATAAAAATCATGTAAGAATAGTCTGTCCCCATTTACGGACATGGTGAGCGAAAGGGTTAATGACCATACGCTAATCAAAACAACTGCTGAAAACCTGAGCTGCAGACTATGCGGCAGGGCTATAAACAGTTATGCATTCAGTAAGTGAATAGGAGGCCCTGGATTGCAAAAGACACTCAGTCCATAAAAAATTATAGCATTTCAGAATCAGAAAAAATCGTGAAATTCTTTTGGTAGCAATAATTACCATGCAGAATCCTTACCGAATCGATGGCATCTTTGTGTCCATGTTGATTGTTCCTGTAGAACATTCGCCATCTTTTGTATTCTGCTGTGACTGCGGCTAACTTCCTCTTCCAGTATTTACCTTCCAACACAACTGCCTGAAAATTACTTCATGGATATATTACCAGGCAACCTCATCATCAGGATATTCCAGTTTTTCTTGCGTCAAACTAGAAAATCCTAGCGCAATTTCTTTCAAATAGTCTATGAGCCATAATGCATAACCTAACATTATTGTTTGTTCTAAGGGGTTTCGGAATTTTCATCACATAAAGTAATTGTGAATTTTTTATCGACCAGATGATTGAAATTAAATATTGCTGGTTATTTCATACGCACAATTCAGACTCACACATAAACATGTGTGTCCCGCTTCAAGTGTAACCAACCTCGTATTTCGAAGTACTACTCAAGAAGACCTATCAAATGGTCTATAAATGGAGATTATCATTTTATGGACTTTGTGATCAAGATTACATCACATCGGCATAATTTCATTTTGTAAATTGCATTGCATTTTCGATTTGCTCATGTCTTAGATACCCATATACCAAATGAACACTATTGAGGGGACAGTCTTAGTTTCAAACTAGTGTCTAAGAGTCAATTTTCATGACATACTGAAAACATCAAATCAATATATCTACCATCGTTTCAGAGTTTCAAGGTGCTATAGTGGTTGAAACTAATTTTTTCTCTTTTTCGTGAAAATATCATACAACTCAGCGCTTTTGCGCTCTCGACTAACTGACTGGACTACTTCACTTTAATTTTGCCAAAGAAAATAGGTTGGAGATGAGGAGAAGATGGGTTATACAGTGCTTTCGTGAAGTACTGAATAAATTCATTAGCACTGAATATACCGGACGCATTGTATGTAAACCCTATGTGTGGTAGAGTTTTGGATTCAGCCTTCCATGAAGATTCAGCAAACTCTATAATATTCCAGTTGAAAAAATTGTCGCGGACTTCAAAACTCAAATATGGATCACCCTATATATCTAGTTTTTTCTCAGAAATGTGACAAATTGAAGATTGAGATCGATCTCGTTCAGGCAATACCTCAGAAATGGATACTTTGGCTAAAAAATATATTGATTGCTTTAGAAATAACTCAATTTAACGGACGCACTGTATAAAAACCCATTGTGTGATATATTTTTGAATTCAGCATTATATGGAGATTCCAAAAATTGAATAATAAATAGTGTTTCATTTGAATAAAATAACGCGGAGGTCATAACTCAAACATGGATCACCCTGTATATTAATTTTCTTGTAAATGTGGAAAATTGAAAACAAAAATCGAGCTGTTTCAGGAGATCTCTCAGAAATAGAGAGTTTGGCTAGGAATGGATTCATTCAGTACTTTACGAAAGCACTGTACTATACACATTGACATACTCTAAGAGGGAAACCTTAGGAAAAATATGGTTAGAAAATCCTTATAAAATGCAAACTAATGAATTCTTATTTCATAAAACGGTAACCAGCAATGGGCTTATATCACAAAAAAAATGTATTTCATAATTCGATAGAACTCACCTAAACTAGCTCACCACCACAAACCGTTTCTTGCTCTGAGCTCCCTACGTTTTATAAAAAATTATTGAAATCCCCGATTTTACGGACCTCTGAAAACGAGGCGATGATGTGACGTCAAAACCCTAATACTGAAACAATACTATTCCAGACAGAGATGAATGATACATGATTTCTGACAGAGTGAATTAGCGCGAGATCACAGTTGAAAGAATTAATATAACAGTTGCCTCAGTCTCCGTCAGGCGTTTGGTATTTTCTTTTAACTATGGCAAGATGAGGTTTCTACGTCATAAGAGGGTCCGTTTTCAGAAGGTACTATTATTTATGTCCAAAAATAAAACATTCCAGTTAATTTTTCGATCGAATTATGTCGTCAATCATTATTTATGTATAAAAGAATCATTATAAACATGGTTTGAGTCAAAAGTTCTACTAAGGTGTACACGCAATTATCTGGACAAAATGTGTTAATCAATAAAAAAGTCATAAACATCACATTACACTATTTTACCACTCACCAAACCAATGTCTCAAACACTGCGACACGGATTTTGCTTACCATGTTAGCCTCTTCAACTTCAGGAGACAATTAAAACTATTTATCCTATTTTAACATTCTTGCGTTAATCTAATCGTACTTGAAATCAAAGTCCGTCTCAGTCTCAGTCACAGACAGTCCACAGTCACTGTCCAGTCAATACCCTAACCTATTCAAATTAGGTACCGAAATTCTTCTTCTTCTTCTTCTTTTGGGTTTATTGGATTTCTGTCACCTTTCGGTAACAATTTCTCCAGATCAGGTAATTAATTTTTTCAAGAATATATATATGGTTATGTAATAATATTGTCACTCGACTCGAGCACTAAAGACACCGTAGTCCGTCACCATGCCCGGCAGCCGAGTTCATCAATGTCCAAAGATTCTATCGTATGTGCTCATGCTGAGCACGTTTGATTTCAAGTATGGCCCCTTCATCCGGTGAATCCGTCACCATCCGGCCTCTATACCGGCGTAGAGATAAAAGGGCTTTTTAATTTTCACACACACTTATTAAACTTCACAATAAATATTGGATTTTAATCCAGATCAGGTAATTAGAAAAATTAAAGACTTGCACACACATTAACCTGACTTTTGACCTGGAGACGCCATGTGTCTCCTTCCATGGTCAAGAGGCGAATGGGTACCGAAATTCGTATTTAAAAAGAAAAATGTTCATCACGTGATATGTTGAGATTCGTGTTAGTTGATGAGTAGGTATTCTCTACAAAAAAAAACTGTGAAGGACAAGTTTAGTCAAATTATACTCTGGTTTGCAAATGACAGCCCACATGGGCGATTTAATTTAGACTCTCAAGGGTGTTTTTACTTTCCTTCGGTACCCAGAGGTCTTTATTGTACTAAAAACCAAAAGTTTTTGTTGACTAAGCATGTGAATCATAAGCTATAACTAATATTAAAACTACATAAAATCATGTAAAATGTGCACATATATAAGGAACAAGACATTTAAGTAGAACATATAATAGTAAAAGTCACACTATAAAAAAGATATTGAACAATTAAAAACAAATGTGAACAGATTTCCGGAATCCCAATATCAGATGTAGGTAGGCTTTGGAGTGAAAAAGCAATTCAATAATTTTAATTCCAATAATCCTCAAGTAAATAAGAGTACTTGATAAGATTCTCATATATTTTGGTTTTCAAACCGTATCTCAGTCTGGATCTAATTTAGGCAATACAAAGGACGATATAAAAGAATGAGGAGTTTACAAGAGTATGCGAATGTAGAACATAATTATGTAGTTCAAACTAGGACACCCATCATAAATAGGTACAAAAAAAAACTGGCACATTTAGAGTATGGTAGATTAAAAAAATCAAATGCAACTCAAAATTGATCAAAAAAGTTAAAAATGAATATTGTAGCGAAACCAATACGAGATCGCTATATTCCAGTCATTTCCCGAAATAATCACCCCAATTGTATAGCATTTCATACTTTATCATTATCGCCACGGGTACTCCCCTGTGTCCGAATCCTCGTTTCAAAATTATTTAGTTGTTTCTAGTTTTTGTTGAATACCGAAAGAAGCGAGCTCCCGTTTTTATAATAAAGTAAAAATTTCGAACGTTGTGGCTCTTGGGAGTGTTCAGTGCGTAAAATATATCCAAGCTGACATCGTCAACCAAAAAGTTTTCCCCAATTTCGAAAGTGTTTGCCATTGACTGCACAGAATCTTTGTGTTCTCATCTGCCCTGAAATATACTTATTTCAGCAACAGTGTGCCTGATCTGTCAGGTGAGTTACGTCATTAAACTATATTGCTTATAGTTTACTTTGTTACTTACTTTGCTACTTATTTGTCAATTGTATTCGGCTCATATCGTGGAAAAAAATGTTGTATTTGGTTTTCTCTGTCAGTTTTTAGACGCATGCTACGATTGGGTGGAATTAAAACTTGGTCTGTCCGACTCAGCGAGTTTTTCTTACCCAGAAACCACATATACAGTGTGGACCCATATAAACTACCCCCTGAGATTAAGAGTTTCGCCGCAATATTTTTCGTATATATTTGTATTTATCTAAGCTTTGCATGTTTCGTTTCCGAAATGTTTCTAATAGTGACATTTTATCAACATTTCGGGATAAATCCTCACTACATTTGCGCATGCCATCACATTGTGCTGGTGTACAGGGCTAGTTTTATTAATGTGAACTCCCCTTCATCTTTTTTGTTTTCCACTCATTCAAAAGAATTTAAAGCTGATTTTATGAAATTTTAAAAACAGATTTCACTCATATTGACAATGATGCAATATCTCTTCAAGGGTATACACGAAAATATATTTTTCCAAATGGAATGCGCCATATATTTTGATATATTTGAATTCCTCAACTCATCCTGATTTCAAATATATGATATAAGGGATTCATATCTATCATAATATACAGCGCATTCCATTTAAAAAATATAAATATTTCTGTATACCCCGTATATTTGAAGAGATACTGCAACACTATCACTATGATTGGAACCTGTATGAAAAATGATTGTATTCAATCAATTTCAAAATCTTTTGGATGTGTGGAAAACAAGAAAGATAAAGAGGGGTTTACATTAATGAAACTAACCCTGTACAATGCACAAAAAATGCAGCGAGAGACGAAGGAATCCGATTGGTACATTATAATTTAAAAGTAAGTACCTACTATAGCCACTCACATATAGTTTTCATTTTGATATTTGCTAAATTTCTCATCGGAATTCCTTGTGCAATAGGAGCTGATAAAAATACTCGTGAAATTTCTAAAAGAATGCAAGATTGGACTCATGCAATCAAACGGGAGGGCAGTCTGACATGCTGACGAAATATGTTCGTGTGTATAGCAGACATTTTCAATCTATTAGCAGTATTAGTTTTTAATGCAGAAGTGGCAGATGGAATTTTAATAAGAATTGACAAAATTTCATACCTTAAAGAATCATATTCCTTCGTATCTTGCTGCATTTTTTGTGCATTGTATAACAGCACAATGAGAAGGCA